TTCTTTACCCCCTAGGGGTCTCAGGGTGGCTCGTCGTTGCGGCTTGACAATCCCATGGCTCTTGCTGGCCTGACCTCGTATCCAGCTATTCCCTAGGATTCTAGTGCCTTTCGAGGGTTCTGCTTCGGTTTTTGGGTCATTTTCCTGATCATTCTCATTCATATCAAGCCCTAGAGGTCCAGTGATGTTCCATCGGCTTGGGGTTGGGGTGTCTGGTACCTCCAGGATTTCCGTGAGCTGGCTTGCCGCGTGGCCGTTTGCCGGGGGTGACGCGTGAATAACACCACCACCATGGGGATCGGGAGGTTCCATGGTGGTTTTTAGGGGCTCAGAGGCCTCTCTGAGCCGAATGACGCGCTAAAAAGACGTGTTTTTTGTATCCCCTAATATAGGAATAGGAACTAAAATAAGTTTGTTCCTACGAGATCAGTACAGAATGGACGGAGACGAGCGATGAAAGAGTCAGACTTGCCTCGAACTGCAGGAAGGCGGTGGGCAGGCGCCTCCTGCCGTCGTACTTGATTTTGACATGGCACCTGCCGAATCGAGAAAACAACGCCTCCAGGTCGGTGGACAGCTTTTCGGCAGGCACGCGGGTCGACAGGCTGCGGCTGGTCAGCGAGAAGTTGCGACCAAACATTGCGAGAGAAGGCACTTACTTGCCAACAAAGAGACAGGCCTCGGGCGAGAACAGTCCCTGCGCGTTCTGCGCACACGGCACGTCGTACAGCCGGTCTGCACGCTGGGGGTAGTCGTTATCAATATCGACCATGGGCCGGATCTCATCGGTTGGATGGGGTTGAGCGATCGCCATGGTTTGCGGATTATGATATCTTCAAGGAGGAGATGCAATATCGAGTGGTGCAGTCGAAGCAAGCAGTGATAATGCGTATTGATCGTCAGTATGAATGATTATCTCTGTACATCTGAGAAAAGCAAAGGAAGAAAGGACTCATGATCCCAGACAGTCGTCGTTATAGCTGGCTGCTGCTGCTTCCCCGACGTCTCCAGGTTTGGAACCCAAGAAAGCAACTATTCCTAACTCAACCGTGATGACGGCACACATTTGTTGCAACGAGTGGTCTCTTGATCAGGGCCATGGGAATGAATTCCACGGCCGTGGACTGGACGATCTAAGACAGGATTTACTTGGCTGCTGGAGGATGTTCTAAGTCCTCCCGCCCAGGGTTCATTTCTCTGGCACTTGCCGGCGTGATTCGCGGGATATAGAAATATGCGTTCTGTTTCGTGTGTTATTTAGTAGAACTAGCAGATATCGATCGCAGGCTGAAATCGATGCGCTGCTGCCTCAGGAACGCCGGTGCTTCACACGCTGGTTCATCTGATATTGGCCGACCCAAACTATCGCGATGGATCGAACTGGTTTAGTTCAGACAGAAAATGCTGGATATTTCTCTGCACAACCCTGGATAGAGAGCGAACTACCAGTTTCTCAACTTGGATGCCTTAGGAGATATCTACTCAGAAACACGGGGAATTCATATGACTCAATCAAACTAGTCATCTACCACATCCTACACTGTCAATATACTGTACTATCTGGACAGATCAATTCTTCATTTGCCTTTCCTGTCGTCCGTCACCACATGCCTGTGATCAAAAAGGTAAAAGGCCATCCATTGGCTTCCTCCCCGAACTAACTCCCCAATGTCTCTCCGAGCACACTATGGGATCCCACGAAAAACCTTGCAGAGAATCTTGTGCTCTCTCCCCGTCCAGTCCTGGCGTTGGCATTCCTTCGAGCAGTACTCCACTCTCTTACAACCAATGCATTTCATGACCTTGCCTCCACCTTTTGCCTCCTTGCTTCCACAGACAAAGCAGCTTCCCATCCTTTGAGGAAGAACATCCAGAAAGCTCTTTCAATATCCTCGGGGGTGTCAGAAACAGGGCGGGGGATGCCAACAAACGGGACTGGGAAGCAGGGTGAGATGGCAGCGCGGACTGCGTACTTAGAAATGTCCTTCCAGAGAATTGGCTTGTCGACCTTGTAGTCATTGCCGAATTTCCCCTTGCCGCACGAACATAGGATCGGTTTGCCAAATTCAACTGACACTGGTATCTGGTTTTCGGCCTTATATTCGCACGACGGTGTGTGTTCCCAGTCCCGGCAGCGCTCTACAAAGGCAGGTAGAACGTGCTTCCAAAGAAGCAGCTCATTGTCATCAACAATGATAGACACGCGACCACTTTTGTGAGCAGCCATAATAAAGGTAATCATCATGGGGACGATATCCACGCTTAGTGGGACGACTGCCGCATCGAGAACAAAACTCTGATTAGATATATCCAAGCGCAACTTCGACGCAAATATCAATATGTGGACATCTCCATTAGAACGATTGTCAATGCCGAAAACAGCGTGTTTTTGTGTCCCTTGCAGTCCGGTAAAGTGCATAAACAGGCTAAAGAGGGAGTCCTTGAAGTTTATGCGGGAATTCTGGCATTTGATTCCCGACTTTATGCATGTATCTCACTCCTGTCGCTCCTGAACAGAGAACATTGATCCCACGTGTGTGATTATCCACGCAATCTTTGACTTGGATTTGAGATCGAGGACCGGCAACTGATCAAGTTTGACGTAGTGCAAGTTTCGCAGCGTAGGGATCTCTCTCAAGACCATCGGGAAGACACTTTCAGGACGTACAGACAGCGAATTCTTTGAGGCGGCCGGCGCGATGTATTCTATATAGGAAGACTTACGCGCGATTCTTGTCTTGCCACCGGTCATCTGGAGAGGTATAGGGAGAGATATCTGCTGTCGAAAGCTTCCCGAGCCAAGATTTATGGCAATTCTGAATGGTGACAGTTGTTGGACAGAAACGGCCGCTCCGCTGCGTAGCAGGTCTTGACACTTTGACGGGAGGATATCAAGATGAGTTGTCAGATGAGCGATCTTCGATTCTTCCGGATCCAGTGATACACGAAAGCTGGTCTTGGTCGCGGTCTCCGGCTCTGATATCGACAGCTCGCGCAAGCTCTCGCCAGTCGAATATCCTTCGTGAATTCCTGGTGCGCAGATCGATAGATGACCCGACATGTTGGGGCGATGTTTGGTGATGAAGACGTCTTCACTGGATAAGGTGGACTGGTGGATGGACAGGGACAATCCAAGCTCCTTCATGAGTGGAATTATGTTGGCAGGAGTGCTCTTCAGCGCGAAATCTACTTCCGTCGAGAGTTCAGGATGCATAAGCACTTGCCAGGTAGGAACTAGGACTGAAACAACAAGAGGTGAAGTGCCTTCCCATCCCTTGTCATCTCCTTGGACCTGTACGGAAAATCTGTCTGTATAACGTGCCCAAAACCAAGCTGAAGATCGGGGAAGATATTTTCTTCATTATTGACACTGGCATAAGGAGATCGTAGAAGGACGTGAGTAACTGGGTTCCCTATTCTCTCGCCGACGTTGCCTGGAAGTAAGCGTTCTTTTGGCGGGGGACCACCAAGGTCAAGCAGACTACACGTGGAATATCCCTCCAGCCCTTAAGAGGACTTTTCTCTAAATTCACAATGAGTCCCTGTAAACCTGGTTCGTAGCGTGGCATGGTATGCAAATCCAGGAGGTGTAGATGAAGAAAGAGTTCCTCCAGATAAAGAGCGTTGAGCGTACTGCTGTTCATCACACGATCACAGAGTTGGTTGATGAAACTCTCCCACTCGACTCGCTTGGCATTTCTAATCAAGCAGAGAATAGCACAGAGACTTGCTCGCGTGTAGTGCTCATATTGCTTCCGCATGATATCGCTAGGACCTTGTTGCATACGATGATCCCAGCTTTCCTCTAGGAACATTCTCAGACACATACGGAAAACAGGATTGGCTAACTCTTTCGCATCAAAAGTGATAACAGGTTTTCCAGGGCAGAATAAGTCTTTGTCAGCACACGCTGGCTCAGCGTCTGTGTTTTTCCATACCACAATGTAGCGGGACTGAACTGAGACACTGGTACGATTGCTGTCCTGCAGCGTCTCCATGAACCCCTCGTCAAAGATTGGCGTAGCTGATGCGTGAGTCCAGTACTGGATGGGGGTCAGTCCAAACAGGAGTGCAACAGTAGGGAGGTCCCCGCATAATAGGTCTGATGCGTTCTTCTCGACGCTTTCTTCGCGCAAGACCTGCATTTCTGTACAAATCACAGAGGTAGACTTTGGAGTCAAGAGAGGACGAGTTGCCGCCAGCAAGTTTAGACAACCAAGGTGATCGACCAAATTTGATGTGACAATTACATCGAAAGTACGTGAAGCAGTCTGGTTCGAGCCCATCTGAAGGTAGTCATTCGAATCCAAGATTAGAGGATCATAGTGTCAACTATCGCGGTACCACCAGGCCGTCTTGCTTTCGCCGTGGGTTCGATGGTGCTGCAGAACATGGCAAAAAGCTAAAGCTTCTGCATTCACGAATCGAACTGTCGTTCTCGGACTGACAGCGCGGAAAGCAGCAGCCCAGGCACGAAACTAATCCAATACCGCCTCGAAAAATTTATTCAAACCCTTCGTCCCTTCAGGCTTCAAGGGTGAATGGTCGGATATGGGGGCATAAACGGTAGCAAAGTGAAAAGCGTGGAGAGTGTCTGCACCATAATGCAAAATCAGATTGTCACGGAGAGATCCAAACATGGGATTCATATGTCTGGCTTGACTGTCATCCAGTGCGGTTATCCCTTCCTTCCAGTAGAACTCGTACAGTTGGGGCATATCCTCTAACGCAGACAGAGAATATGGGGCCGCAGACCGGATTCCATTGAGGTTTTCCTTCTGGCCTACATAGTGATCTTTCGTCTTCCGTGCTTCTTGGATTCCATGTCTGAGCTTTTGCTGCTGCTCCGAGAACGCACGTCCCTGGGAAGGATCGATAGAGTAGAATTCCCACAAGCGAGTCACTTTTGTAAACGTGGTGGTGTCGCAAAACCGGAGCTGTCGCCCATACTTACCATTGTGCCATTCTGAAAGTGTGCTTGCGGTGTCTTTCAACTTCTTCGCTTGTTTTCGGAGTAGCTTGAGTGAATCGTCGTCGAGCATGATATTGTAGTAGATGCACCAGATCAGATTTGTGTTCTCGCCTTTTTCGTCATCGATAAGCAAGGTGTAAAGGGTTATGTTGCGGGCTAAATGAGGTCAGTTACAATAGCTCGATGGTATATTCTGAACAGGAAATGGTGAATTGCTTACCTATAATTTCGGCCTCAATGTCACAGCAGGTGATGTCGAGCTTGCGGCCATCTGTATATGTCAGCAACTTTCTTCAATAACAGAAGTTACCTGGCAGACGCGTATGAGGGCCAAAACATTCGGACACGAGTGTAGTGCTTACCAAAACCTGGTCCAGCGTACGCGGTGAAGAGAACGTTGCGGACGTCTCCGCATCCGAGAAGCAGCAAAGCGGCATCCTGATCAGGAGGCAGAGACTGCGTCAGGCATACGGCCGGAGTGTTGCCGATGGCGTAGAAGAAGGACATGCGCTGGATGCGCGCTGGTCCTGCCATGGTGCGGTTTGTATGAGCCTTTCGCTCGAGAAGAGGTGTTGCGAAAGGAAGGCACGACCTTGCTGAGGAATCAACCCGTCAGAACGAAATCCAACGCGGTTAGACAGGTCGTTAAGACGCGAAGTGGATGGGCATATTTCAAGGCGTGTGAGGAAAACTGATGCTGGATGGTGTTTGTTTGGGGGAGCTTGAAGACTTGTTGACCTTAGGGCACCACTGGCCTAGCCCTGAGCCCTAAGTCCTACAGTTGCTGGCGACAGACAAGCAGACAGCTGCAAACAATGAGCAACACACTGGACTGCAAGCTGATCAACCGGGTTATAGCACAAATCCAGGCCGCTGTTGTCGCTGTTAGGGAGTAATGAACTGGCCATGAAGCTGCAACTGCATGTACCCGAAACAATGTAGGAGATAGCTTGCTTGACTGGGTTATAGGCTCTGTTTACTCGATACTTTGTCTTTTGTACAGTCTTTATTCCTCCATAAGTATCAGCATGGTTCATTGTATATATTGGCACGTGATGCATGTGATTTATATGGATAGAATACTTATATTCTTTACTCCTTGTTTTGTTCAGGAACACACAAAACGAAGCATTTTTTTATTTATTTTTTTTCTTCTTGGATTTTTTTTTCAGTTTTCTTTTCTTTTTTTATTGATTTTATTTTCATGATTTATTTACAGTCTTTGTTCTGGTATTACTTGCCACTGACTTCGTGACATCAGGTGTCTTCTTATCTTATCAGCACGCTAGCTGGATTTAGTCTAGTGCCACATGCTGCGAGCTCGCATCTTCGGCTTCGACATCTCCGCATCTCACATCAACAGCTGCATAATCCTCATTCACGCCGCAGAAGTCTGCAAAGCTTTTACGGTGCATTGGGATGACCTGGATTGTCTCCTAAGAGCGATTTCTGCCATGATCCCGACTGCGCGATGTCTCGCGGCTAAGCCGCCCGGTTTCTTCAAGCGGACCACCGAAGAACTGAGTCGGTTGACGCGCATCGGTATGTTGACTGACCACTACCAGCCTCTAGAAGCTCTGCTGATCTGACCTATTCAGCATGGAACGCCGAAGCATTACAGACTCCAACCAAGCCATACTACCTCCTCAATTTCGAAGATGAATCCACCGTTGCATCCTGCAAAACAATGGCCGATCGCGCTGTCGGGGGATACAGTACAGCCAATCTCGACTATGTTCCTGCGGATCCTGCTACCAATACACCTGCACATGCACGCTTTCATGGCAGCATTTCGACCAAGCTGCCTCCAAACTGGCGAGTCGAGAGGACGGGTATGTTAGACAGCCGGGGTTATATGGATGGATGTTGACAATCATGGATAGGATATGCAGCATTTCGTAACAAGGATCGCGGGTTCTGGCTGTTTGGGCGTCTCTTCTGGGACGTAGACCCGTACACCTACCTTGCTTTGCGCGTCAAGTCCGACGGAAGACGATACACTGTCAACATCCAGACGGATTCAATTGTTGAGACCGATATCCACCAGCATCGACTATACACGCACCATCACCGTGTCCGGCAGGCTCCGGAGGCATCCTCGTCGCCTCTCGCGGCTGCGGCGGAGGCTTCCGAAGAGGATGAACTGTCCAAGATTCTGTATCCCAAAGGCATTCCTGCCGCCCTGTCAGATGTCCCACCTGAGTCGACCATCATTTCGACGGCGAGTGCAACGACGTCAGGGTCCGGTGGATGGGAGACGGTGCTTCTGCCGTTCAATTCCTTTGTGCGGACGAACCACGGCATGGTCGTGGAGCCGCAGACATCGTTGCTTCGGCAGCGGATCAGGAGCGTGGGAATTGGCTTGACGGACCGGGTGGAGGGCCCGTACGATTTGCGGATTCACCGGATCTGGGCGACGAACGGGATGAGCGAGGAGGAAATTGAAGAAGAGAGACGGATCTGCGGGCCCAACGCGCTGCCAGTGGACGAGGGTGTCCGGACGAGGTGGGGATCCAACCGGCCTCCAGAGAAGCAGGAGTCTTCCGAGCAACACGAGGCAACACGGCCACCGCCGCCAGTAAAAGGACTGAAGGGGCTGAAGTCAGAATGGGAGCACTAATCTTGTACAGTACATATGAATTGACGCATCTGGAATTAACCTGGGTAATTTCCATACTGTATACTACTGATATATGAAGGTGATTCTTTTGTATTATGAGCTTATGAATCTCTTCCAGGCACGTAAAATGCAATGCTATCTCCCGATTGATCCGTTCATCACCCATTATCTACGTAATACTACCGAGTACATACCAGTAGACACAAGCTGTTCATGACTTTCCTCCCCTTTTGCTCTCCCTTCCTTCTGCCTACTCTATTCTGATCTTATCTAGTCCATCTACAACGTCCGTTCTTCGACTTTTCACCTCATCCGCCACCCTAACAGCCTCCGCAAACGTCTCCACCAGCTGGTCAACATCCTCCAGTCCCACCGACACACGGATCTGGAGCATCGACCAGCCAAACGACTCCGCGCGGGCCTTTTTCTCGTCGCTTCCCGTCCGGCCAAACATGACCTCATTGTAAGGCAACGCCAGCGTCAAGTGCGCGCCCAGGTGCGGACCCATATGCACCTGCAGCGCCTCATAGAACGCAATCATATCTTCCTGCTGCTCGAACTCTACGCTGAAAAGACAGCCATATCCGGGCGTAAACTCCGGGGTTGCAGCGCGCATGAAGGGCGTGTAGTTGTCTCGCGCCGTCGGGGAGACGGTCGGGTAGAGCACCTTGGACACGGCGCTGGTGTCATTCTCAGCCTTGCTCTGTAGGAAGGTGACGACAGCTTCAGCGTTGCGGTTCAAGATCGCCGATCGCGCAAGGTAGTCCCTGCTATTCCGCTCGAGGACGAGGGCGTCTTCGACGAAGAGCTCGTTGTGGAAGCTGTTGCGGAGCAGCGGGCGCAGTTTGCGATACGCCGGGCCCAGCGGATTCAGGACGAGACTGCCGGCCATAACGTCGGCGTAGCCCGAGAAACTCTTCGTCAGCGAGGAGACGACCACATCCGCGACAGACAGCAGATCGACATTGCAGAAGCTGCCGACCGTGTCGTCGACGACGAGCACGAACTCGTATTTGTCCGCGAGCGCACGCAGCCGCGCGAGCGGACTGCAGACCAGGACCGGGTTGGACGGGAACTCGACGTAGAGGGCCTGGACTTTACGCTCATTCCGCGATTCTTCTTCCTCGAGGAACTTCTCCAGTCGCGCGAGGTCGGACTCGTCGCCCCGGCCGAACAGCTCGTACCCGCCGAACTCCTCGAGGATGTCGAGCGTCGAGTGATACAGACAGCCAAAGGCGACGGATTTGTACTCGTTGTTATTCGCGGCGCTCAGATAGCTCTGCAGCCGGTAGATGGCGGCCATGCCGGAGGGGAAGAGGTAGACGTCACCGGGAGTGAGTTTGGGCGGGAGCGGATCGCCAGCGGAGAGGGGCGGCGGGGCGGAGATGGAGGTCGCGGGCGGAGCGGGGGCGGGGGCGCGCTTCAGCAGCGAGACAATCCGCTCGCGGAGCTGGCCATGGACCGGGCTGTCGAGGAGGTAGGTCGGTTTGGGGATGTAGTGGTCGTAGTCGTCGTCATCGCCGACTCTTTCGGGGTCTATCGGGAGGAGTTCTTGCAGGGTGTCGACGTGGGGGAGGAGAAAGTCGGCGAGGCGAGTTGAGATCCCAATGCCGGGGTGCTGCCAGAAGCCGATGATGCCGAAAATCTTGGTTGCAGGAACAAAGATGCCGTAGAGCCGGACGCCGTAGATGTCGAGGACCTTGAAGGTCAGGTCTTGCGCGGTGAGGCGATGATCGCCGCGACGGGGACTGGTCGCGTAGGCCTTGCAGTCGGCTAGCGTCTCGCGAGACACGAACAGAAGAGCGATATAATCCTCCGGAAGGCCGACCTTTCTGACAATCGCGTTCGAGAGCTACATATTCAACAGTATTAGCATAAGACTGTCACCAAACACACGCGCATGTTAAGGGGTTGCCCACATTGCGAGTCGCGAAAAACACGCCAAAACGAGGATAGATAGCCTTCAGCTTGGCGAAGGTCTCTGGATCGCCGCTGGCTATCTTGCTGAGTGTCTCCCACCCGGGGACATGCGCGGTGATGGCGTGGGAGGTGTCATTATCATCATTATCATGAACTGGCGGGAGGGGATGGCCAAAGGGCGTTGAGAGGGGTTTGACCATGTTGATTGAGCTGGCTGTGAGAGAAGTTCCATAGGATAAAGAGTTCCGTGTGCGATATGTTTTGTCCCAACTCAGAGAGGTTTGTATCGTCAAGACATCAGCTATCGAATATATGTGGTGTTTGACTGGTAACTAAGGCCTCAGCTGAGTTGACCTGATTAGATAACTTCCACTGGCTTGAGTTCGTACTGTCTCTCCTAGTTGGGAAGGCAGATAGTAAGCTTGGATGAAAGTAAACGAACGCGTTTAGTCGTGCAGGTCGACTCATCGTACGCGGGGTTCTTGGCCGGATAAAGCGTACCAACTAGCCTCTGTAGTGGTTGGAGTCGTTCGAGGGTTATGGGAACTGAGCTCGAATGAGAGTTGTGTAGTACAAATATCCAGTGCTACTAGGCTAGTTGCATAGGACTGAAAAGGCGAGTGGCAGCTGCAGTGACGACAGTGATTAGGTCCTACTATGTGAATGGCAAGTAGAAGTCTTACAGCTAAACAAGCACGTTTATCTCTACATCCTCATGCTAAGCTAAGTGTCTAAACATGTCAAGTTCACATGAAATTGCGGTGAACGAGTTCTTTTTTTTAAATTTAATGCTTACGACCACTTAACAACTATCCCTGAAAACAGACGTTGCACAAAGGACAAGCCAAGGAACAAAGAAAACGACAACAAGGCATGTGACAAGCCCTAGCCCTAAAACCTCGCATATATCTGACAAGGATCTATCCCCTCCTTACTATGAGTAAACTTCTCTTTGCAGCGATTTACTCAACACATGATTGACTTTTCAGGACATGCGTGCTTTATTAGAGGAAGATATTCCCTGGTGATTTACAATTCTAGTCTCTCACTAGATTCATTCCAGAGCGGATATGTCTGGTTAATGATTTCCCTCACCGGGTGCGGACTTCTGAGAAGTATGTTAATGTCAACAAGAGTACATTCTATAATACCTAAATAATATTCAAAGTGCGTCCAATTGACTGGCCCAGTTATTTAGAATTGTGCAGCCAATCTGTAATATATAAAGAGTAGTCAAAAAGGGGAGAGCGCTAAACCAGTCCTAGAGAGAACTCCGCAGTGATTAATTTCGTTCATCATCTGTCATAATAGCTACCATGTGTAATAAATCGAAGGAATGAGAAAACAAATAAAAATGTCACAAATTTTGATCGTCTTGCGGCGTCCCTGCAGTACCATGCTGCTTAGCCACCTTTTCAAGAAACAATTTCTTTGTCTTCCTCAGGACCGGAAGCAATCGCTGTCGATTTAACAGCCCAGGAGAGCGTCAAAGAAGTTTCTCTACTCCTAGACAAAGGAACGGCCAGTCAAATGCCACTTTATCTGTCTTCTTTAAGTCCTCGACCTCAAATATCAGATCTTTAGGAAATCGCTGAGACCAGTACCAGTCAGATAATACCCATCCAAAGGCACGGAGGATACGGGGAATATCCCTATACTCCAGCTGGTCCACAATCAACCACTGAATGTCGGCAGGGAGAACGTGAAATATTATCGTGGGCTTCACATCTAGGAAGATGGGGATGGGACGACATCTCCTGGTTTTGTGGCCGGACTTTTGTTCCCTATGTCGGCAGCGTTCGATACTTTCGTCGATGACCTCGCGAAAGGGCTGGGATTTTCACGGGATCATAAAAAGGTATCGCTTTCTTCGTCCATTTTTCCTGACATTTCTGATAATCCAAGCACGAAGGCCCCGAAATTTGGAAATCCAAATCAGCCCACCTTTCCTGTAATGCGTGCAGCAGGCATTCTAAATGCTTCTCTGCCTCAGCGCCGAAGAATCTCTCAATGAAGTCCCGGCAACGAGCATGGATCGGATACCCATATGAACATTGTCGCTCCCTAGGAGTGTTAGGATCCAGCCATTTAGCCGCATAGACCTTCATAAATTTATTTCCTCGACCCCCGAAATGAGGACGCCCAAGAAGCGCCATGTCACGGTCCCGAGGGACCTCGAACATCACAGTGAGTCTGGTGCTCTGCCCAATTCCAGAAAGCCGATATTGTAGCAAGTTTTCCTCAAGATTATCGTCTTGGGAGATTGTGACTGTTTATCCCCCCAAATTTAGCATATCATATACCAAGTCTGTTTTTATCTACCTCATCACAGCGGCAAATACATGAGTTGAGGCCTGCGAGGCATCATTTCGTAGGTAGAGACACAACTTACTAACACGAATGAAGCTTCCCCAGACAAACAAATCAGTGAAATATAGTTTGTTGAAATCTGTAGGATTGAGTCTGATTCTCCATTTATCGTGGTATATTGGCCGGCCCGGTATCAAGCTACCAGAGCGGCCATCGTCAGCTAGGATGGCATCCTTTCCAACAGGTAGACTTGTCCCACAGGCATAGCAAAAATGAGAGACCATATCCCTATCCATTTCCCTTTTTTTAGAAAAAAGAATTAATGGAAATTCATTCAATTGATATATTCCCTTGGATATGTACCCTAGAAGTAAAACTGATTCTAGCAGTTCAAATAAAAAATCCTTTAATAAACTATTTAATAAACTATCAGCCAGCTCAACCAGTGTGTGATGATGAAATAAACAGAAGTATGTATGAGATCGTCTCCGTCAATGACACATAATGAAAATTTCTATTCTCTCTTTGAAAAATTTCTAGTTACAGGAAATTTTGCTTTTGCCAAGTAAGCCCGATCCGTAACCATGGTTCATCAATGATTGGCCTTGATGTAGTCTAATATGGCCTGCACCTCATTAAATTCTCTCCCGATATGGAACTTTTTCCCAGGATTTGGTACCCGGTTGGCGGGAACTGGCACTGTCCGTAGAGTTGCAGTATTCCGATTGAACTCGTAGAATTCAGCGAGTCTGCCGACAGCAATTATTCCATACATGCGATGGTTTTGGTAAGTGCTCTTTGAGCTGATTGAAGTAAGGTACCTGTGCAATTGCTCCTTGCCCTCGTCCCAGGTACCCTGCGCGGTCTCATACTTTCTCCGCTTGCACTGGGTAATCAGGAAGTGGACCTTGCGGTACTTGGTGCCACTTTCCCTGTACTCCAGAGTATGCAGATCGGCGTATCCCCGCTCGTTTCGCTCCTCTGGTCGGATGACATAGTTTTGACTGGGAGGGAATACCATGGCGTCTCGGTGTCGGAGCCGATGAGATTTACTTTTGCATCAAGGGGTGCGAGGACCTGAGGACAGGACAGGTAGCCGAGAAGCTGTCCCTCACGAATGTGGATGGGGGAGGCCCCAAAGTTGGCGTACGGCAGGACAGTTGTGTCAGAATAGTATCTCGTTCTAAATTTCGGTCACTGTTCCCTCGGTATCTTCTGTTCTCATGCGGTCGAAAGAGAGAATTCCCGAGACGTCGTAGAACTAATATCCATTAGTTTTAAGTTCAAGCCAACCATGTCAGGGATTCATACGGTTCCGTGGGTTGGCTGCTGAGCCGCAAGTGTATTTGAGCCATCTTTGGCCAGTAGTAGGTCGATATTTTGTCAAGATAGAATGGTTGATAAATCGTCAATGTTCAACACTTTCTTCTATGGATCTTCTTGAATCGCCTGAGGATGAGATCTTTAGATAGAAGAGATCTCAGCGGCCAGGGGAGTGAGGTGGCATGAAGATGCTTGATTTCTCTATCTGAGAGGCAGAGAGACGCCTTATATGTCTGTGAGTCACATGGGCATGCCAGGCAGCCTACCTAGCCTCAGGCAGTGACTGTCAACAAGAGACTGTTATTAAACAAGTGTGTCTTTTATAACTATGTACCCATAGATCAAAAAAAAAACTATGGGTCAAGTTAGATATTAATAGTGAGCAAATATTATGGCCATGAATAAAAAGGGAATCAGGAGCAAAAGAAATCCACTAGATCCATATATTAGTTACATAATTTGTTATATGTTTTGGGATCATACATGTGTTTAAATCTGGCTGTGAATCACTTCTGCACAATAATCATAGAATCTTCTCCTGGTATTAGATCATTATAGGTATTAGATCAATATATCTTCCATCCATCCTATAGGCTAGGTAATAACAGCAGGAGCTTAGTCAGGAAATGGACATGAACAAGTTGTGTTTTTGCAAAAAAGTACCGATATAAATACTGACTGTCTTATGGCCGCGAGAACGGGGTTATCCGCCTAGGCAGCTAGATAACTGTACAAGCTGACCTATAAGCGTTATATGTATCTATTATTATACAACATGTATTCCTCAAGTATGTATAATAATAAGAAAAACCAAAAATAACAATTTCCCGTAAATATCCACCGTGCTTACAAAGGTAGACAGACATGTTCCATTCGAAAAACTTGTCCAAGATTTGCACACATAAACTGTCCTTGAGTGGTAGGCGATCCATCGAATGAGAGATTACCTACTGGACCAATTTTAGAAGCTATGTTATAATTATAATGCTCTATCACCTTGTATCCGACTGAATGATGATGTGTGGGGTCATTCCCCATTCAAGTAACCTTTCCCCAGACTGGACTGGACTGAAGAGCAACGCATCAATTCAGCCTGAATTCGAACGCCCAGGATGAAACGAGCAATCCAGTCCAATCAATAGACTCAGACCATGCTGCCGAGATAGCCGTCTCAGACTTTTGATTTGCTAGAAGCGGCATGTTTATCGGTCTCGTTCGCTCTAGCTATGAAACTGGTCCATTAATCGATCGACTGTCGATACGGATTACAGATCCAATGCACATGACCGCTTGAAAAATCTTCCTCTGCAGGAGGAATGGAATGGATTGGAATTAGAACGCTGGCCATGCGGGTCACTTGTCCAGTCTACTGTGTTCTAGAAATGTCAATGACTCATTGTTCTTTGCTGCTCCCAGCTGGCTATGCTATATAAGAGATATGTATGGTATGGCTGTGCCAACTTCCTTCTGATGCAGTCGTCTTCGACAGTGCTGCCTGCTTGATTTCTCCATACATCTCCACTACTATCGACCAGCAACATGGCTCCCGAATCCGTACTCACCCAAGAGCAAAAAGACCACTTCATGAAATATGGCTACATCCACCTGACGGACTGCTTCTCGCGCGAAAAAGCTGCAGAATGGACGAAAGACGTCTGGACGCGGCTGGGCTACTCGCCCACCGACAAGTCGACCTGGACGCGCGAGCGCATCAACATGCCGTCCCACAGATCAGAGCACGTCAAGACGTTCGCTCCCAAGGCCTGGGCCGCGATCTGCGAGCTGCTCGGCGGCGAGGACCGCGTGGATGAGGAATCGGCCGTGTGGAACGACGGGCTGATTGTCAACCTGGGCACGCCTGAATGGGAAGGGAAATGGCCGCATCCGCGCGAGCTGCAGGGATGGCATGTCGATGGCGATTTCTTTGTCCATTTTCTCGACTCGCGAGAGCAGGCTTTGCTCGTTATTCCTCTGTTTACCGACATCCAGGAGCATGCGGGCGGGACGATGATCTGTCCGGATGCGATTGCACATATTGCGAAGCATCTCGTAGGTCATTCCATCTTTTCAAACAGTTTCAAGAATTCTTTTTTTTTAAAAAAAAGTAAAATAAGAAACAAAGACAAGAAAGGCAGGCTGACTTGTAACTGCTAGCACGACCACCCTGAAGGCGTCTCCCCACGCATGGTCCCCCGGGGCCAGCAACCGCAGCACGAAGGACTCGGCTTCTACAGCGAGATCGTGCAGAAATGCAATGAATTTTACGAAATGACCGGCAAAGTAGGCGACGTGATCCTGCTGCACCCGCTGATGGTGCACTCGGCATCGATCAACAGTCTGCGGATCCCGCGCATCATCACCAACCCGCCCGTGTCGCTGAAGGAGCCGTTCAACTTTGACCGCGATGATCCGAGCGAGTACAGCTTCGTCGAGCGGAAAACGCTAAAGGAGCTGGGCGTGGAGCGGTTACGTGGGTGGAAGATCACCGGCGAGAGGGAACGCGTCGTCCCTGAGAGGTTGAAGGTGCAGGCTGAGATGAAGAAGCAGGAGCTGGAGAGACTGCAGAAGGCGTTGGAGACTTCAGTCACTGCGTAGCTGGTGTTATCTCCCTCCTTCACATCTGCGCTCTCGCATTGCTTGGCGTAGTCAAGAGGATTACTCATTCATCCAGTTGTCTTCTGCTCCCGATACTCCGCGAGATCCATGTGCGTGCCCAGATTGGAGAATTCAGGCCTGTAGGCTAATCTCGTCGACCAGCAAGTAGCATTGCACCGGAACATGAGGTACCAGCTCGATCTGGGGGGATATCACATGGGAATCCTTTTTAGCCGGGAGGCAGGGACAGCCTGCAAGGCCGGACAAAAAAGGACCAGATCATCCTGGGAATGGAGTAGCTTAGGCGATACTCGGTTAGTCTGTGTCATCTTGATGGTGGACCCAGAGCCAGATACCTTCGTGGAGTGTCTGTGCTGAACTCCTCGATCCTATCCCTATATTCATGCCATCCATTATATCCAACAAAACCACATACATTCTATGGACAATATAGACGAGAGGTGAGTATCTTTCATGAGAATGACTGCCTATCAGCCAGCACCCAACTATTGGCTGTCTTAGGCGCGGAGTATCGCTCTTGACCTGTCCCAACAGCATGGCTCCTCCTTAATTACAAGCTGGGCTTGGCGAGCTTGGCTTTTCTATTTACCCGGTGCCACTAGCTGGCAGCTACCACCTAGGGTCTTCCTGGCGAATACGAATTTCTCTTCCTGGTTAGCTGGTCACCGTGTCACAGGGATTGTTCTGTCCAACGACAGTCGACTAACGCTGTTAGCGTGACGTTTTGGTACGAAATCCGGGGAAAGGTGGAGACGCGGGGAAGACTAAGCTGCTTTCGTCGTAAGTATATCTACGCCATCTCTCTTTTCATCTATTCTTATTATTGCTACTGGTCTGCGGTAAATGGCTCTTGTTGGTGGCTTCGGCTGGTTTTCCTCCTTTTTGTGTTTTTCGATTGTTCTTCTCCCGGTTGTTCTGTTCAGGATCGAGCAGCTGACGGATAAAGTCGTTGATCTAGGCTCATAGCAATATTCTGCTGGAATTGTATCAGTGACTTGTATTTATACTAAGATGCAGCCTTCAGTCGCAGCATACAGAGGCTCCGTTCCTCTATCTACTCTTTTCGCACCCGCTTACAGAAAGATCGACATACCAGCAAGACCGCCTTGCTGATACTCCCACCATGCCCGCCATCGCTGTCGGCGCGCAGACCCTCAAGGCCGAGCTAGAGGTCGCTCAGGCCGAAACTCCAGAGCTGGAAAAGGTGCGCTGGTGGGCGGATCCCGGACTGCGAAAGCTCTACTTCTGGGCGGCTGTACTGTGTGTGGCATCCGCGACGTCGGGTTACGATGGGTATCGCCCTTACCAAGAATAAAATCTCTGGAAGACTGCAGCTGACGACGTCGGCAGGATGATGCTCAATACCTCGCAGGGTCTTGACGCGTGGCAGGCCTACTTCCACACCCCCCAGGGCTCCAAGCTGGGCTTGATGAACGCCATCTTCCAGATCGGCAGTCTGTGCAGTTTCCCCTTGGTGTAAGCATTCCTAGTTCCCTACTGGGTGATTCTGTCTAATGATATCTAACGCAGTCCGTATATGGCCGACTGGTGGGGACGGAAGGTTCCCATTGCCGTGGGCTGTCTGCTCATGATGCTGGGTGGTTTTCTGGGGGCGTTTTGCAACGGATACGGCAGTACGCCTCCCTCGATGCTTTTTCTGGTGGCGTGCTGACTGTCTAGTGTACGTCGCTGGCCGTCTTGTTCTCGGGTTCGGCAACAGCCTCACTCAGATGTCATCTCCTGTGCTCTTGACGGAGATCTGTCATCCTCAGCACCGAGGCAAGGTCACGGCCGTGTACAACTGTCTGTGGAATCTGGGCGCGCTGTGTAAGTGTGCAGTCTGTCGAACAGCAGAAAGCAAGCTGACCGTTCTAGTCGTCGCCTGGATTGCGTGGGCAACTATGCAGATTCCGAACGACTGGTCGTGGCGGAGTCTCGCGTTGATGCAGGTCTTCCCTGCCGCGCTGCAGCTGGTCTTCCTCTACTGTAGGCATATCCTAGCTTCTCTGTGTTCCGTCGTCTGATGAAATGTTTCAGGGGTCCCCGAATCCCCCCGCTGGCTGATCTCGAAAGAACGGTACGACGAAGCGCTGGCGATGCTGGCCCACTACCACGCCAACGGCAACACCCAGAATGCCACCGTCCAGTTCGAGTACCGCGAGATCAAGGAGACACTGCGCCTCGAGTTCGAATACCAGAAGACGAGCAGCTACCTCGACTTCATCCGCACGAGGGGCAATCGCTACCGCCTGGCTATTCTTGTCTCGTTGGGCATCATCTCCCAGTACAGCGGCAACGCGCTGTTCAGCAACTACATGAATCTGATCTATGAGGGCATGGGCATCACCCGGCAGGATCAGAAGATTCCGGTAAGAATACCCTCCCGAGGGGGGGAATGCTGCTAATCCATGCAGCTGAATGGAGGACAAACCTTGCTGTCGCTCATCGTCAGCGTCGGCAGCGCGTTCCTGGTCGATCGCATCGGGCGACGACCATTATTTTTGACTGCGACAGTTGGCATGTTCCTCATGTTTCTCGCCTGGACCATCACCGCGTCGGTGTACGAACGAACCAGAGACGTCACGACGTCTGGCTACCCCCAGGTTGTCTTCGTCTGGTTGTTTAGCGTCTTCTATGCGCTGGCCTGGTCCGGCTTGCTGGTCGCCTACTCGCTGGAGATTCTCCCCTACAAGCTGCGTGCCAAGGGGCTGATGATCATGAATCTGACTGTGCAGGCGGCGCTGGCGTTGGGGAAGTACGCAATCCCATTCCCAGCGCAGATAAATTGTCCACGATATCTAACCTGACCACAGCGAGACGAACCCCATCGCATGGGTAAACCTGCCGCATAACTACGATCTGTCTCTCATCTACACCGTGCGTCATCACCATCTATCTCTCATTACTGATAAACACCCACTAACTGCTATCTTCTGTGTGTATTCTAGATTTGGATCTTCGTCGAGCTCCTCTTCGTCTACTTCTTCTACGTCGAAACCAAGGGACCGACCCTGGAAGAGCTGGCAAAGATCTTTGACGGCGAGAACGCCCAGGTCGGACATGTCGATCTGCACGAGGTTGAGAAGGAGCTTGATGCTGGGGACACCGATAAGGGGACTGCGACGTTGGTCGAGAGGGTTTGACTTGCAGAGTCACTTGATTGATGAATTGACTCGTTCTGTCATGCAGACTCGGATATGCTCTATACGTATATATGAAATAACGAAGTGGAATCTTGTAAGAAAAAGTCTTGTCAGGATTATGCGTTCTCACTTCCTGCCCTTCTGTTGTTTTTCATTTTTATAACTTAGAGCCAGCAACCGCCCACAACGCCAACACCTCGTTTTAGTAACCTCCTTCTCCGTCTTTCCATCCCAAACAAGCCATCTTTTCCATTACCTGGCGCTGTTTCATTTTCTTTCATTTCTTGCTGGATTTGGGTCTGTGACGCCTCCGGCCAAACCCAGTACTTCCGCCAACTGGACTTAACACACCATGCCTGAAAGACCAGAATGCCAGTCGTAAAGAAGGGTTTCCGGAACCGCACGTTGCTCTCAACGGTGAACATTATACACAGATCTGATGCAGTATCATGCATTTGCTATTTGCATAGCTAGGGAGTATTTGAAACTTCGACATTTGTAGTTTCATCCTGCGTGTGAATGTCCTTGATATGATTGCACACAGTAGCTGCATGAGACTGCAGAGTATGAGAAAAATCTATTCCCTGGGGACATTTTTTAACTCTTTTGTTTTCATCTTATTTACAATCTGAAAATAATTCAAATAAAGTAAAATAAATAAAACTACAGATAAAAGATTGACAATCGCTTATATTACGACATTTCATTCTAGCTGCATGTACCAGTGGGAGAGTATTTTCCAAATTAGGAAGCCCGTCTGCTCTTCCAAGGTTCCAACCTGGACCTGCGTCACGTGGACCATTAACCCTGAATGAACCCTCTTTCTCTGCATATATGTATTCCTATCCATCCTTCCTTCTTATATGAGATCAGATCATGCGAGTGAAATTGTCATCTTGACAAACAATTCCTTTTTCTTGACTGACGCTCTATCAAATAGAACTCAACATGCCCTCTGTACATGTAGTTAAAGATTCACTGTGATTAATTAATATAGAACATGTCTTCTTCGACAGATCCAGGAGAGTGACCTCGTCGACGGCAGTTCGTCTGCTTCAAGAGTTCATAGACTTGTGACGTAGATATAGGAATAAAATGATAATAATGACCGGCAAAATCGGGATGAATACATATATACTGAATTCTCGCTACTGTACTTTACTTTCTTGCTTATTTCGTTTATTTATTTATTAATTTTGCCCTTCTCCTTAGGATATTGTCAACTGGAATTAAAAGCTCCTACCTGCTCTTCTTACTTCTTCTTACGTAACATCTTCTAGGCCATGGAAAGATAACTTGTTCCAGAACGGTATCTGCCTTCTGCACGATGCATGTGGCTTACATGTTTACAAGATGACACAGAATTCTATCAGATACGAAATCGAGGACAAATGAATGTAGCACGTGATGGCTGTATAGGACTCGGCCAACCTTCGTTCCTTGGACAGAAGTCTGATATTCTGAACCATCGTCTGTCAGTGCTCTTCTTTCTGCATAACCTGGACGTTGCACTGACCGTCGACCTGCGGTTATTTGCGCACAACAGCACGGGTCGGCATTTGATGATGGATGATGTGCCTGCTGAAGGTCACAAAGTAGACCACTCGATAAGGTTCGATACGAATAGCTAGATTCTGGCCTGCCTGTTTACTCTTGATCATTGCCAGATCTGCTATTACTATCGGCAATTGACTCCTCATTGGCAAATGCTTTTCTCTATCGACGGCAAATGCTTTTTCTATGTCGAAAACTCAAATTCAACGTCGATGTCAACTTGTCGGTTCATGCCAGCTCCATGATACGAGATCATATCGCCTTGGCAATGTGAACGTCCTTCGAATGAATTCCCAGGCAAGTCTCATCTAGTCGAAAAGTTTTAATTCATTTATTATTAGGACAGAAGAATTGGTATTATCATCATTCTCAGTGGTCTGACTGAGCAAAGACAGCATTGTCCTCGAAGCGTTTCTGGGCGGGGCACGTGGCAGCCCAGTGCACAGACAAATCTCTTCCCCTCACTGCACAGATATCCTTTTACATCATAGCAAATAGCAAACTATCTTTTGATAGAATCATCACAAGGTCCACCCTTCTCTAGAACAATCTATGGACCGGCAATTCCGCTTTACTGAGTGTTCAGTTCAACAACTCCACTACTCCAGACGTGTATACGTTCCAATCAATGGCGACTTTGGCATCACGACTAGCATTGGCTTTTACGCCAAGACTTCCATTTCAGTTTGCTATCAGTGCGCAAGTCGCCTGCCAGCCTCTGTCACAGCTGCCCAAAAAAAAGAAAGAAGAAGAAGAAGAAGAAGAAAGGAGAAAGGAAAAGGAAAGGGGAAAAAAAAAGAAAAATATAAAGAGAAAGGAAAAATCTGAAAAGCTGACTGTTTGAATCCAGCCTCGTGGACTAAATGCGCTTCATTGAATGTATTATCAGAGAAGCGCTTCTGCTGTTCTCATCTCTTTTTCCTTACCCTGTCGATGGTTCCTCGAGGTGAAAGAAAATCAATCACCGACTGTGTGACGTCAACTATTACCAACATATTATTCTACAGATTTCGCCAAAATGGTTACTCGATATCGCGCTCTGCTGCATCGGCATTCCCTCCGCAGCAATCCCCGCAAAAATCTCCGCACCCCGGGTTGGACCACAATCTTCGTTGGAGATCTGCAAGTTGCCAACTTAGCGCAGGCGAAGCTTTTATAGTCAAAGCTTGTCACCAATAGAACAACAACAGCCGAATATCCTCCTGCCACATCCGTTGCTGGACAGCTGTCCAAGTGCCGATCTCTGCAAGTCGGGGAAATTATCCGTGAATACGAATGACAAAGTACGCAGGACGGAGTATCAAGTACCGAAAGAGGGGAAAGGACGTTCGCAGTAACAATGGTTGAAATATTTATACGGCTAGAAGCACCAGTCGTGCACTGCGGACGAGTCTGTACCAAGGGACAAAACCCAGCTGGCTTGCGACATGAGGCTGCTACGCATCCTCCCCTTTGTCGCCTCTGCGGCGGCCTTCGTCGTCAACAACGGCACCGAATGCACTGTCTTTCCTGAAAGTCTGACCCATGGCGGACAGCCGGTGGACGACTCGCCGTCGATCCTGAAGGCGTTTGAGCTGTGTGGGATCAATGGCTCCGTCATCCTGCCGGACGAGAAATTCCACATCAACCAGGTCATGAACACGACGAACCTGCTGAACTGCGACGTCTCCATCTATGGCGAGCTGATCTGGAGTACCAACATCCCGTACTGGCTGTCGCACAGCTACCCTGTCACTTTCCAAAACTTGTATGTCATCCACATTCTGTCTAGTGAGTTGAGTGCGGCTGACGTTTTAGGTCTGCGGCATGGTTATTCGGTGGCACCAACGTGACGCTGAGGGGATACGGTAAGGGACGGTTCTTCGGGAATGGTAAGTCTGGAATCATACCTATATACATTGTCCGTCCATTCTAATCTATCCTGGCAGGCCAAACCTGGTACGACGAGAACCGCAACAACAGCAACCAGCCGGGCCGGCTGATGGCGTTTGTCATCTACAACTCGACCAACGTCCTCGTCGACGGACTCAGCTGGTTCCAGTCGCAGTTCTGGCACTCGTTCGTGTCCTTTTCGCAGAACGTGACCATGTCGAATATCTTCATGAACTCGACGAGCAACGACGGCAACAGGACCGTCAATACGGACGGCACGGACACGTGGAACTCCCGAGACGTGAAGTTCTATAACTGGACTGTGCAGAATGGTAAGCCAGTAGATCCACAATAGTGATCTTTTTCTACTCACATGACTGCAGGCGACGACTGCATCGCCATCAAAGGCAACAGCACCAACATCCACGCCAAGAACATCACCTGCTACCACTCCAATGGCATGCCGATCGGCTCGGTGGGCCAGTTCCCTGGCGAGCCCGACTACGTGGAGAACATCCTCTTTGAGGACGTGACCCTGATTGACTCAAACAACGCCGGCTGGATTAAGGCATGGCAGGGCGTGCCAACAACGCAAGACGCCAACGGCGACAACGGGGGTGGTGGAGGTGGCTGGGCGAAGAACGTGACCTTCCGAAACTTCAAGCTGCACAACGTCGCTCTGCCGATCTATGTCACGGAGTGTATTTATGGCGGAGATCCGTCCGTGTGCGACACATCTGAGGTAGGCCCAAAACAGCAGAAAACCCTTAAACAAGCTTCCTGCTGATTTGTATGTACTGTACAGTTCCAAATCTCCGACATCACCTGGGAGAACTTCACCGGCACGTCCAAGTACGACATCATCGCGTCGCTGCACTGCAGCAGCAAGGTGCCGTGTCCCGGCCTGAAGTTTGTTGACATCAACATCGAGACGATGAATACCAGCCTGGGCCTGCCGAGCAAGCCGCTGGTGTACCAGTGCGCGAACTTGGTGAATCCCATCGACATCCCGTGCAATCAGTATGCCCCGAATGATTTCCCGGAGACGCCGACGCAGAACTATTAAACGAGTGAAGCCACTCGCAGTGTGGCATGGCACTATCTTTATGACATGATGTTGGAACGATGCTCTTGACTATTGCCTATAGCCATTATATGTGGAATGCTGGTGATAGTAATACACAAACTAATACACATCTTATACAAGATACCAAACCAGGCTATAAAAATCATACGAATAACACAAGTTCAGCCTCAAAAGTAAACAGAGACATTTTACAATGCTATAATCCAGCCAAGGCTCGCTATCTGATAAGAGCCTTTTTTTTTTCAGATAAGCATCCATCCCTACTCACACTGCATGTTCTTAATAAGGAAGATACATGCACAAAACGTGATCGATCCATAATTGATCCATGGATCGATCGATCGATCGACTGTAGGTTCAGTACGTACGTAGTACTGGACAAACCTAAACCCTAATTCTAGCGACTTAACCCGTGGACTTACAAACCCTACCCTACCCTACCCTAGCCCGAGATAACCTCCCCATGGGGAAAAAATTCGATACGGTGTTTGCTTAGGACTTGCTGGTGATTAATTAGGTGATGTTTTATCATTTATTGAATTTATAATAGAATAACCAGGTATGTATTCCATGAGCATAATGATTTTGTTGGCTGCTTGAGGAACTATCGTGTTTATTCATTCACCTAGTCAGTTGTTACCTATTGTGTGTGCTCTTCTCGAGATATATATGCCCTGTGCCACCATACCTCTAGATAAAATACCTCTGTTGGATCCATTCCGTTATGTCTATGATTGGAATGGGTTATCCATCTCATTGATTATCTTCAGTCGAGGTCATAATCTCTCAAGATTGTACGCTACATACTATTCATAAGAATAATACCATTCCAAACAGTATATACATACATACTGTACATGTCTACTTACTTAGTGTACTGCCGCACTCGACTATATATGCTACAACTTCGCTACCGGCCGCTCAAACGCCTCTCTGATACTGACCCCCTTCGCATTCGCGCGCTTCCACATCTCGACCCGTCGCTGATGCCCATCCCAGAAGGTCTTCACCCAGCTGGGGTCGAATTTCGGCAGTCGTCGGCCCGGTCGGCCCTTGCTCTCGTCCGGCTCGCCCGCCAGCCGCCGCACCAGCTCGAAGTATTCCTCAAAGTCGGGCGCCAGCAGCGTGAAGCGCGGGCCGTCGCCGCGTTCTTTGATCCGCTCTGCTTCCCATTTCCTGCGCTCCTCGAGCGGTGGCAGTTGGGCGCGGCCGGCGAAGACGCGCGCCGCGAGGACGGATTGCCATTCGAAGACTTTGAAGGTGAATCCTGCGCCGACCTGCGGACTGGTTAGCTGCGATGTACATACAGTACAGAGAAAAAAACAGAAGAGAAGTGGGTAAAAGGACGTACCGCCCCGATAAAAGCCAGCGTAGGATCCTCTCCATGAAAGACATGCAGATACAAATCCGGGATGCGATTATTCCTCGTCTGGATATGCGGCAAGAACGGCAGAGTCCATGAGTACCCCGTGCCAAAGATGATGTGGTCGACGTCGCGCAGGGAGGAGCCGTCCTCGAAAAAGACGGTTCGGCCGTCAACATCAACGTGCGAGATGGGCGGTCGTCGCTGGATCTTGGGGTGCTTGAAGGCCTCGTCGCCAAAGTAGATGTTGTATTTGCCGCGCACGACGGCGTGGATGGGCGTTTCGGCGATGTCGATCAGGCTGACGGCTGTGTCGGCGGCGGAGACGGATGCGCCGACTGTGATGACTCTCTAGGTGTGCGTCAGTTGAGAATGTTTAAAAAAAAAGATTTTAAACAGGGGTATAATACCTTCCCACGGTATTTTTCCGGATCCCTGAATCCCTTCGTATGCTCGACGCTCCCCGGATAGACGGCCGCAAACTCCTTGAGCCCCTTGATGGGAGGGATATACGGCACGCTGTAATGCCCGCTGGCGACAACCAGCGCATCGAACGTCTCCTGCCACCAGTAGTCGTACTGCCTGCCCTGTCGGCGGAGCGTCAAGACCCATTTATTCAGAGTCTTGTCCTTGCGGGCATTCTCGACTGTGGTGTTATACTCGACCAAATCCTGGTAGCCGTTGCGGTTGAGGAGATCTTCGATATACTGCCTGATGACGGTATGATGGCGGAACGGGGTATCTTCGCCATGGATCTTGATCGAGGTTGGCGATCGAATGGCCGGGATGGGCTCCTGCGAAAACGACATGATGCCCGCGTCGACGTTGGCTTCGAGCGTCGGGTATACCGGCGTGTCGGTGAACCGGTTCTTGGACGACCGCGGCGTGTACGCCGGGAACGTCTTGGGAAGCTCGACTGGCGCATCAGCTGTTCGATTGGCGAGGGCATCCAAATCGGTGAGAGCGGGTGGTTCTTCGTCGTCGTAGATCCTGATATACAGTCAGCATATGTACTGCACATACATGTACTTTTGCACTACCAGCATCCCCCGGCTTTCTCCCTCCTCTCAAACACACGGATTACATCAAAAGCTTTTTCCTGCGCAAAGGCGTCGACGGCGATGGCGCCGGCGGGGCCTGCCCCGACGATGGCCACGCTTTTGACGCGCATGGGTCGACAGCAGACAAGACTAATTAAGATCAGGTGAGATTTCTAACCTAATGTCTGCGATAGAATAGGTGTATCGATCTACAGAGTAGCGTGTTGATATAAATACAAATAATTCTGTTAGATGTACTTTGTACGATTAGCGACCCACCAATCCGGATCGCCTCCGCTTATCAAAATCGTCGCAGCAAGCACGCCATTCTGGGACCGGCCAGCGTCATGCGATTAGATAAGATCACAAAATGCAGCTGTCAGTAATCATCTGAAGATATGAGGTGGAAGATATAATATCCACTGTTGGAGGTAATCGTACTGACGGAGTTATGTATGGCACTGCCCAATTAAACTGTAAAGCGGTTAAGAGGACACTACCAGTAGACTCGACAATATCAATAATAATCTACATACTGATCGGTTAATTTGTCTTCTCCAACTGCATAAACAGAGAAACTCCACTGGACAAGTCCCTGGATGAAGGTACATTTCTCCATCTATTCCATCCAATGAGAATACACATTCCGCTAAACTAACCAACCAATGCACGCTGATTGACCCACACTCCTTCTAGCCAATCACGCCATTGTGGTGTGCTTTTACATCAGTGTAGCAATACTTTATTGTGATATCGAACAAGAGATTTATAACGATGACAGAGATGGCATACAGCTAGTTGCACGTGTAAGTGGACCCATTGAGTCGTAAAAAAATGAAAAATAAATCGAACTACTGGTCCAAGTATATAGTGCCAGTATTAAGTTGATTTATTTGTTTGCACGAGAATTAGATCTGACAATATACTCCTAGTACGGAAAATAACCTCTTTAATCATATATCCTCCTATATTATGTTGGATAAGAATTAAAAATCTTTTCTCGTGTATCTATAATATACACTATTGATCTTGTGTTCAGCTTATATAAAACTCCTTCGGAATGATTGAGCCTTGACTTCCACAGAACTATCATGGCAGACAGCACCAAAATCCTCTCCTTGAGAGAAGAAGAGACGAAGACGACGCACTTCAGAGAGAATCCATCGATTGAACATGGCATTGCAGACGAGCTGCGAGTCCGCACAAAGTGAGTCCTCAGAGCATCGAATGCACCAAGCTTGTTTCTGTTTCTGACCCCTCAGAACCGACCTCTCCGTCCTCCTCCTCCTCTTCCTCGGCCTGACCGTCTTCCAGCTCGACCGCATGAACATAGGCAGCACCCTGACCGGCGGCTTTGCGGCTGATATCGGCGTCGACCAGAACACGATCAACCTGGGCAACCAGCTGATGTTTTTGGGCATTGTCGTGCTGGAGATTCCGTCGAATATGCTGCTGCAGCGGGTGAGCGAGCAGACAGGACACAGACTGGCAAGGATGCCTAATATTGCTAACTTGACGTTTAGATCGGCCCCAGCAAGTGGATCTCCGCCCAGGTCTTCATCTTCGGCCTCGTCGCCACGCTGCAGATCTTCATCACCAGCCGGGCTGGCTTCCTCGTCACTCGCAGCATCTTGGGGCTGGCTGAGGCGGGCTACATCCCCGGAGGCATCTACACCCTCTCAACGTGGTATCCCCGGCACGAGCTGGCCACGAGGGTGGCCGTCTTCTTTTTCGGCATGTTCGGGGGCAACGCCATCTCTCCTCTGCTGGGGGCTGGTATCCTCAAGCTGGATGGTAGAGGTGGGCTGTCGGGGTGGCAGTGGATTTTCTTGAGTACGCACCAACCACACTATATGAATACATATCCAGTTGCTAACGTGGATGCTGTCAGTCGAAGGAATCTGGACCATCGCAGTGTCGGTCCTCCTATTTCTCGCCCTCCCAGCTAGTCCAGACAATCCAAGACCGCTGTTCTTCCCCGGGTTGATCCGCTTCTCCGAAGAAGAGCAGTCCATTCTGCGGGTAAGACTGGGGCGAGATAACCACGAGAAGAAGAACAAAATTCCCCTGCGCGTCGTCTGGCGCACGCTGGCGAATTACCGCCGCTGGCTGCACTACCTGGCGACTGCGTGCGTCTTTTCGACCTGGAGTCCGCTGACGACGTACACGCCTAGCATTATGCTGTAAGTAGCCATACACCAGTCATCGACAACGCAGTACATTCGTCAACGACGAACAACAATCGAAACTGACAGCGCCACAGATCCCTCGGCTTCGACAAAGTCCGCGCCAACGCCGTCGCCGCCATCGGCGCCTTTTTGGCCCTTCCAGTAGTGCTCTTCTTCGCTTGGCTGAGCGACCGCACCGGACGACGCGGTCTGGCCGTCGGCCTGGCCATCCTGTGCTACCTGGTCGTGCTGATCGTCGCGCGGACGGTGCAGAGCCACGATCAGCAGCTGAGTCGATGGCACCGCGTCGGCCTCTGGACGGTCGTCAACGCGTTTGCGGTGGGATATCATCCTGTGCACAATACCTGGGTGCAGGTCAACTGTTGCGAGCCGACGGAGAGGAGTATTGCGATTGCGTGAGTGCCTTGCCAGAATCAATTATATATTATATATGTGAAGAGGTCGTTGCTAACAGTATAATTTTAGGATATGTGAGTGAAATAAGTTTCTCCTGTTCTATATATCTATACAGGCATACGCTCGTGGGTTCGAAACTAACTGCAATTGCAATCAGGGGTCATGAGCGCCATCGCAGGCCTTATGGCAGGGACACAGATCTTCCGCGCCGGCGATGGTCCATTGTAAGTATCCATACCTCTATAGAAACCAGATATTGTTGTCAAATCGCTAACAACGTCGTCTATTTTGAAGCTACCCCCATGGCCTCCTCATCATGATCGGCCTCGTCTCGGCCGGCCTAGGCTGCGTCATCCTGCAGGAGATTGTCTACATTGTGCTGAACGCGCGGACGAAGAAGAGGTCGATAGCTACGGGAGTGTCGCGGTTTCTGTACACGCCTTGATACACGCCTTGATGGGATTTAAGGATAGCGAGATGAAATGTGTAAATACGTTGGTACTATAGGACATAGACAGATTAGAACTGTGTTTAGCTATTTTCTTTTTTTTTTCTTTTTTCTTTTCTTTTCTTTTTTTTTTTTGCCTTCTTCTTCTGATTATTATTATGTGACGCATGTTGAAGACTGAACTAGGAAACAAATGTCATGCCATTCCTTTTGGCAGTTTGCAACATCTCCTAAAGTACATTAATGATTTACAATGAATGATTTACAATGAGCCGATCCAGCAGTAACCGTTTTCCCACTCGTACCAAAGACAAGTATATATCACGCTGAAACACCTCACCCTTCCGCAGCCCAATATATCTCCCCCTTCTCATCGGCATCATCTTCCACGCCATAGATATCGAAGCCAGTCTCTTCCAACGCATCGACGTACATCTGGAAGACTTTCGGCCCGCCACGACGTGCTAACTCGGTCGGGGTAACCCATTCACCATCGATCTTTGCCGTCTGATGGGGATCGGCACCGAGCTGCAGAACGAGATACATTGTGTCGAAATCGCCAGCGTCCACGGCGACGTGCAGCAATGTCCATCCACGAGCGTCTGTCGAATAGATGAAGCTGGGCTGCAGATGCCGTGCCAGCTCTGCCAGGGTGGCCGTGTTGCAGAATCGAGCCGCACAGAACACGGGCGTCCAGCCCAGGCTGTGCGTGGTGATCAATGGCGATGCGCCAACCCGCAGCAGCTCGCGGACGTCTGCGGCCGTCCCATACGCGGCTGCTCGATGCAGACAGGTCCAGCCGCTGGAATCCTGCACGTCGAAGTCTGCAAAGGAGTTGGCGCAGAGGAGGTGGAGGAATTCCGGGCTCGGCTGGTCTTCCTTGGATGGCCAGAAGAGCTCGAAGACGGGAGTCCATCCTCGCGAACTGACATAGTCTAGTCGCGCGCCCCGAGATATGAGGAAGCGAGCGATCTCGATATGCCGGTAACAGAAGGCCCACTCCAGGGGGCTCCTAGCGGAGATCATCAGCACCTTGCTCTTTGAACGGGGGTGATGGTCATGACTTACGTCTCATACGAGCCAAAAGGAGTGTTTACATCAGCTCCACGAGCGCACAGCAGCTGGACTAGTTCGAGGGATCCGCTTTCAATGGCATACTTTGAACCACGATCAGCTTCGTCTACCGTTATGGATACGACGAAACCACATTACCTGCATTGGACCATAGTTACTGGGTGTTACATCGTGTGGACTTGCGCGACAGGTGTCAAGGAGCGCCCTGACGGCCTGGACATCACCTCGTTTGCTGGAAGTTATGATCTCTGCTGTGTCTGGGACGACGTTCTTGAACATCAGAGCTCCCCCGAGAAGCGAAAGCCCCAGGCCACCTAGAGAGAAGTATCGGATTCCCAAATGGAGGCAGAGGGATCTCATGCCGAGGAAGCGATACGGGCCTATTCGCGCGGTGATATTTATCGTCTTATGCAATGCATTTCCGTATGTGGTCACGATGACATGCAGCCCGAGCCAAGTGAGCCATAGCGACTCGGGTGAACGCCAGGAACCCCAGAACGCGTTCCAGAACTGGGGGTTTCGATCCAGAATGTCCGCCACAGTGCGTCCTGGGGGGACGGGACAGGTCTCCTTCTCGTCAGATGCCGTCGCACCCTGGCGGAGAGACGTGACCATTTTCCAGGAATGAAAGCTCAGACGACTGTAAAAATAAATTAGAATACAAGATCTTGCGTAAACGGGAGGGTAGGTACAACATGTTCACTAATTGCAAGACATTGCCTAGACTGGCATCGACCTGTTGTAGATTTGCCAGATGGCCCTCGACTCGCTCCTTGTCTTTCAGCGCCCACGACATCCGACTTTTCAGATTCATTTTGGCGCTTCCTAGGTTATCCAGAGACTTGTAGATACGGCGGATGACCGCGTCCGCTGATTGCAATGCCTGCTCCAACGCAGCAGCCTCGGCCGGAAGCAGAGGCAACTCGTCGCCCGCGGCGGCCTGCTCCTCGAGGTAGGAGAGAAGGTCCAGCTCGCAGCGCAGGATCTTCAATCGGTCGACGACACGGGACAACTCGTGGGGAGCATCTCGATAAGTCCGGGTTAGCTGAGCGGCTACTTTGTAAGTCTGGACGGCAAGCACCGTCAGTTGGGCGAGCGATGCCACTCCTCCGACAACCTCCATGTGTGAGTCTGGATATGTGCGCAAGATATGTCTCTTGACAACAATATGACACCTGAAGAAAGCAGAAGTTGGAGATCATGGTCATCAGCACTGGGATGTAGTGTGGGGTTATCTTAAGCCCCTCAAGAAAGAGAGGTATGCAAGCGCTGGCGTTGGTGCGACGTTGGCGGCGCTTACAGCAATCTTCAAGAAAGGCCTGTTGACAGAAGTTCATCAACCCTAACCAATCATCCAAACGCGGCTGATGAACAGCAAAAAGCTTCCTGGAGATGCTACGGGCTCTTTGAACGAGGCTGCTGCACGATTACGAATTCATCGCACAGCCTTGTCGGGACAGTGTCAGCCTCGTGCGAGCCGCCAAACACATGGCGACGAGCCGCACAGCCTGAGACGAATCAGGCCCTGACACGACATGCAGCGAGGTTGTGTTAGTCAGCGAGATGAACGGGATGATTCTTGAGGCTTGGACGCCCCGAGCGCCTTATAACAGAAGAAAGCTTCCAGTTGTTTCAACGAGTAATTCATCCAAATACATCGACTCCGGAGTACAACAAGCCTGGACCGGTTACCTTCATACACTCTTAGTTCAACAAAAGACCAGAAACGGCGCCAGCCAGAGCAAGCAGGCTGAGTCTACGTCTCAGAACAGTATGATACTCATCCCCCTGTCACCTGAACAACAACAGATTTGTGCCTAAATCCGGGAGAATACTAATAAATATTTTCTCCGGATTATAAATCCAGCAGTTGATAGCTATTCTATCTGCACTGGAAGCCCATTATGGCGGCAGTAGAACCATGGTGAGTAATCCAGAAGTTAAGTTAGCTGCGCAAGTTTGTTCCAGTAATCGCTGAGATAGCATTTATCACCCAGGTACCCTGTGAACTTCGACTGTAAATGTGGCAATAATTGCCAGCCCGGCACAGGCTGTCAAGCGACAAACGCCACATGAATAATTATATCGGTGTGTTGGGTGTCAGGAATATTATCATGGAACTCATTGTATCATATGCTATAGGAAGGGTGCTTGGTCCATGCCGACGAACGAGATATCGGACTTGGCTTGAAATTGTGCTCTGTGTATGTATACTCTCATTTAACATGATAGGGTAGCTAGCAATCTTTGCTCCTGGCTTTGTTCAATATCTTTACATACAGTAGACATACATTAGGTTCAGGGGGCTATGGTGCTTTTTCGTAAGGGTTATTCCGGTAGCGCTAGCTTTTCTAAATCGAATGACAGGTAAGAAATGCACATTACGAAAGACTCGCCTTCCGCAATATGAATGTCATGAATGTGTGCGAATCGTCTGAAAGATGAATTGCGAAGAACGAGACTACTCCGGCTTCCTACCGTATACAACGTAACTAACCAGTTGTTAGAGTTCAAGGTAATAATAATGAAGTGTAAGAATGATCAACTTACAAATCAACCAGTGCATGGATCCCTGGGTTATGGATGTCATTCAAAGCCCCAGCTGTAAGAACGATTACCTCTTCAAAGGACCATGATTCAAATTTCGTCAATATCTCCGTGGCAGCTGCTTGGAAACCTTGCTCTGCCTGGAGCAAATTCCAATCGCCAATTCTTTTCTGCTTGAAGTTAGTAGAAGCTGAGAAGGGAAGTAATGAAGAAGAATAAAGAGGATTGCTCCACATACGTAATATGGATCTCTGAGCCAGTTTCCAATTTGCGCGATATTTCTGAACATGGACGTCCACAAATCCTGCTTCGTGGAACCACTGTTCTAGGAACGGCCCTGGATTTGCATGATATCCGGCTTTCTCAGAAGCATCTATTACTTCCATGCTATGCCTCTCAATTTCCGTGCCCTTGGTGGTTCCATCTTCAGACGTTATTGAGTTATCCCAGTCTTGAAATTCCACCCAGCCTCCAGGCTTAGTAATAGCTACTCATCGAGTTAACATAGCCTCAGCGCTGAGGTGAGCTGAGAAAACTTACTTGAAACACTGCTTTAATAGCTTCCTGAAATCCTTGATGGAATAAGCCATATTACGGACATGGATGAAGTCGAATGGAGTCTCATATACCCATTCGTCCTCAATATCATGAACGCAAAACTTCACATTTGACGGAACTTCCGATGGCTGAGGACTCAGATCGCTGCCAATGACCTACGCAGATTTCTTAGCTAGGCACTTTCCCGCATGGTAGAACGGAGACTTACCTCAGCAGAAGGAATAGTTCGGCTGCGATATGAGTTTCCAGGAATGTAGATAAATGAGGATGCTCAAATATCTTAACCTACCAAAATAGATTGCCCATAATCCGGTCCCAGTCCCGATATCAAGAACTCGCTATGGTGATGGTCCAATAGGTGCAAGAAATAGTTTTCTCCCCATGATTGTCAGTGTCATCTCATGGATCATGAACTGACGATCAGCTTCTTCCTCGTCATTGGGTAAGCATTGGTTCCTGTAATTGTCGATTAAGCTAGCATTTGTTAGCGCATAAATATGCCAATGGTGGAAAATGTCACCAACAGTTCATCCAGATAAGTCGGGTCTCTATCAGTAGCCTAAGGTGTGTTAGAAATCACAAGTGTGGGGAACATATTGGATTTGCAAACCTGAGGATCCACTTCAATGGCAGGTTGAGTATTCTCTGCCAGGGACTCGCTCTGTCCGCTGGACTGACTTTGTCCGGTGAGTTCTGCCATTAAGCAATGGACCTTAACAAGATGCGATCATGAAAAAGAACGCGCTGCAATTGAAGTGCTGCTCTGCTGCTTTTTATTCACCTTTACTAGGGGTATATCGGATCCCTGTAGACTCCACTTTGACACATGTGATAAAGCATGGATAGCTGCATTAGTGTCACAAACTAAGGACAAAGTTAATATTCTGGGATGCACACAAGCGAAAGTGAAACAAGCTTTCTCAGATTAACTGCAATCTTTCTTTTCGAGGTAGACACGACATCGTACTCTTCCCATCGTAATTGCAACACAATATGTTATCTGCTATCGGGCGGACACCACAAGAGCAGCGGTCTGGCTGATTAGGTCGGTTCAATATTAAGAAATGGTAACTGAAGCTAAAGATTGTTCACCGCAGCATGATTCGAAAGTGCTCCTAGCTCAGTTATCCACAGGGGTAACATGCCAACCGTCTGCGGCGCATCCGCTCCGAAGAAATTAAGGCTGCATGCTGCCTAGTAGTGCTCCTCGACTGCGCTGCGCCGCACCCCTGCGAACTACCTGACTACTAGGAAGAAATTTTGTAGAAGAGCAGTTGCTTTTATGTGTTGAGGTAATATTAATAATCAGACGTAGGAACGGATTCAGCACCCAGATCTGACATGTCGTACCTGACGGGATCAGCATGTGATTACCGAATTAGGAAGACCGGTTGCCTTAAATTTCTACCAATAGAGACTATCTCTCTCCATCAACGATGTTGGCTGTTTTTTTAATATTACCAATAAAATGGCTTATTAGATGATCTTTAAATTTGAAATTCGGTCGCGAATATCCATGTCGAACTTTCTTAATGGGCGGTTCTATGAAAACATCTGCTTTGTCGCGAAGGACTGTGTTGAAATCTCTCAAAGTCTTGGCAGAGTAAAGTACGGCCAGGATGCTTCAAGATATTGACGAGTATTACTGCATTGCATGATCCATCGATGTGTCGTAAAAAAAAAAAGTAGAACTCCTCTTGGAAAGTGTCCCGGTCAATGTCAGATCCAGGATCCAGGCTGTCCTTGCGGACCATGCAGGATGGGCGGATATTTTCGCTCATTTTTCTGTGTTCTGTGGATCAATTGAAAAGGTCGTTTTCAAGCCAGTACCTAGCAGCATTGTCAAAGAAAAACGTATGAACTGTGTCATTGAATGTTGATGTAGACAGTCATGTGCAGCCGTTCCACCCGGCTTACCGCCTACCGTATTCAGCATGCTGACTCAACATTTATGTGACCTATTTTACCAAATAGGTCTAGTAGCGGCAGAATCCTGCCACATCATTGGTCTGTTGTAGAATACGGTTCCAACAGGCACCAGTTGCCTAACTAGGTACATAATCGATTGCTTCGCCAAAGTTACTCACGTCATCATCCTCATTTGATCGTCGAGAATGAAGAAAACCATAATTCTTGGTGATCATCAGGCTGGAAGTTATTTTTCAGATGGGGTCTGTTAAGTACTTAGCCAAGGATTGCGTACTCCCAGGTTTATGCATTTGTGCATACGTCAATGATTGACTTCATCTCCATTTGTGATACAACACTGCGCGAAAAAAAAAACTTATTAGATATCCCGAGACCAATTATACAATTATACTTTACTCTATGCGCAAGTGATCGTCTGTGTCTTTCTCATATGGTTGATCTTGACTGCATATATTTTTCATGACCGCCGGCAGAACGGGAGCCTGCGCCGCTTTTTCTCAATAAATCCACGTTAGCTGGGGGTTGATGGTATGTTACGTCTTCCAAGCTGTCTCCTAGTTGGATCAGGAGCTTCTCTTCAGGTCCACACTGAGGGAATACTTTGACAGCGCATGAATATCGGTCTGCCGTTTCTTATTCTGAACCAATGCGACGAGATCACTGCCATAGCTTGCGCTGCCATTTTGGCCTAGAGTAAAAAGTATTTCGACATTAAAAAGTGATGCAGACACACTGAGGCCGCAATTGGTCGACGAGAAAGTAGAGCCAACGTTGGAACATCATGATCTTTGTATCCAGTACCCTTTCAGGCAGTCAGATAGTCTGCGTAAGTATCCAGGCTCGCTACGAGGCCAATCAACTTCCCTGGCCAGGTATTACTGAGGTCCACTATGCCTGACCTGACCTTCCGGTGAGCACTCAAAAACACTGAGATGAGACTTCTAGGCATCATGCCTCTCAGCAAGGTAGAGCATCACCATGATTACGCGTAACAAGAGTTTTTACACTAAAGTTCAAGACATGGCATACCTAGGTAACCTTGAAGCAATCGTTCAACATCCATGAAAGCATGACTACCTAGGTACCTATCCGCTATTCGTTCCTTTGCCGAATAAAATTTCGTTCCTGTCCATCAGGGCCGTCACATGAGGGTAAAATCCTAGGGTAACTTCCAGCCTTACCCTCTGGTTGCGCAGGCACACATTACAAAATGACGTTGAGAGAGTGCTCTAGAACCAATTACTTCATCTTTCGCCCCTGTTTGACTTTTCTGCCTATTACCCAATGATGTGCTCAACCTAGGCATACGTACCTGACTTGGCCCTAATTGAGTTCAAACTTGACAGGTACCTCATCATGATTCTCCTCTCATTGGGAAGAAGCCTTCATACAGTTAAAACTTAAGTCTAGACTAGACCCTTGGTGTGACGTACATACAGTACAGGACATAGAATGAGCGTCATCGACATCATAATTCTTTTTCTTTTCTGTCTTTTCTCTTACTATATACTTACTGTATGACTACGACGTCACCCTTATCATAACAAAAATCCCATTGTCTAGGTGTTGAAAAAGTGTTTGAGCAAAAGTTATATAAACCTCCCAATTCCCCCCTCCCTCCTCCGAGTCTGATTCCTGTGAAGTGTCACAAGAAATAGGTCTTGGATTGTCCTTCTCGATCTACTTGCCCTACACACTTATAATCACTCAGTTGATCTGTCAAGTCAGTGAATCAATCAACCAATCAACCAATAATTCATCATGCGTTTCACCGAGGTTCTCTTCCTCACCTTTGCCAGCATGGGGTACGTTGCCTGTCCAGTTTTAATAACACCACACACCCTTCGATAGTCTTCATTTTGTACAACTATCTATATGCCATCATACATGTATCCCAACAGACCAATCCTTTTATTAACCCCTTCATGAATATTATAGTGCCGTCGCCCTGGCGGCCCCTCAAAACGGCGCTGCCAATGCCCCCGCCGTTGCTACTCCTGCGGGCGTCCAGGCCGCAGTCGATGGTCGCTGTGATGAAGACCATTTCAAGGACAAGGATGGCTTCTGCCATCGCAAGGATGATGATGACCGCGATGGCCGCCGGGACCGTGACCGCGATGAGGACCGCGATGGCCGCCGGGATGAGGACCGCGACGGCCGCCGGGATGAGGACCGCGACGGCCGCCGGGACGAGGACCGCGACGGTCGCAGGGACCGTGACCGCGATGGCCGCCGGGATGAGGACCGCGACGGTCGCAGGGATCGTGACCGCGATGGCCGCCGGGACGAGGATCGCGATGGTCGCAGGGACCGTGACCGCGACGAGGACCGTGATGGCCGCCGCGACCGTGACCGCGATGGCCGCAGAGACGAGGACCGTGATGGTCGCCGGGATGAGGACCGCGATGGTCGCAGAGACGAGGACCGTGATGGTCGCCGGGATGGTGAGGATGACGGCAAGGATGGTGAGCGCAAGAAGTGGTGGGCTTAAACGGTGGGCATAATCGATGGTGATGGTCTCTATACCAGCCCAGTGAACCAAGAAAAATATGGATATCAAGGGACCATAGATAGCCTTCGCTTAGATTCAATGGGAATACGCTTGCTCTCAAGGGAAAAACAAAACTGTCACTCGCTGATATCTATCTTTGTACTTTGACCATTGCTATAAAAACTGGTATTTAACACTATAATATCCGACGTCAGTGGCATATTGTGGACTAGCTGGATAATATAATGAGCTTACATCAGTTTTTCGCCCTGTTGAATTTACAGTAAAGTACACATACTTAGCTTGGTGCACGTATGACTATTGTGATGTGATGGCAGGTCCAATCAATTAAGGGTGTTATTAGGGCTAGGACTTATCACCTTCACTTCGTAGACTTCTTCCTTATTTTTATCCCTTTCCATCTTTAGCTTTTGATTGTTCTTTGGTAGCTAACAATGCGAGTTTCTGAGTCCAGGTCTAATAAGTAGATTTTATCACTTCAATTAAAGTATAAGCCTAGTTTTTCTATACTTATTATTTGGCTTCGTAAATTCACAGGCCGTATATATCAATGAATATACGTGCCCAAAAGTCTGGCACAATCTTGACTCGCGCCAACCCTACTATTTTACAATTTAAGCCTATTCTATTTATTCTATTTAACTTATTTCTTTCGATACTCAGAAGAGCATTATTAAAGGATGACACAGAACGAGCAATTAAATGCAAGAGAATGTGAGACTCGTAAAAGCAGGAATACTCTCCTATTTCGGTTCCAATGGTAGTTCGGAGAGAGTTTATATGAGCTAGTGCTCTGCTGGTCACTACATCGCGTGAGAATCGTTCTACCTAAGAGTACTGGACAGAATGATTGTCGATCCTTTCTTCCACAAGCAGGTGCTGTAGTGAGGGATACAATCTTCCACTTTCGTCAGACTTATCGACAGCACCTGTAACGCTGACAAGGTGCTCTTTCTTCGATACAGAGCGTATGTGCGAGGCTGACTAAAAGAAAAGCGAGCGACAAAACACAAAAAGTGGAGTAGACAGATCAGGATCAAGGCAGAGAAGAATCAACCACTAGAACCGACTTGCTTCTCTCCAGTGCGGGAGATATTTCTTGAAGAGCTGCGCCATCGGCTCACACCGAAGCACTCGCCAGTGCACGGCGTAAGTTCTCCGTGCCATAGAAAGCCATGTTTTCGTGGACCTCCCATCGAGTCCGCTCATCGAGGACTTTCTCCTGCAGCATCGGGACCAGCGGGTGCAGAGGATCTTCGACAGCGTGAGGGAGACACTTGACCCACTCCGGATAAGGCAGGCCTCGCAGGGGCGTGGTGGGAGAGAGGTCATTAATAATCTCGAACGTGGTCTCGAGATCGATCGCAGCGCCCGGCTCCGGCTGAACGAGGTTGTATGCGTGGCCCAGGTTGTCGTTTGTTGAGGCAATGTGCAGCATCGCAGAAACGACAAAGTCGACAGGGACGAACTCCTTGCGCTGCTTGGGAAGCAAAGGATAGCAGCCCATCCGGATGCAACTGGCGATCAGTCTCCCCACGAAATCATCCGGGTTGCCTATTCCTGTCTTGCTGTGGCCCAGGACAAAGCCGGGACGGTAGATGGCAACCGGAAGACCGTTTTCAACGGCATTCCATACCACGGCTTCGGCGACATATTGGCTCTGAGAATACCCCGTATCGTATGCGAGGGCAGCGAGATGTGCCGCTGGCTTCTCATCCTCTGGCAGATAGGTCGTCCCCGTCACGAACCCCGTCGGACCGTATGCTGCGATGCTGGATGAGTAGTGCAGCGCCTTTGGTCGCTTGTGGTTGGCGAAACGAAGCATGTGGAGCGTTCCCAACACATTGGCATCCCGATGGGTCGAGTAAGGCTGCACGTAGTTGACTTGGGCTCCCAGGTGAAAGACCACACTGGCCCACTGGGCGAAGTAATCATACTGCTCTTGCCCGAGCCCCAGGTCTGGTTGGGCGAAATCGCCCGGCAGGACATAAAGTTTCTCTTCTTCTGGGCCCAGGCTGAGTTCGTATTTCTCCAGCGTCTTTTTGACCCGGGTACGGGCCATGGCTTCATCCTTTGCACGCACCCAAGCATGCCACCGTCTTCGTCTGAGGCAGGGCGAGCAGCTCCGCGAGGAGGAATGCGCCGACAAAGCCCGTCACCCCGGTCATGAACACTCGTCCCTCCAATTTGCTCCGCCAGTCGGGCAGACGGCCAGCGATGGGCTTCAAATCCCTGCCCAGTTCCGAGTCTTTGACCAAGATATCCATTTCCTTGGTGTCTTCCCGCCATTCGACGCCTTTCTTGAGCGTATCAATCAGTCTGGACAAATCCTCCAAGGTCGGATGCTGTTATAAGGCTGCCGCACGCAGTTCGACTCCGAATGATCGCCTGATCCTGGCGACAAGACTGGCCGCCTGCAAGGAGGTGCCCCCCATCAAAAAGAAGTTATCAGTCGGCTCCAGCGTGTCGATGGGGATACCAAGGATCTCCAGCCAGATCTTTTGCAGGTAGCTTGCGGTGTCATCCCCCACTGCCGCATCCAGAGACCCTTTCAAGCTCTTCGTCCGTGTGATCCGCTCAACGTACTGGGCCGCAAGTTTCTTTCTGTAGATCTTGCCGCTGCTGTTGAGCGGAAGTTCGTCCACCATCTCGACGCGAGGCACCATGATGTGTGGCGCCAGCTTGGTGTACGCCTGCATGACCGAAGCAGCATCAATATCCTTGGAGAGGGGAACGACATAGGCCAGCAAGATCGAGGACCCGATATCAGCCTCATCGGTCTGCACCTTCATCGCTGCAGCGGCAGATACGAGCTTCGTATCCCAGAGGACGTGCTCCACCTCTTCCAGCTCAATTCTCTGGCCGCGGATCTTGACCTGGTGGTCACGTCGACCCAGAAAGTCCAACAGACCGGATTCGTTGACTTGAACCAGGTCTCCAGTCCGGTAGAGGTGTCCCGGTCCTCTGTTAGACTTGATGGGCAGATGTGGTGGGCGGATGAAAGCCTTGGATGTCTTCTCCGGGTCGCCATAGTATCCAGCTGCCACGCCCGCGCCACCGACTATCAGTTCTCCTACTTCGCCTTGCTTAACCGGTTGCAGCTCTTCGTCCACCACCAAGATTTCATAGTTGTCGAGCGGCTTTCCGAGAGGGATATGACCCTTTTGCACATCTTCTGCCGAGACCTCATGGATGGCGGTGAACACCGAGCATTCCGTCGGACCGTAGCCATTTAACAGTCGTTTTGGCGGGCCATTCGCGAAGATTGTTCGGATTGTGGGCACATTGATCGGTTCGCCCCCTGTTGTTGAGAAGGCCTGAGGGCATGTCTGTGCTATTATTGCCAACAGCGCCGGCGTCTGAAACACCACATCAATCCGATCTTCCTGGAGGCGTCGTGCAAAGACAACTGGATCTAGCACAACGTCCCGCGGAAAAAATACCAGGGTGGCTCCACGCAACAGTGAGACCCATATCTCGTACAACGACGCATCGAACCCGATATTGGTCACATGGGCGAGTCGATGGCCTTTGCGTACTGGAACGAGTGAGTTGAAAGCAAGGTTGATCACTCCCCCGGCCAATATCTGCACCGCCTTTGGCTTTCCAGTTGTTCCAGATGTGTGCATAATGTGTGAGCAAGACATTGGCCCGTTCGACGCCACGTCAATAGGATTCACGGGTCCTTCCGCATCGCACGTATGGTCCACAAGGATATGCTGGAAGGCGGGAAGCCGGTGGCAATGATCCTGATCAGTCAGGACCAGAGAGGCGTCGACATTGCAGAGCAAGTTCTCTAGATGCTGGTCCGGATGGCCAACATCTAGCGGTACACAGGTGCGCGAGAACGTGGTTGATACTTCGAAGAGCTAGAATACCGATTGGTTCCTCAGATCGAATCTGGTAACGGTGTATCTCTCGAGCAAGGTTGAGAGCCCTGGTGTTCAACTCCGAATAAGTGAGTGCATGGCTACCACTTTCAATCGCCATGGTGTCACTGAACAACTTGAACTGATGTTGGAGGAGCCGGGCAAGCCCCTGCTCGCTTCGGGATTCAAATCCATCTTGTTCCAACAGTGACATTGACGGAGCCATGGTGCAGAAGCAGCGAGTTGGAGAAATGTTGAATTGAAGACTATGATGATAGGTTAGGGAGGGGTGCTAAAACCAATATTTCGTATACTGTGGTATTGAGAGTGCACTGGAAATTCCACAAGGTTTATATGCTCGTTGAACTCTGGCCAGTCTGCAATTGCTTCGAGAGAACGACAACGATAATCGGTTGCCCAGCTTTCATTGGCAAATGCATCTTCCATGATTGTGTAGGATGATTGTCAAGGATATCATCAAGTACCTGGCTGTCTCAGAGGGGATCCCGCAATCGCGAGTCCAATAATCATGATGCATAGGAGGACCTATCGCAAGATTCTCTCAACTGCATACAAAGAACCAAGCAATGGCGAGTGGCCTTGACGGCACGTCTTGTGATAGCATTGTGGTTGGCTGCTGTGAGGTTATTCGCGTTCGTTCCTCAAGCAAGATGGATGGTAAGGTATACACGCTTTGACCTCAAAAAATCGGAAATTTAACTTCCTTACCAATAAGATACTAAATAATTCGCTAGCCAAGGTGCACAAATCCCGGTCATTCACCGTCAAGGACAGTTCCTGATGACTTCATGTTGAGACTGTCATTCAGTCTGAGAAGGCCCAAGTTTCTTCCCTTAGAACAGAAGTTGCGAGGGTCCGATGATAAGGAGATGTTGATACAATACCTTGAAAGGCTAAGCACCGCTCATAATGATCCTGAATCTCATGCACCAACGAGCTGTATAAAATCAGTGGCTCAGTTGATATAACCTCTTGTTACTCCAAGGAGGCATGTCGAGCTTGGATTTGGATGCCCACGTCATCCCCGTTTCCATGGTCTTCGAAGTCAAAGCTCTGATGCTCGGGCTTGCGGAATTTCCATACATACTGTACATGCAACAGTGACAGGTCTCGGAATGGAAGATAATAGGTCACGCAGCATACACTCAGACATATGCATGCACTTTGGGTAGGCAATATTCCATTCATTTCGAGACCGATATCAATGCCAAGTCCGGCAATCGGCGAAGACCAAAGGGTTGAACTGAATTGCACTTGGTTATGGTCAGGCTGAAGCATGGAGAATTTCGGACGGGTTCGCGGTTTGTAGCCCTCAATGGATGGCGTTCATACGGTTTCATTGGTTTTGAGGAGCGGATTGCCCGGGTGATATCATCTGTGCAATGGCCTGTCCCGGTCTTTGATCCTGAGGGGTTGTCCAGCCAAATAGTTCAGTCTTCAGTGACGCGTCACTTTCGAGGATATGACTAAGATAGTCACTGAAGGGTCGAAGAAAGAAAGAGAGAGAGAGAAACGCGTTCGACAAAAATGATTACCGACTCAAGACTTTTCCTCTCTACCTGGTAGTCACATCACACGAGGAGCCCCCCAGCATTTGCCAGACGGACTCACCATATGTGCATAGCACAATTGTGATACTGGGGGTATTCCGAAGTTTTCTCTTTACCTAATGAAAACGAAGCAAAGCCCGATTACCTTTGAAATAAACTCAGTCAGTTTCTCAAGAGCGGGAGCAGGGCGCGTTCTCGAAAGGACAGTGGACGGAGTTCCACGATGTGTCTCGGCGGTGGTGGGGTTGCTGTGAGTGTGAAGAGGAGGAGAAAGAAACTTGCAGGTATTGGCCTGCATCAATGTCAACAAGGTTGGCTGCATCTTTTAGGCACGGCTATACCCGGTGCCATGCATGGACGGAGTCTACTACTGCAAGTATACTCACTATGTTCCCGAAATGGTAAGGTTTTGTTAATAAACTATCCTCAACAAGACTACCTAGGTATATTCGCTCATTACGGAGTATGTAGGTATATTCTGATAACTTAGTCGGTCAAACTTGATTGACCTGGTGCATGTATGACTTGACAGGTCCACTTTGGGCATTATTATAGGACTAGGGCATTTCACCTTCACTTTGTACACTTTTAACTTGTTATAGAAGTGGACTTAGCTGCGATATCACAGCATCCTGCCATCTTGGTAAATAAGATAGGAATCGTACATACAAGTATCTCGGTACATTGCACATGAGTATACACAAAATCAAGAATTCACGAACCACCAAATAAAGAAGAACAACAGCTCAAAAGAGATCTGCTGACCTGAAATTCCTCTGCTCTAACTTCCATCCCAATTTTGCTAAACAACCCGTCTTGCTTTGACATTGTATTCTAGCCTAGGAACGAGGACTCCCTGTCTTCTGATCGCTGACGAATATGCAAGTGAGAAGGAACTCTCAGAGCAACTTGTGCTTCTTTAATGGCACGTCTGAACGTATCTTGCTGCTCACGGCTTTCAAAGCGAACCACCCTTAAACCCTCAGGTGCATTGACATAGAGGGTATCATCCTGCAGATAGAGGCTTAGTTGCACTCGGTAACTTCTCTCCATCCAGTATCGGTATAAAAATTTCAAACATCGTGGTTCAAGACATGGAATGAGAGAGTAGAAATATTCATGCTTCCTCAATGCATGCTCAGCTTCTATTTTGACAGATTCACTTTCCTCATGAAGAAACGCCGCCAGCACTTTAATGGTTTCATGTGACACAGCTGATCGCATGCTTAAGGCGCGAGCTGTGTAAAACCTCACGAGACTGACTTTATCCTTTAACTGCAAGCTCAGGTCTTCAAAAATATCAGGTGGCAAGTCTGATTAAGTGCTTAAGATTTCTGCTGCAGAGACCCTCACTCTTGGGTCATTGTCCTTGAAGAGTAGAGCCAGATCTTTACACATTTCAACCCCTAAGGATTGCCTGCATAAAGCTTTGGTTGCATATGACCTTGTATCTGAGTCCTTACTCTGCAGAATCAACCTCAGAGCTTCAAGAATGTTATCAGGCAGGACCTGGCTAGTCCTACCTAAAGTTTCGGCTGCATATGACGCAACCTCTGAGTTTTTACTGTGCAGCAGTAACCTCAGAGCTTCAAGGGCCTCAGGTGATAAGACAGGTAATTGTGTCCTCGCCAAAACATGAGCCACATGGCTCTTCGTTTAAGTGTCCCCATTCTCCAACAGCGTGATCACTGTTTTGAGAATATCGTCTGGTAAAGCCGATTGCCTTTTTAAGGCAGAAGCTGCTTGAAGCCTCCCCATTGAATCTTCTTTCTCTAACAACACAACTAGTGCTTCAAGAATCTCATGCGGTAAGGGTGATTCTCGGGCTAAGGCAGCTGCTGCATAATGTCTTGTGACTGAGTCTTCATTCGTTAAGAGTGAGCCCAGTGCCTGAATAATCTGATGTGGCACTGAAGACTGGCCATGATAGCCTCTTAAAATGCTTGCTGCTTGCTTCTTCACACCTGAGTCTCCTTCTTCTAGCAGTTTGACCACTGCTTTAAGGACCTTATCTGGTAAGGTACGTTGATTCTTCAAGACATGAGCTGCACTAGTCTTCATTTCTGGATCTTCATCCTTTAACAGTGGTACCAGCTCCTCAGAGTCTCGTCTGGTAATGCCGAGTTCATGCCAACGGAAGCAGCTGCAGCAGCTCTTGTCGCCGAATCTCCATTCTTTAACAGCTGTACCAATTCTTCAAGAATATCATTTGGCAAAGCTGATTTACTCCTGCTTAAGGCAGTAGCTGCATTGCACCTCATATGTGAATCCCCATTCTTTAATAGCGATATCAGAGCCTTAATAATCCCATGTGGTAAGGCTAGCTTCAAATCTGCTAAGGAAGAAGCTGCATCGGACCTAATATTCAAGTCACCATCCTCCAACAGCGATACCAGACCTTTAAGGATAGTCTCTGGTAGGTTGGCATGGTGACACGCTAGCATCCGAAATGCTGCTATTTTCAGATCTTTGGAACCACTTTTCAGGCAGGAGGACGCCAGATATAGGGTATCTGATGTCACGCTCGGTCGTGTTCCGAGCGCTGCTAAGACCTTTATTTTCACCGTCTCCGATTCTCTTTGTAAGAGGGAGTTCAAGAGATGCTCCGAAATTCTCTTTGAGAGCAAAAGGTATAGGAGACTCCTACGTTATAGAAGAGAAAGTAAACCCCCAACGACAGAAAGTCGAATTCAAACAACAGCCACTGCGACAACTGATCCTCCATCCTTTCTTGCTGGTCTACACCCGACTGTCTGTTTGAGGGGATGAGTTCACTGAGGCAATGCATGACAAGCCGTTGATGAGCCGGGCCCAAAAGGTCGCGTGGTTCAGCCTCCAGTCCCTGAAGAAAGCGCGTCAGTGGCTTTTCACTCGGATTCATTTGACTCCAACCAGCCTGGAGGAGACCCGCAACAAAGCGCCACATGATGTCGTAGCGTGAATTATACTTCTCCTTCTGAAGAAAATCCCAGGGTGTCATCGAAGCGACCTTCAGAGTCCTACGGCCGAGGGTAAAACACGAGAGCCCCTGGTCTCTCCCCTGGTATGTCCCCTGGTATGTCCCCTGGTCTGTCCCTTTGTCTGTCCCCTTTTCTCTCAGCCAATGCTTCACAAAATATCGAGCGGCGAAGAACTCCTGGAAAGTCAAGTGCAAGAAATGATAACTTCGTTCGCGATCCTCTAACGTGTCATCCGACGTGCGCATGAAAGAGATTTTTTTTTTTGAGGGTACTGTCAAATACTAGCGGAAGCTTCATTCCCCGACGCCTCAGTTGTTGGTATATCCGGTCCCGATCTTCCGCGTCAAACTCAACGATCTCGTTGTACAGGCCACTAAAAGCAGCACCTTCAAGAAGGTTTATTTCTTCTTCCACGAGCTCTTCTATTTGGAAAACATCTCTGAGGGTACGTGCATCGTGTTCGGTCATGGGCTTTCCGTTGTGTTGTTTTTCTAATCGGAGAATATCCTTCTGCCATAACTTCAGCATGGTGGTCATTGTCCTCGGCTGCTCTTCTGACAGAAGGTTTCCATTCCAAATAAAACACAGTGCATCTAGTTGAATGGGAATTCGAACCAGTCCTTGAATAAGCGTGTGGTTTTGAATAAATGACCAGATCTCCTTGGCTTGTTTTTCATCACGTACGACCTTTTGGAGATATGACTCTACCTTGTTTGGGCGGAAACCAACTGTCTCTAATTCCAGATCGAGTGGTTTCAAGTCATCCAGGGTAATCCCGTAAGACCGAGAAGTAATAATGACTCGAGGCTGCCTTAGAAGCTGTTGCAGAAAACTTTTCATGTCTGTGTCGGAATCCAATTCCTGGTAAATTTCGTCCAAACCGTCCAGTAAAAACAAGGTTTTTTCCGCTGTTAGTTGGATTGTCTATCGCCTTCCACAGGGCCTGGGCAAGATCCTTGCCTTCTGGACGTTGAGAAAAGTATTCATCGTAAAACAGATTCTCAAGATTGTACGTCATGCCGGACTTTCTTTTCAGCCTTCGTAGAGGCACCCACAGCAGCCAGTCAAATGACTCCTGCCACAGATTGTTGTAGATATAATCGTAGACAATTTTCTTGCACAAAGTAGTCTTGCCTACTCCGGCTTGTCCTTGAATAAAGATCCGCTTTGGTGTAATGAACGTTCCATCAGAACGTTTCTTTGAGCTGAAAAGTGAGGGCAAGGAAACCAGTGTGCTCTCATTGACTGTCTCAACCTTGAGGCAAGTAAAGAGTGGAAATGGAGAGGGTTTAGTCTTCCTGCTTTCTCTGTCTGGGCGATTTATTAGGGCCAGATTGATGTAGCATTGATCCATCAGTAACTGTTCACCAGAAAGCCGTTGAATCCGAAGGCGATTTGATCCAGAATAATGTTCTCGTAGGGCGGTAGCTGCGTAATACAGCTGGGCTTCTTCACATCTGGACCAGGCATCTTGCAATAAGGAACTGGAATGTGTCTTTGACTTGACCTCTCCTCCTGGGAAACCCTTCAGCGTGTGTGCATAGTCTTTTTTTTTTCCGCCATCGACGCCACAATTTTAGACCAAGATGCGGAGTATCCTGAAAGTATTTCTGCCAATCCGGTCGATTAAATGTCTCGGAAACCAACTTAACCCAGGCCTGGAAACGCTCAGAGTCCAATTTGTATTGACTCAGAACCTTTTCCGGGAACTTAATGGTCTCTTCTCTTGCGGAGGAATCCTCTCATGTCCGGGCATACGATTCAAGTTGCATAAGTAATCCACACAGGTACTTCTTATCACCAGAGCAGGGAATTTTCTGGATGTACTCTTCAAGCTCTTTGAGCTTCCCAGCCCGGATCAATGGGCCTGTGTACCGAAGAGCGACATACCAAGCTTTCTGTCGAGGTTGAAGTTTCATCCCCTCAACTCTATTTTGTGCGCCGCTGCATACTTCATGGAGCTTTCCGATCACATCAACCATACTGTTAATAAGGTCCGGCAGATTTGCCAGGTTCTCAAATGCATCAGGTAGTCGTCCAGGATCCAAGGCCCAAACCGCACCGGCTACCTTCAGGATTCCATTCCCAACTTTAAGGGCATTGATCAAGACAGCTCGATAAGGGCTTTCGTCGCTGGGTACACCAAGCAAGGCCTGGTATGCATAAGAAGCGGCTTGAGCGAGACGGAGCTCTTCATGCTTGCTCAGGTCTCCTCCTAATCGATTCAGCAACGGTCCATGCAGCTCTTCTTGGCTAAGACCGGAGACCCCAATATCCACCATGGCATCTAGGACACCAGACAGTGTACAGATCAGCCGATACTGGGTTTCAAGCTCAGCCTGATCTTTAGCCGCCTTTAATCGACGTTCGAGACTCCTCAATACCGACCCAAGCGAGGCACTTGAAGCCGATATGTTATCTTGAGCTTTCCGGATGACATGAGCGAAGCCATTTAGTAGTGTTGAATCGAGAATGTTTCCGTCAGCTGTTCCCTTGATAATAGCATTGCCGAAAGCCCTCAGGAGCTCTTCGTAATCTTCGCCCTTAGTGGCCGACGAGAGCTCGACAGCTTCCTGTACGAACTCACTGCTAGGGTCTTTTTCAAAGACTTGGATCATCTTTTTGGACCATGCTCGCAAGGCGTCCAGCTCCTTGGGATCGGTGTCGGAGCTGGTCAAGCGCTTAATGAAGTCCTGGATCTCAGCTGGCCTCTTGGGGTGTTCTGGTTTTGCTGCATCGTGGAAGAGTTGTGTAGATTTGCCATGGAAACTAGAAATTGGCAGTATTTCAACTGGTACGAGTGCTCTCTTGCTCAATATGCACTGAATGGCTTTTTCTCGAGGATGCATTAATTAAAACAAAGACGAGGTTGTGCTCAGCCTTTTGATTCCCCTGTTTATTTCCAGATCCCCGTGCCCAAAGTGGAAGATGCTGCGGGTAGGTGTTGCGGCTGAAGGAAACAATCCATCAGCCAACCAGCGCTCCTTGATCAGCCAAGCCAACTGCGCACTGACGGTGTGGTAGTAGACAAACAGGAATCATGATGCGAAGTCCTGGCCAACTTGCATGCCAGTTGGAGGAGACTAAAAATAGTAATGGTTGCAAGAAGGAAGAAAGCTCTCTGTTGGGGTGGTGATTGGCTTTGATATATCTCTGAGGCCTGCCTTTGTAGTGAATCACAGCTCGCAGAAATCACTACACAACACTACATACTCATTCACTGCTTATGTGCCATATCACTTACCCCCCTATATAATAAGTCACCTACAATATTATGCTATTACAAACAGTATTTGTAAACAGAACCAGGGCTGCCTTTACAAATATACCCAGTCAACCCCTAATCAAGGACAATGGCTTTCAGCAGACTGACATATTCATTGAATACATGCAAGCAAGGGTCTGAATCTCAGGAATGTCCACCAACTACTAGAGACCAAGAACCAACGACTATGATAGCAATGCCCTCATCCCAGTTGACAGGGGACAAACATCCGCTAATCTCGTCTCATTGAAGATGATAGCCAGCAAGCCATGCAACTTCAAGATCCATCTTCGAGACAGCAATTCCTGTTTCGAATTCTTTTCCCTCAGAGTCAGCTGGTTGATAAGAACCACGCGGCAGTAATCAACGCAGCACAGTTGGTCTAGATCTTTTCGTCTAGTGGCTGAGCTGTTCAAGCCAGCAAATGACTGCAATCTCCCGAAAGGGTTGCTACAAGGGTTCGAGAATCTGCCATTATTGACTATGGATGTTACGCAGCAAACACTTGATCGCTATTTGGAACCCGTTGACCGCTCATCTAATCGGGGCAGCCTTGACATTAAGCGTGGAAAGGAGGATGAGGACAAGACGAGCTTGAAGACCTGCAAGATGAGTATGAACACACGGAAGAAAAGTGCACGAATGCATGGTTATGGAAGGTCATGGCTACAACGCATAAGTACAAAATTGAGTAAAACTTCCCGGTTTTGTATAGGTCGAATCCAGTATAAGATCATTCATGGCTTTTCTTTAGCCTCTCCTCTCTGATCTTCTATCTTTAGCTTTTCCTCTAGAGCAGCGGCGGCAGCGGCAGCCTCCTTCTTCAGCCTCTTCTTCTCCTTTTCCTTCTCCTTAGCAGCTTTCTTTGCTGCAGCCTTCTCGGCCTCAAGAGCCTTCAGTCTCCGCAGCTCCTCTCCGCCATATGCTTCGCGCCACTCCTCGATCTTTTCGGTGGGAATCCTCGTGAACAACAATTTCGGTTCTCCGATGACATGGCCTGGCTTGAGAGCATCCACTTCCCAAGTGTCAGGGATACGTGGCACAGGCTCTACCCCGAGTTGCTGGAATATAGACTCGGCGGTACCGGGCATGTATGGGGATAGAACGCTGGCTAGAAGATGTAGATGGTTAAGAGCCAGACCAATAACGGCAGCGCAGCGATCTGGTTCTTCAGTAAATAGGCGATTGTCAAGTTTATTGTCTTGTAGAAGTTTGTTGCCTAGGGCTGAGATGTGAAGAACGTCTGCTAAGCCCGCTCGTAACTTGATAGCCTCAAGATGTTCGATATAGGCTTTCAGCAAGGTGTCTACCTGCTTCTTGTGGTCCTCAAGGAGAGCGTCAGAATATTTCCCGTACTCAGGAACAACGCCTCCCATCTTTGACTGGCAAAACTTGATAACTCTCTGGACTAGGTTGCCAAGATTTTTGAGCAGATCGTTGTTGTTTGCATTAACAAACTCCTCCCACTTGAACTCGGAGTCATTGCTCTCTGGACGCCTCGATAGCAGATAATATCTCCAGATATCAGGATCGACACCAATATCCTTGGCATTATTGCCAAACACACCAACCCCTTTTGACTTGCTGAACTTTCCGCCCTCATAGTTCAGATACTCTGCGGCCGAGAGTTTGTATACTTGAGTCCAATTGTCTCCTGTTCCGAGCTGAGAGCCTGGGAAGATGATGGTATGGAACGGCACGTTATCCTTGCCCATGAACTGGTACAGGGAAACTTCCTTGGGGTTCTTCCACCATTGCTCCCACTTCTTGCCTGAGAGGTCATCTCCATCAGTGTAGGTCTTCGTGATGGACATGTATCCAATGCAGGCATCAAACCAGACATAAAAGACTTTATTCTTGTAGTCTTCGTCGTTTAAGCCTTGTATACCCTTCGGAATCGGCACACCCCATCGAAGATCCCGCGTGATCGCACGAGGCTTCAAGCCTTTGTCAATCCATGATTGTGTGATTGAAATACAGTTTGTACTCCAGTCACCTTCTTTGCTAGCCTTGTCGAACCAGGGCACGATCTTGTCTCTCAGCGCGTCCAAGCGCAAGTAGAGATGTTTTGTCTTCCGCTTTTCTGGAGTCGCACCGTCGAGCTTGCAGCGGGGATTCAATAACCAGCCGGTGGCTTTGACCACATCATCCTCCTGGGTCTCGCCATTGTCCGTCGAGTCGGGTTCTAACGGGTCTAGAAGATTGCCACATTTGTCGCACTGATCTCCGCGGGCACCGGGATCGTGACATATGCTGCATTCGCCCTCAACGAAGCGGTCGGCGAGGAAGGTCGAGTGGGTTTCGACGGGACAGTAAGGCTGCGTGGTCTCTCGCTCCTCGATGAAACCGTTTTCCCAGAGCCCACGAAAGACTTCTTGGACTATTGCTGTCTGTTGAGGAGTTGGGGGTTCGCCCGAAGACGTCAAAGTTAATTCTAAACCAATCATAGATGCCTTTGTGAAGGGCATGATATTTGGCACACAGATCAGCAGGATCTAGGCCTTCCTCAAGTGCCTTGGTTTCCGTAGCGGTGCCATATTCGTCCTAATATTATCAGTACCATATACCCAATTAGGCAGTGAGGTATAACGAACAGAGCCGCAAATGAACAGTGTCTGGAGGCCTCGAGCTTTGCAGAAGCGAGCAAATGTGTCTGCAGGAAGCACGCTCCCCACCACATTGCCAAGATGTGGGACATTATTCACGTAGGGCAGGGCGCTCGTGATGAGGATGTTGCGCTTGCCTGGTAAAGGCAAAATTGGCTCGGTAGTCTTCATGATCACCGCTATCAGACCGGCCTTCCAGCGACTTAGTTTTAGTAGACGACGATGATCGAAGTTGCTACCAGAAAGATTCGCAGAGTGAGTCACGTTGTTGGAAGGTGGGGTCAAGTCGTGCTTTCTGCCGCCTGTTTCCGCCCTAGTCACGTGATAGCCCGCCCAGGGAAAGCTTCCGTGTTCGGAGATGTTAGGGTTCCCGGTACCATGGGCCACGACGAAAACAAAAAAAAGGACCATATATGTGCTGTAGATGTGGCCAATAGAAACTGAAGAAATATGGCCTATATAGGAAGAGATTTGAAGATTCAGGACCCTGGGGGTGAGTGAGATTGATGCTACTCGGCGACACTTGACGCCGCTTTTGGTCCCAAAATCAAATTTAACATAAAGATTACAATGTGATCTAGTAGATTGATACCTACATAACTAGGAATAGAGGAATAGGCTTCTAGATTAATAACTAAGCGCTTATCCTGGCTGGCCTCTTGATGGCATATGTCAGTGAAATGATCTTCCTTATCCAATCGGAGTGAGCAGCTACATTTTCAAGTGAAGCCATGGAGAGGAATGGTGCAGTGATCTGTCCAGGAGTGTAATTTTCTTATGCAAGCACCGAGATACAGGAAGAGCTAAGGATTCACAGTTCTGATGTCGAAAAAGGTAGCAGCAAAGTAGGTGCCAGGTACCTGTAGGCAACTTTGAAGTTGTACTGACGTATTTGACAGCAGGGGATGATGGTGGATGTACTAGACCGAAAAGGGAGGCTAGCCTCGAGTCTATCAGGCTGGTCCCATACTTCTATCTACAATATGAGGAACCTAGTAGTTTATCTAAAAGATGATAATGGCACGACATTGACATTGTCAGCAACACAGACTGATAGCATTGGAAACTATTAGGTGGTATTGTACTGTACAAGAAGATCAGACCCTCTTAACCTTCACCGATATCCTGTCGTGAGGAGGGTGCGACGTTTTCCGAAGCTGATGCAATGATCTCTGATTTGGAAGCGGTAATTTCTGAAGTAGGTACCGGCATCTTTGGCAGACTCTCGACATCGAACGAAACAAACTGCCGCGTATCCCCGACCCTATCACTCGCCATATATCTCGAGAAAAGATCAGTTGATTGTTTAAGATCCTGTAACGTTTGGAAACTGTGGAGCTTGGTCTTTCGAATGACAAGTCCGTTGTTAGTCACATGAGACTGCAAGATTCTTCCTTGCATCGAACCCATGCAAGAGATTACCATCACCTAAGGAAGTCGCGCCACAGATTGATTGGATTCAAAGTAAAAAATCGAAAATACCACCAAGATACCAAGAGTGACTTACAGGGGTGATGTAATGGCTTTGAAGAGTATCGTGATCAAGTTGTGTCATCATCACCGCAAGAATTGCCAGAATCTCTCCGCGGGAAATCTTCTCATCGCCTGCATAAAAATGTTCCATTGTGATCATGACATGAGGCTCGTTTTCACGCTGTGAATCAGGCGCAATCCATCCTTCTCGGGACGCAAATTCTCGACCATCAATCAGCATGAGAAGAAAGTTCTCATGGACCACGTCGGGGCAATACAATATCCTCTTAGACAAGATTAGAAATCAGTCCCCATTTTATGTTAGTAGAAGAATTAACCAAGAGCTGCGTACTTGTTTCTCCAATTGGCTAGTCGCAAGAGATATGTCCTCCTGTTCCCCTCAGGGACAATTCGCGCACATCCCCCGGCTACCCAGCGCAGATGTGACTCCAACATTTCGGCGCCCGAAATATAGCTCTCGTTACTAGGCTGAAATCGTCCCCACCAGGAATATGTGTTCCTGAGTGACCATTGAGAGTATTCGTCATTCTGGTCGAAGGGGTGAGCTTGTAGTTGGGCGAACGACCACGGCTTGAAGAAGTATTGGTCATTAGATGCCGAATAGGTGCCATCTTCGTTCAGCTCTAGATCCTCAAGGGAGATGTGGAAGGATCTTGCAAGTTCGTCATCGAGATAGAGACCCGGATATCTGTGAACAAGGCTCAAGACCTGGTACAGACTGTCAATGGTTTTGTCGCGGGCTTTGATTCGAGCTTCCTCTTCTTCTCGCTGTCTCCTGGCTTTTCCAAAGCCAAAGCGGCTGGAGAGCTTTCTGATGCGAAGAGATATGCCTAAGCGATGCAGGTTACATTTGTAAGAATGAGTAACATAGACCAAGCGTAGAAAAGTAAGAGAGGCGTCAGCGTTGAGAATGCAAGACCCGATGACCACAGCGGGGCTAGCGCGCCATGAGTAAATTTTTCCTATCAGCCTAATAGACAGAACGAAAAAGAAAAGAAGGAGAGCTCATTTATTCAACGCAAATTTTACTAACGAGTTGTATATCTCCGACTACGCGTCATAGTTGCATATTTTGGCAGTAGGTGACTGCCTAACGGGTCAGCTTGGAGGCCTCAGGCCATTCCATAGACGATGAGTCTATAGGAGGACCCAAACCATGTGAAAAATCATAGGGAAATAAGTCGCTACCAGGTGTCTATTGAACTGGAGACTGATTTCACGTAGACACAGTGTATGTGTGATGAACCTTTTAGGAAAATGCACTAAGCCCAATTTGGATGTACTCATACCTCTCTAGGCAGGTAGTAGTAGTGAATGAATCCAACAGCAAGCTTAAAAATCCCTTCTTTTGCTTGGGGATGTATGAGCATCTTGCATGTATTTTCATGCCTTGCATTTAATAATATATACGACCATTAACCCTGACTTCTACAATAAGAAGCAAAAAAGTACTGAAAAAAAAAGATTAGGGCCCTCTGAACACGTGATTTTGTATCACGAAGGGTCTCTTACATTCTACAAGAATTCTTAAAGACGTCTTTGTCTACCTACATACCAAAGCACATTCGAAAAAGAAAAGGTCATCCAGTCTAGTCAAGACATGGAACGAGTTGAAGGCAAGACAAAGAACGTTCGATACTACACTCTACGATGAACTTTAAAAAGAAAAAAGGGAAAAGAAAACAAGAGGAACTTTGATATGGCTGATAAATTGTTCATTCTGTCTACCCCTGCCTAAATCTACTCACATCCCCGATCTCTTTCCTCCCTACTTCAACCACGGGACAAAGTAACACTTCTTCTTAGCTAACAGCATGAGTTTGAGAGCGACTCACACGCTCAACCAGCAAAGTCAGATTTCAGCGAATAGCTTAGAAGCAGCCGTTGCAGGGCGCCTGTGTGAGATCGATCGGATTAGCACATATATATATCCAGGCTAGTATTTTCGAGTCAGGACAGGACATCACTTACGCCAGCGATGTTGTTTCCGACAGAGGCAAAGCAGGCCAGGTCAGCCAGAATGTCTGCAGAAAGTTCGATTAGTCGAGGTCATGATACTGAGAGTCTCTCCAAACAGGGTGAGTCATACTGGCACCGAGTTCAGCAGCAGCCGCACCGCAGGCAGCGGTTTCACCGGCCAGCGCAGAAACGCACTCTGTTGAGAATCAATCAGTCAGCAGGATGCAAAATCGATGATTGGCAGGGGGATCGATCATCTTACTCAGGTAGCTGCAGCCAAGGGCCTCGAGCTGCTTCATGGCAGCATTCGCGCTGTCGTTGACGCTCTGCATTGCCGCCGAAGCAGTGGTGCCTGGAGCCGCGGAGACGGCAGCAGCAGAGACGAGGAGGGCAGAGACGATGGCGGAGAAGCGCATTTTGATTGTGATAGAAGGTTTATTGTTGTGGAAGTGGAAGCGATAGTTCGGTTTTGAGAGACTTTGGTTTTTGTTTTTTTTTTTTTTGTAAGGCTGTCGCTTGATTGTCTGTGATTGTTATCGATGCTGATGATGAATCGAGTCTGATCGAGGGAAACGTCCACGCCTTTATAACTTTTGCCCTGAAGGCCAAGAATCTATGTCTTGCTCGTATACATCTGAAGGCGCAAACATCAGAATAGTATACGATTTCCTATCTGGGAAGTATCCCTGATGATCGTCAGGTAATTCCCAAAGTATGCACTGCCAGTTCTCTCTCCATATGCAGGGGCCAATCCTTCGACATGGGACTGGCCTCTAACATTCATGCTGAGCTCGTATTCACGTAGAACTTGCCATACTTGTTCTCAGGTTCTCAGGAACCCACATTCTTTTTATGAGTCTAAATACGGATACGAGGAATATTAACCCGTTTCAATTTTCTTAGGTTACATGCGCATTTTATCGATAAATACCAACTCACTGAACACGAGATCATAAGCTATGACCAGATCCAGCAGATAAACTATTTTGGTCTAATTAGATGCTTAATTAAAAGTTGATATGGGGCGCAGCTGATTTGCTGTGCCATCCCCTGCACGACATGCTCCATTTCTGCAAAGCTGGTTGGTTGGGCTCCGTGGATCCTCGTATTGACGTGCATGATCGCCCCCAAAGCTATACGGAAGTAGTAAGTAATCATCTCGGCATTCTGCAATAGGGTCTCCCTACTCTGTAGACTTTACCCCAAAATAACTAGATCAGATATCTGCTGAGATATTAGTGCTGGATTACAGGACTGCCTTTAAGCAGCGGGTTAACTATTCTGATTTTATATACAAATTATCTGTATGGTAGTCGAAGACAAGAATTAAAGAAAAGAAAGACAAAACCGATACCCAGAGAATGAAAAGTTCCTGCCCAAGCATGAGGTCCATCACGAAAACGCGTGCCTCTGTAGGATGGGTATGAACGATCGTTCCTGCGATCCTACCTATCGATATGACAAGTTTAGTTCAGCAGGCTTCTAGAACATGAACGCTGGAAGAAACTTGTCTGGGGACGGCGTCTGGGGAAACTTCAGCCACAGCCGCAGAGCAGGTAGCAAGCTTTTTTCTGCCTACGCCGAACTGGGACCCGCGGTAGCAATCGCAACGTCATATGTTTCAGGACTTAGTAATGATAACTGACATTTTGATGTCCTGGCCTATTGTCGAAGTGGGGTTTACGTTTTAAGCTAGGGTTTAGGGATCCTTCTTAATTTAGACTTATTTCGTATAATCGCAAATAAGGGGTTTGTTCTAGGTCACACGAACATTTTCCCCATTGGCGAGTTTGTTAACTTGACTACCATCGAAGTTTCCACAAGATCTGCACCACAGCAGCTGAAAAATACGAGGTTATCACCAAATTTAGGAACCGTTTACCAAGAAAGCGGGGTCCGGGGCCACATTCCAAGCCACCCGTTCAGCCACTTCTTAATTTTGACTGCACGTGTTTAGAGGTAAGAATAAACGTTTCATCGCAGAGAAACCTACGAGAAGATAATGACAGGTGTCAGCACAACATGTTGGAAATTTACGATATCTTCAGTCAGTGTTGCTGCAGTTGGTTTGTAGTTGGGGACGGTGTTTCCCCACAACCTTTTGGCATCTCCTATCCATCCATTATCTATGATCACCAGGAATGATAGCTACCCCTTCATTTATTACTCCCTTCAAAGCGAGCTTGAAGACTCCGTTTCACGGAAGGAGGCCGACTGAGCCAGAGAGTACATGGCCTAGTAGGTACATTACATCGAGTATTCGACTACTTCAGCTGCTACTACCACCAGACGGCACGGACCCAGCCAAGAAGCACCTCGTATACGTGCCGTGGTCTGCTGAAACGGAATGAAACGGTACTCACAGGGACCGGACAATAAACCCCACAAAGAGCCGAAAATAGAATGGAATACGAAGCTCAGAGATTCGATCCCGTTGTCTTTGCCTACGCATTCTGCAAGGGACTATTTACCTATGAGCAACCCATATTGATCATTATGGTTGATAGTTCTAAATGCAGATAGCAGTATCCAATGATTATTAGGAGCGATCCCACAGACACTGACATCTACCTAGGTGGATACTAACAGGAGGACTTTCATGAAGAGCTCTTTGTACATGCACGGTACCTGCACAGGGCAAGAACATCCAGGGCCCAGAAAAGAAGACTCGGGAAATGACAAAGAACGCGCTCAAACCTTCGCTCAGCTGGATTTTTGTGTGAGCGTGAGTGGTTCGGTGGTAAATGAGGGCCACGATCCATCTGTACGTAATAAAAAATTGAAAGAAAGAAAAGGGGCCAAAAATACTCACCAAAATACAAGCGATTGATACACAACAACCCAAAGAAAAAGTTAAAGCAAAAACATGCAACAGCTGGGATTCGCTGGTGGTCACCCACCCAACTACTAACCAGCCGGCGTGTGGCTTAAGTACGGCTGAGCGGACGGGAAGCCCTGCTTTCCACACCCTATGGTCGCATGTGCTAGAGCATATCAACAAAAGGGTATATATGCAGGTGGCCATGTAGTCGTTTCTCCCGCGATCATGGTAGATGTCTCGCCTGTCGACCCGCGAGATTGCATCTTTCCCGATTGTCGACAGGGTTCTCTAGCCACGTTTTCTCGGTGGACGACTCCACCGTCGTCAAGCACCCTAGGGACCGATGATGATGCCCAACGCGATCACCAGATCGGATCTATGATTGAGCGTCTCGGCTGCCATCCCGCCCGTCCCTGCATTATCCCTCTATGCGAGGTTGCATACTCAAGGAGCTCTTGCATGGACTTCATCCCATCTCAATTAGACTACGTCTAATCGAACAGAAGAAAATGACTCTATCACACAGTAATAGTAGTTCAGGCCATGCCTTCGACTTCAGCAGAGCCTTCTTCATTCAGAATGGTTCATTCCACCATTCCTCACCCAGGTCATTCTCGACTCTCTCCCTCCTAACCAGGCAATTCGTGGATTCTCCGTTTTTCCACCGAACCCGAAGCCGACAATTCCGGTCGAAGACACGCCGTGTTTCCATCCAGCTCATGCTTCCGTGTGCCCTCGTCCATTTCCACGACGGGATGCACTTCGGCAGCTTGCTTCTGCTGTGGAGGTTCTGGTAACCACCTGTCGGCCCGGCTGCGTTTCCGCTTGTACTTGCGGTAGTAGAGAAACACCAGACCAGAAAGAGTTCCAACCAGAGCAACACTGCCAATGGTTCCAAGACTGATGCCAGCTTTGCTTCCAGGTGTTAGTCCATTTGTGTCGCTTGAGCGGCTTACATGGGAAGGGAATGCCGTTGACGCAGCAGCGCTTGTTGCTGCAGAGGTAGAAGATGTACTGCCTGGCAAGAAAGAAGTTACGCTGAAAATCGAGTGGACGACAGAAAACTTCTCCGAGAGAGCGCCGTTCCCGGTACCACTCTGCATCGGAACGAAACTGATTTGATAGCCGTCTCCGTTGGGAATGATGTCTTGCCACGAAGTGAGAGTGTATGTTTGTGCAGGGACGTCGACGTTGATGGCCATCTCGCGCGCGAACTGGGTGGAGTTCTGCACAATGTAGATGTACACTCTGTTGGTGTCGATTTCGGTGTCATAGGTCCAAGTGAGCGCCAAGGGTTGCTGGGCATCGATGATGGAGCCGGCGTTAGGGAACGTGATCCATATTCCTAAAAAGATAGTGTGAGTCGAAATTTGCTAGTTTAGCTGAATAGAGATAAGCTGGAATGCTTCAGAGTTCAGTTCACCTTGTGCCAGACTGATCAGGCAGATGATGACAAAGATGGCTATTAAGGACATGGCAGCAGTCTAGCGTGGCTAGATAGGAGCTGACACCAAGAATGATGAGGAACACAGTGCAGTGTCGAGACTGGAAAGATTGTAGGTAGGTCTCCTCGAGCTCCAATCAGACGAGTTGTGCGCACCAAGGAAAAACGAGGATGGAGGAAACCACATCTTCTGGGGAATTCGACGTGGAGCAAAGCCGGTGGCACCATTCGCTAGCTTAGATGGAGGTAAGGCGGACATCAGCGTCGAAATTCGACTCGGATTCACAGTCTCTGCCGTATTGGGAAGTCATCTGATCCGGAACCAGAATCACCGTGTAAGACCAGTTCAACCTGTCGACAACTGCGAAGTACTCGATTCTTATGTTATCTGTGTCTGTATTTTGTACATTTACGAATAGTGAGATTCCTGCCAGCCATATACATTGAAAAAGAACAGGGTTAGGGCTCGTAACCAGTCATTTCAGTGGACAAGATCCTACGAATCCATCCACTGCTTCAGCAAATATCTCCAGAAAGAGAGCAATGATTATCTACTCTTTCTAGATTCCGCCGATCGCAAGCCTGCTTCTTATTTCCCGTCTACTACTTTTCTTTCACCGGAACTCTCCGCTCAGATGGGATTCGCTCGAGGGTAAAGGCCGGCAGAAACAAAGACAACAACCGCAGCAGCACATAAATACCTCGTGTCTCTCACTTAAGTGCTCAGTGGCCTTCAACAGCTAACCTATCATCCCATCCATCAAAGCTCCATCTTCTTCCTGAGAGATATCTCTCCTCTGGTCCAGGGGAAAACAAAACACCGAAGCTCTCGAAGCTCTCTCTCAACAGCCAAGGTGAGTACAAATCCTATATGAATGACGACAGACTGAACAATTTATTTCGAGATGGACGACAACTGGGTAACCACAAACTTCGACCTCACCCTCCTCGACCGCATCTGCTTCACCATGTACGCCTGCGCATACCGCACCGACGAGAACTCCACCGGCAACAGCGAAGCCCACTGGGCCTTGCTCTTCCAGTACGAGGTGGAGGCCTGCGTACGCGTCGAGATGGCCCAGGGCTACGGGGCCAACGGCCGGGAAGGGAAGATCCACCTGTCCAACGTGAAGCCCTTTGACGCTTCACCTGCATCAAACTGGGGCGGACACATCGTCCAGCTGTTCTACACCCGCAATTTCCCCTCTGTCCAGGACTTCATCGACGTTATTGTCAACGAAGGCCGGGAGAGATACACCTTCACTGAGGAAGGAGAAGGGTCTCGCTTCTGGGCTGCTACCGTCATTAAGGACTTCACCAAGGCGAAGCTCCTGCCCAAGGATAGCGGGGAGGAGATCATGAAGGCGATCAGTTTCGACTGGAGCGGTCCTAATATCTATGATCCTAGGCCTGTTCGTGAGGGAACTTTTGGCTAGTTCAGTCTGGGAAGGCAGTTACAAACGAGAGACCAAGTTTTTGTAGAGACGGGATAGCGACCAGTCAGCTTTGACTCGATGGAGCAGACAAAAGTCGCGAGAGAGAACACAAAATACCAGAGAGAAATATCAATTGAAGTCTTTAAACTTAGGCTCCTCCCAAGCAGGGAGACCAGATCCATAGTAATTAATGAACTGCTTCGAGATACCAAACTTCGTTCCTAGAACGTAAGTAGATCTCAGACGGCTCAAGCTTTCCAACTTATGAAGCTGCACAGGCCCATAATAGTCTCGATTGATTCCTCTGTACCCCTGTCGCTCTAGGCCAGACGCCAGATCATGCTCACGTTACCATTACCTTACCACGTGCCTGCTGTTTACATTCGACGAACCCAAAGTTCAATCCACAATGGTATTATTACAACACTATATTTATCTTGCTTCCACTAATCCTCTCTTTCTGCAGCAGCCTGTCTCTTCAAGTCCAGATATTTAGCCGCGTAGTCGTTGGCCAGAACCGGATCCCCCGACAGATGCATGACTGTCGCCTTCTTGGCCATCATCTCACACTGGCCGGCCAGGTCCTCGATCTCCTCGTACTCGTCGTACGAGCAGTCAATGTACTCCAGCGCGCGCGTCACGTACTCCTTCCTCTTGACAGGGTCGGGGGCGCGCCCGGGGGAAGAATACTCGCCGGCCAGGCCCATGTACGCGTCCACGAGCACCGAATACGAGCGCGCGGTTAGTGAGCGGTCTTCGAATTCGAGGACCTGCGGCATGATGCTTTCCATCATCTCGGCGGCGGCCTCGAATTCCCGCAGACTCAGCAACACGCCCGAAAGCACACCGATGGCTTCCCACAGTGCCGGGAGGACCCGCGATCGGTGGGCGATGCTGGCCGCCCTCATCGCCAGGGAGAACCCGCGCTGTGGCTGACCGGTCTTGTCCATGATTCGGGCCTTGTAGCACAGCAGCTTGATCTGCGTGTAGACGTCAAAGTTTTCCTGCTGCATAGACTGCGCGATCTGCTCGACGATTTTCAGTGCACGGTGGTAGTCTCCCTTGCGAAGGCGAAATTCAATTTCGAGGAACAACAGATTGAGGGAAAGATCGGCGTCGGGGAGTTGCATCTCTTGGAGCTGCGAAAGCAGATGTTCTGCTGCGACGGTGTCATCTCTAGCAAACGAGGCATGAGTCTCTGAAACGAAAATAGACAGAATCACTCATACCTATAAATCTGCCTTTGCAGTTTGAGGATCCCAGAATAATATGACCAATGCTGATTCGCTTTGAGCGAGCGAAGTTTCTCTGGCGAGATGTCATTGATGCGTGCCATGGCCTTTTTGTAACAACCGCTTTGGGCCAACTACACCTGTCAGTGGACAACCAGATAAGTAGAGTAGACAATCTACTTACCAGCTGACAACTTCGAAACGTGCTCTTTAGGTAATCTTCGAATGGCGCTTTGTTCGCGTAGCACTCGCGGAAAATCTCGCAGTTCAAGAGGGCAATATGCGATAGACCTGAGCAGTTAGCCAAACACCGTACAAGCTATCACTGACGGGTTTCCATACCAATTCGAGCAAAGAGAGAAGCCTGGAACAACAGTTGAGGGCCCATCGAAGTCAACAGATTTTTGGTGACATTCAGATGAGAAGCTTTGACGACGTTCTCGAAGACAGACGCGAGGCTTTCTCCCTAGACCGTTTTTCAGTAATGATTCTGAATTCATATTCCACAAAATGCGGAGATATACATTCTGCAATTCGAGCTTGGCCTCACTTAGCTGCGTCGTGCTGAGCAGACTCCACATCTCCGTCTCCTTCGCTTTCGCCTTCAGAAACGCCAGGCCTTCCTTTTCGCTGCCGAGCATGCCCGTGTTTTGAACATCCCTCATCTCCTCGGGAAACGCTTTGCCAAAGTGGTACAGCCAGCTCATGCAGAAGTTGAGACAATTCATATCGTGCGACTCGCGCGCAATGGCAATCGCCTCCTGCATGGCAGAGACCGCCTCGCTGTAGCAGCCAAAGTCGGCCTGGAGGATGGCAAGGTTGAGGAGAGCGTATTGATAGAAGCTGCGGTCACGATTGTGCATCGTGTAGTCGAAATAGCGGTGGAGGTTGTCGAATGAAGACGGGTAATCTCCAGCTCTCCAGGAATCAAGGAATCTAGGAAATCAGTCCAGCTCCAATTAAATAAGAAGCCATCACCTACCGTAAATAATGTGACAAACTCGGAACAGTCACGCCGGTTTGAATGATATGTTCGAGTTGGACTTTCATTTCGTCCGATACTCTCCCACCCAGCCCTGAAAATACGTTAATACAAGCAACTGAACAGGAGCAAGGATTTCTGACTTTGCAACTCTCCAACCTGGAACTCGAGCAATCGCTCAACATCTTTCGTGCTAATGCCAGCCTCCGCTTCCAAGTCGTCCCCAATGTTCCCATACACGACCTGCGCCAGATGGCTGCTGGAATCCACGCCCAGATCGAGCAGGTTGACGTCAATTGCCGTCTGCTCGCTTGACGGATTCCTCCTCGCCCAGGCGCGGAAAGTTGGAAGACGATACTTGATGAAGCCCCTCCAGAGCTTCACCGAATCGTGGAACTGCAACCTCGTGAACTCAAGCTGAGCCCGGCGGACAAACGCACCCAGCGGGGAGCATCGAGTGAGAAGCATCCGGTCTGTCACCGGGGCAATGCCATTGTCTCGGTCTTGGATCTGCTCCTCGCGCGTCTTCTCGACGATGGAGGAGATGTTGGAGAAAAAGACCTCGAGAGCGTCGCAGCAGTCGAGCGACCAGATTTTCTTCAGGAAGAGGTCCCAGATCGAACGACCTGGAATGGATGACGCGTGGGGGGAAAGGGTCTCCTCGAACTCCTGAATTGAGACTGCATGGTTTCGGTCCCGTTTGAATGAGAGGGAGGCCCGTTCTGAGGAGCCCAGCGGGAGGATATGCGACACCAGAAAGGAGAGAACAGGGACAGCAGAGCTGTTGGGGACGACTCCTTCTGTGTACAATGAAACCAGGCACAGCAATGCCACCTTTGACGGTGTCAGGTAGCGGCTCATACTGATTGCTTGGACATGCTCGAAGTTATCCGGTCAAACAGCATCAAACCAGGCCCGCTCAATAACAACACAGCACCATCGAGTCTGTCTGAATTGGCGTAAATAGCCGGTGAATAAATAAATCAAGAGTATTTAGCTTCCTTCATGAACTCGATGGCATCGCCTTGATGGATAATTAAGACTGACCATCTCTATCAAACACGACGCGCATGGCGGAAGGACGCGAAGGTAGAATTCTGCCTGAGGCAGAAACAAGGCAGAAGCAGCTGCCCCGCCAATCCCCGCCGAAAGTGTCGCATGCAAGAAGACTCATCGACGTTCACTCCAATTGATTGTCGCAGAACTATTGCAATTGTCTAGATCACTCACCATGGCGGATGCACTGACAAAGACGGATCTCCAGGGCGCATTGCCGCTCATCGCTCGAGGCAAGGTCCGCGACCTGTACGAAGTCGACGACAAGACGCTTCTCTTCGTCGCGACCGACCGCATCTCCGCATACGATGTGATCATGGAGAATGTGCGCATTGCAATATCATTTCCCGGGAAAAAAAATAAAACAATGCATTGCTGACTTTGATTCTCTCCCAGGGCATCCCCAACAAAGGCGTCCTCCTCACCCTCTGCACAAAAGCCTGGTTCAAGATCCTGCAAGACGCCATCCCTTCGCTGCGCACGCACTTCCTTACCCTCGACCTGCCCCCGCAGATCCCGCCGTCCTTGCGGCCCACGCTGCAGAACCGGAGCATGCAGGTTCGCCGGCTGAAGGTGTTTCCGATCGAAGCCATCGTGCGAGGATACATCACCGGCTCCGCGTGGAAGGAGTATCAGAAATCGGGGACCGTCCATGGCATACCGTTGCCTGCGGGGTTGAAGGAGAGCCAGGCGTTCCCCGACGGGCCTCTGTACACGCCTAGTACCAAGGCAGAGCAGGGAGAGCATGACGAGAACATTCATCCTGATCAAGGTTTGTAAACTTTCGTACCTAATACGATTGCTGTCTCTGTCCCGTGTCTAACAAGAGTTCTCACAGCTGCCGCCATCGTCGGAGAACCGTACGCCTCCAAGATCGCCTCTCTCGCCGTCCAGCTCTACAAGACCGCCCACGCATACGCCTACGAACGCGGCCTCATCATCGCGGACACCAAGTTCGAGTTCGGCCTCGACCCGGAAACGGACGAGGTGGTGCTCGTCGACGAGGTCCTAACGCCCGACTCGTCGCGGTTCTGGCCCAGGGACAAGTACGTGGTGGGACAGAGCCAGGAGAGCTTCGACAAGCAGTACCTGCGAGACTGGCTCGTGAAGGAAGGTCTGAAGGGCAAGGAAGGCGTCCGCATGACCGAGGAGGTGGTGCAGAAGACGGCGGAGAAGTATCGGGAGGCGTGGGAGAGAATTACCGGTGGTACTGAGTCATAGATAGACATTTCTTAAATACAAAAAAAAAAGGTCCGCTGGTCGGATGGATCAGAAATACTCTTACTTATATATGTATACTTTTTTTTTCCTTACTTTTATTTTCCGAGTTGACGCATACCATTGCTTTGAAAAAGCATTGATTGACCTCAGAGATTCACAAGATATATACAGCTGTGAATCTTTATCATAAGAATGACAGCAACAACAGCAAAGCTGCACTCCTTCTAAGCAAACAAAAAACAAAAACAAAAAATGAATGCAGAAAGAACAATCACAGTTGTACAGTGCAGTACTCTACATCCAGAACAGTCAGTCAGTCAGCCAGTCAGTGAGTCAGTCAGTCAATATGCATGCATGCATGTGGTCTGAACAGGACAGAACAGAAAGACACAACAAAAAAGCAGCAAAACTTCACCACCAGTCCCCGCATAAAGGCATCATCTTCCATCACGCCCTGCTGTGCCCCCCTAACTCTAAGCTAATCAAATCAGATCAAACCAGGTCTGCCACAAGCTGCAGACTGGTCTGAACAGTAAAGATAGGTTTGTTTTGCTTTTTTTTCTCCTGTAACATACCACAAAGACACAGAGAGAGAGAGGAGGAGGAGAGAAAGAATAATAGAATAGGGGAGTTAGTTATGAAGGAAGTGCAGCTGAGCTTGCGTTGTTTTCATGCCCAACAACATCCAAGTGTAAATAAATGGGAATTGTTCATCTCCCTCTCAAGAAGCACGATCATAAGTCATTGTCCTTTTACTTCCGTCGCTTCATCGTCTTTTCACACATCTCGATCAGACCGTCCTTGGCCTCGCTTTCAGGGAAATCTTTGATCGCTGCGACTGCCTTGTCCGCAAAGTCCTGGGCAAGAGCCCGGGTCTGCTCAAGGCCATCACTCTTGGCAACAATTTCACGGGCCTGTAGTGGTTGAAATCAGGTCAGCTTGGTTCACCACACCCAGTTGCAGTTGATACAACTCACCCTCTCCACATCCCCTGGATGTGAGAACTTTCTCCCAACCAGAGCCCCCAATTCGGCATTGTTCTTCCATGCAAACAACAACGGGGCCGTCGCAAGACCCAGCTCCAAATCGGCACCCGCAGGCTTGCCCAACTCATTGGCGCTGACGGTGTAGTCGAGCATGTCGTCGACCAGCTGGAACGCAAGGCCCAAGTTGCGACCATAAGAGTAGGCGGCCTCCACGATTTCTGGGGCGCTGTTGCCCAGCAGTGCAGCGGCCCGGCACGATTTACTGATCAGACTGGCCGACTTGAGGTAGGTCTTCTGCAGATAATACGTGATCGTGTCTTCCGTGAAGACCGGGTTAGGGTCATCCGACGCAGTGTTTTTCAGCTGCATAAACTCGCCCTCAACCAGATTGGCAATCACAGTCGCCAGCAGCTCCGTCACTTCGGGATTTCTCAGACGCGCCAGGGCGACAGAGGCCCGTCCAAGGAGGAAATCGCCCGCCAACACGGCCATTTTGTTTCCGAACTGCAGGTTCGCTGAGGTTGCCGACCGACGGGTGACCGCATTGTCAATGACATCGTCGTGGAGAAGGGACGCCGTGTGAATGAGCTCCGTTATCTCCGCCAGCCGTCGCTGGGTGGGCAGAATCCCGTCGTCGTCCGGTAACTCGGAGTCCACGGATGGTGCAGTCAGGGGGCTGATGTCTGGATTTGTATCCGCGAGCACCAGTGGTGAGCTGATAGGATCACTGATGTACGACGATGAAGTTGATGGCGGTGGGTGCGGGTTTCTCGGAGCCAGCGCCGTGGCCCGCGACATGAGCAGGACCAGCAGCGGACGCACATGCTTGCCCTCGCTCCAGGTATAGTACTTGGCGACCTTATCCAGCATCGGATGTCCTGATCCCAGCAGCTTTCGTATATTCTTCGTCAAGAACTTCAGTTCCTTTCCGACGATACGCAATGGATCGACCGAGATGCCAGATGGAGGTTTGGGGAGGCTCTTGGAGAACAGGGTCTGCGCGGCAGAGACGGCCGCGCCGATGGGAGACACATTTTTTCGACGGCTCGGATGGTATTTTCGTGAATTGAAGGGCTTCAGGCTGCACAGGAGCTCATCCTGCAGGCATTGGGAGCATATCGAGGTCGACGGCACAGCTCGAGGCGAGAGCAGCAGCCCGGACGCGCGGACAGATCGAGCTCTCATGCTCAGCAATTGAGAGCGAGACTCAGAGAGAAAACATACAAGACTAAGAGCACTAACGACTAGGGTCAGCACAAGGGCGGGATATCAAGAACCGGCGTGGCTGCTGGTGTCGAGTGACTGCGGACGACTTTTTGCTGGCGTGTGGCAGGCCGGAATTTGCTGGGCCCAAGATCGGCCGGAGGTCCAGCCATCGCCGAGACACTCGCCGGCCCGGAGCCACCGTGCCCAGCACAGCTCCAGCGAGTCAAGCTCCCGGATCAACCCGGAAATCTTTTGCGATTCTAGAAAGCCGCATTACATCAATCTCTACACCAGCCCCCCGCTGCAGTGAATAAATACGGGCGATTCAGAATGCACAGATCAATTGCACACGTGGTCTAGCATCAGACTACAAAACACAACACAACAGTAAAGGCGGCAGCGGCCGAAAACACCCGGTCGACGGACTGTACATACACACCCAAACTGTCCCATCAACCTAGAGAGTAAACGACAACCTAAGGTAGCAAAGAAACAAGCCCATGACGAGATGATGCGGCCGAGATTAGCCAGTTCTGCGCAGTGTCTCCCCCTGCGCAGCCGGGGTGATCACAAAGCGTGCAATAAAAACACATGAGTTCGAAAGACCTAGCACCACCAGCAGAGCGCCCTGCTGGACGCACAACAAGTCATTATCCCCCCCTTGCCCGAGATAGATCAAATGCCGTCAAAGTCACCGCCCGCGTCATCCTCGTCCATCTCTCCTTCCTGGATCTCCTTGGCCAGCTCCCGCTCCCGCTCCCGCGCCTCCTGCGCATTCTTCAACTCCAAACGGTGCTGGTTCATCGGGAATCGCATCGCCTAGAGAAATGGTCAGATTCCGGATCGAGACTTTTTCCGTAGGAAGACTGAAACGATAAGGGTTTGCATACCTTGACACTCTCGTCATGAAGGGCCAGACAGGCTTTAATCCGTGCATGGAAAGCCTCGCTGGGCTCGCTGGTCAAGTAGATGTCACCAACCTCCTTGCTCTGCATATAGCCTTTCTCGTGGTCAATCGAAGCCTCGATGACGCCATCTCGAATGGCCTTGGCGACGATATATTCGGCTGATTCCTCGCTGTCCAGCCCGAGACGGATGCAAATATCGCGCAACGAAATGCGGGAGTACGCAAGGGACATCACCCGAAGGCCGGTCTTGATGACATTCTGTCGCAGCCGCAAGATCAGGGTGTAGGTCCCGTCTTTCCGGAACGTGGCGCCGTGGGTGTTGACGATATTCAAAAACCCATCGAGGTCTCCGACGCTCACCGCACGCACCAAGAGGAAGTACGGATGCAGAGCCCGCTCCAGGGACGGCTGGCGGAAGATGGAGCGGTCGGGGATGTCGCCCATCAGGAGATTGACAATGACCAGGTGCTTCGTGGAGGCCTGGTAGAAGCCGCTGGCACTGTAACTGGACGGCGACTTGCGCGTAGCCCCGGTAAGGTGTTCATGTGCTTCGCTGTACCGCAGTTGAATGGCACGGATACGGCCCAGGTAGTACAAATATCGAGCGATCTGGTTGTTGGACGCAGAGGCCGGGAAGGTGTTGTGTGCGATGAGCAGGTCAGCCTGAGTGACGTGCGATGTCGACAGGTAGTTACGCAGCAGCAGCGTGATGACGGTGGCCTGGATGTCCACATCCTTGCGAAGCACGGCAGTGCGAAGAGCAGCGAGCAAGGGCTTGCGGATGGAGATGACCGCAGCGGTAGGGGACGGAGGCAGCGGAGCCAGTTGCTCGTAGAACAGAGAGTAGTAGAAGTACACGCGAGCCGCCAGCGAATCTAGCGTTCTCCGGTTCAGAGTCCGCAACCGCTCTACCAGTTTGCTAGAGAAGTCGGCGCCCCGCTGGATCTCCTTGTGATCGTAGAGATAGATCTGGACCAGGATGGACAGGTACATGTCGACCTCGGGTAAGATCTCCCGCGCGACCGGCTTGGACTTATCCGAATCCAGCTCCATCTTCGCGCCGTCATAGGCGCCCGCCTTACCGATCGCCTCCAACAAAAAGGAAGCCGTCTGGTGCGAGCTGGGATATGTGTCGACAATGACCTCCGCCAGGACGTCCGGGGTAATATGTTTCCGCATCGAGGATATCGACCGCAAGACGCGGAGGGTAAATCTGGGGTCGAATTGGGTCACCGCGCGCTCGAGGAGATTGAAGTTGTTCTTGATATCTGATGTTCTTCACCGTCAGCGTCCATGCACCTCCGAGCAAGCATGCTGCGCCGAGCTCACCTTGCACTGCCTTGGCGCGGGGATCAATCTCGGGCTCTGTCTCCTTAGCCTCCTTCTCTTCTGTACCCTCCATGGAAACGTCTCCCTCCTGATCCTTCTTAGTATCCTGACCAGGCTGTCCGGATAATCGGGAACCCTTGGATGGGGGCACTACAACAGTCATCTCGTCACCATCGCGGTCCTTGTTGGTTTGGATGGACGATGTAGGCCCACCTGCCGTGTCCTCTTCCATCTCCACGTCCTCGACCCCGTTGACACCGTTTTCCACGGGCTCAGAGCCGTTTGCGTGCGGCTGGTCGCCGCCCATGGGGTTAGAATTGCTGGCGCCTTTGCCAGCGGCGCCTTTCTTGGCCGGGGCGGATTTGGCCTTGTTCGCAGCTGACCGGGTCGTCGGGGCGGCCTTGTCCTTGTTGGACGTGGAACTCTGCGAGTTGGAGCGGGCCTTTTCGCCGTTTGTGGAGGACGAGGTGTCGGACTTGCTGTTCGACCGCAGGGAACGCCTTTCAACAGGCATATTTGCAGCTGGGAGAGCTAAGCTCGGGACGACGGACCGACAGCACCGGTTTGAGGAAGGGGGGCTCACCAACCAAGCGAGAACCTCAAAGCAAGCCAGGTGCCGCGGAAGGGAATACGATGGGGGAAGGGGAGGCGATGGAGAGAGGAAGGGAGCGAAGAAGGGACTTGATGAAGGGTGATGTCAAGGGTGGTGATGTGATGGAGCGAGAGAGCAGGCGAGCAGCGGCAGCAGAGCAAGCAGGCTGACCCGAAGAGGCGTCAGCGTCGCGCCTGGCGAACGGGATCGAGCGAGGCGGCTGAGTCAGCAAGATTGCCGCCCTGCCAGTGTCACACGAGCGGCCTGGGCCAGCTGGGCAGGTGCGTCGAGTGCAGATGTCGTACGAGATCTGAGTTGGAGGGTGCAGCCTTGCCTGAGCAGGATCGCTGAGGGAGGAGGAAGAGCTGTGCTGGCAGTGCTGCGTTGTCATCGACCTGAGGCGATCGATCTCGCGGTGTCTCTGCCTGAGGCCGGAAAAGACAGTCGCAGGCTTGGCATTGGGCTGTTTGCTTTGTTGACAGCAACAACAAATCAGGCATGCGACGCCTGGTAGGCTGTCACTACTCTACGTGCTAAATAAATTCCTGAACAACCACCAGAAGAGACTAGACGCGCCCTGTCACGATGTCGCTCCTCGAGAGCCATCTGGAGCAGATCAGCCTCTCTGCCAATGCCATCTCAGAGCTGGCGTAAGACCGCTCCGTCGTGCTGTCTGCTCTCCGCGTACTGATCGTGCATATCTCCCCGCAGGTTTCCCCCGCCCAAGATCTTTACCAATGCCTTGCTGAACTCCCACGACATCACCGCCCTGATCAGGGACACCGAGGCACATGAACGCGCCCTCTTCTCCATCGACCCGTCTGCCAAGTCCCTGTCGTCGTCCCAGAGACGGGCCACGCGACGAGGCACCGTCTACCCCTCCGAAGGAGCGGGCGAGTCCATGGCCAGTCGCATCTACGCTGCACGAAACAACAGGAATCAATCTGCGGTGGCCCGGGTGCTGGGGGTCGACATGATGGAGGAGATCAAACGCTCTAGCAGCGCCTCCGCCAGAGCACCGCGGGGAGAGATCAACGTCGAGGTCCTCCTGAAAGGCGCCGAGAAGCTATGCAACGTCTAGTCAGTAGCTCCCCAGCTGGTTCTCTCCATCTGCGTGCACATCCATTGCTGACCAGAGTCCTCACGGTGGATCTAGTCCCATTGCCGGTGCTGCCGAGAAAATCTCCACGCTGCGCTATCGCTACCAGCAAGTAACCGAGTCCCTTGCTCAGCTCGAAGCGCGGGTCGCCGCCAATGCCGCAGAACTCGAACGCATGAGCCAGGCTTATGGCCACGATGACGACGACTTTGAGGACTTGGACACGCCGCAACAGGAAGTGGTGAATGTCACAGATGAGGACATTGCGCGAGAACTCGAAGAGATTCGCAAACTGGAGCGAAAGAAGCGCGCTCTCGAAGAACGAGTGTCTGGGATGGAACGAGATCTGGGCGGTCTGATGCGATGAGTGCCTTATCAGCATAGCGCGCAACCAGACAATAACAGATTACAAAGGAGACTACGCCCCTGAGGAGGTCTATAGCACTTGTCGGGGGTTGGCAGCTCGAATGCAGCAGTTTCCTGTGCCCTGCTATGTTTCTGGATGTCCAGGAACGAAACATTGGGAAGTCTGCATTCCTTTGCTTCGACCAGGTCCAGTTAAAGGACTGGTCAGTTCGACTATCCATTGTGATGCTACGATGAGGTATGCTCATCTTCAGATCAAAAGGGAAGTGCTAAAACTCTACCCTGGAGACTTGCATCTACTGGGTTGTCGGCCCAGACAAGAATGCAAGTCGGTTTAGAGATGACGTCTGACGTCTCTCATGGGGTCAGACAGGGCAAAGCAATAGAACACAGCACAATTTACAAAGGACCTGTGACGAAGATATTGCAGATTTCACAGCTTCACCAGCGAGGTGGGAACTGAAGGCGAAAGATGTCATGATTAAGCAGTTCATGAGGAATCTCAAATAGCTACAGTACTAAAAAGAAATTACCTGCCATTGATATAAAGTAATTTTATCTTCAGTTGGAAGTGTGCATTCACTTGCTAAGTGCTGAATTTGACTTGTGCATGATGTTTTCTTTAACGTAGCTGTCATTCACAACGCAGTGAATAAGGTACCTGAGGTAACCTTACTAGTGTAGTGGTAAGACATACGCCATCGGAGATTGCCTTGACACAACGGCAACTTACCTACATGTGAGGCTGGAACCGCTCAATTAAATCTAAAGACCCTGAGAAGAGTAGTCTCAGTTAATAGATCGTAGGTGAATTCACATGGGAGGGGCCTTTGACTGTAGTTGAAACAAAGCTCGCTGTCTGTAGACGCGCCGGCATGCCAAGCCTCCGCTATGCAGGAGGGGAAAAGCTTCGATCTCGACGGACGTCCTGCCACCGCGGCCCTCATTGCCTCTCGCGTCATTCCAGTTCTATCCAGAGCCCAGACTTTCTGGCTGACTTTCTCCCGACTCATTTTTCTGGTGGCCATCAGCTGTAGTTTATTCATATATACCTGATCTCGTCCTGCTCAGGGGGTCCTGGAGGCCGACTGAGTCGAAGCTTCCGTCGTTCTGCATCACCCAAAGGACGAACCGTCCATCAATCGCAAAGGCTGTCTACAGGATGGATGGCTCGGGCTCTTCGGCTCCTTCGAGTCAGCCGCAGCAGCAGCAACAACAGCAGCAACAGCAGCAACAGCAACAGCAACAGCAACAGCAGCAACAACAGCAGCAGGTCCCTCCTCAGCAGCAGCCTTCGCTGATCCGCACCGACCAAGTCCAAAAGCTACCTCATCTTAATGACCAGCAAAAGCAGCAGCACACGCAGCTCGTCCGCGGTCTCTGGGAGATTCTGAGCACGCGGGACCCGTCGAGTCCTGAATATCAAAATGCCCACATGCGGCTGACCCAGGTGTCGCAGAGCCTGATGAAGGGCATGCGCATGTTCCAGCAGCGGTTCCAACAGCAACAGCAGGCACAGGCAGCCGCGACGGCAGCCCAACAAGGCCAGCAGCGGGCGCAGGCTACCAATCCGCAGTCGTTTAACCAGCTCCTGCCCCAGATCCAGAATAAAGTCAACAGTCTCCACTTCTTCCTTCCTCCGAATATCAGCAAGGAGCAGATGCAGTCGTGGCTTCCCGAGGCGAGGTTGCGGTATGGCATCGCGCTGCAGAAGCAGGAGATCGGACGCGTGCGTTTGGCGGAGCTGAAACAGCAGTGGAACCAGCGTCAGGCTGCCGGCAACATGACGCAGGAGGAGATGCAGGAGTTTAAGAACAGGCAGATGGCGGCGGAAAAGCTGTACCGCGAAGGGAGCGATTTTCTCAACAAGTTCAAGGAGCAGCAGGAGAGCTTCAAGGCAGCGCAGCAGAATCAGCAACTCAACAGAGCGGCGCAGGGTCAGGGCCAAGCCCAGCAGGCTGCTCAGGCAGGCGGCGATCAGGCTACGACAGGCGACAATCGTCCTCCGACTACAGCAGCTCAGATGCATCCTGGGCAAGCACAACCTGCACCGCACACAATCAACTCTGCTGTCAACGCTGCCCGTCACCAGGCAGGGCAAGCAGCCATGTCGCCAGCAACGTCGCAGCCCGGGCAGCAGGGCCAGACACCCACCACACAAGCGCCAGTTCCTACCCCCACCGCCCAGCAAGCACCAGCAGCTCCTGGGACTCAGAACGCGTTCAACCAGGCGCCTGGTCAGCCACAGCCACAACAAAATCAGCCCGCACCCCAGCAGCCTGAAGGTGTATCTGCGCCGGGGGCTGCCCCTGCCCAACCTCCCAATCCTCAGGGCCCTCCCCGTCCACTCTCCCACCAGGCAGCGATGGCCCAGGCCGCCCAAAATTACTCCAACGCCAACCAGCAGCAGAATGCGGCCCAGTCGGCTGCGAACCCTCATGGCCATCCCCCAGGCTACATGCAGAACCGGTCCACTGAGAACACGACTCGTAACATCAACATGGCCATTCCCAAGAACCTCAACGTGCCGCCTCCAGAGCCCGTGGCGATGGGCCCGTCGCGCCCTACGCTGTCTGGCGGTCCTGGCCACGGCGCCATGGGTGTGATGGGCCAACCAGCCATCCAGAAACATCCTGGCTATGTGCTCGAGGGCGAAGGCCAGCGAGTGTTGAGTAAGAAAATGCTCGACATTCTGGTGCGCCAAGTTACTGGAGGCGGAGAAGGCGAGGGGCTCACCCCGGACGCCGAAGAGGTAAGATCTACCACACTCTATCAATTCTTGGCAAGTGTCGCAGCTAACAAGCGTAGTTTATTCTTCAAATGGCCGACGACTTTGTCGATGACGTGATCACTGCCGCCTGTCGTCTGGCGAAGCTCCGTCCCTCGTCGACGCTCGAGATCCGCGACATCCAGCTCGTGCTGGAGCGCAACTACAACATGCGGATTTCGGGCTTTGGGACCGACGACCTCCGCACGGTCAAGAAGCCACAGCCAGCGCAGGGCTGGATGCAGAAGATGTCTGCTGTCCAGGCAGCCAAAGTGACCCAGGGAAAGGCAGAATAATATATCCATTCAGCTGTCACGGTATCACTTCATCACATCCGGTGGTCTTTTTTTCCTAAATTAATCCCGCATACCTGGCGTCGGAGGATTCTGGTTCTGACATGGAGTTGGTGGCAGAGTGATAATTAAATTACAGGGGTATTTCTTTGGTCTGGAGTTTGTTGGGAGGCTCATTCTAATTAAAATTAATCAATCTCATTCATTCTCAAACGTAAAGAAATCGACTGGTTGACTACAATCATATCATGTAGATCATGTAGATATATATCTAACCTGGGTTATTAATAAACCAGAAGAATTGAAGTAGGTGTGTACATACCTACGGTAACCTACCTATGTAGGTCGACAGGTGATATCTTAATTGAACGCACATACACACATATATACAACACAGGTACACACATACAACATACATCTGTACTGTACTGTACACATTCAGGCAGGGATATATATATATATATCTATTATATATGGAGTCCATCAGACACAAGAAAAGCCCATGATGAGATGAGAGGAAATGAAATGAGATGAGATGAGATGCTATATATTTGACAATGAATTGACAATGAATATACCTAAATACTTATGTACAGTACATACATACATGTATACATACAATAATCCTGCATTCAGCATGTCCATTCATTCATTTATTTATTCGTTCATTCATTCATTCATTCATTCATTCATTCATTCATTCATTCATTCATTCATTCATTCATTCATTCAAGTCCGATTAAATGGGCATTTGAATGAGCTGCGACTCTCACAAACCCTCCCTCAACGCAGATAGATGCCCTGTTGAGATCAGGACCGCTCTGGGCCTGACTCTAACCCTGACCCTAGACTGCAGACGCAGACGCAGACGCAGACCTCGACCTCGACCTCGATCTAGAGGTTTTCTCCCTCTCAAACGACCTCCGCCACACCCACTCCTTACCTTGCCTCCCCTGCTCATGCAACCACTCTGCGTCTTCCTTCTCGACCATCACCCCGCTGGTGCGGCCCGCAGAGCTGCTGCTCCATCGTCGCTGACCGGAACTGTTGCTTCGACTTCGGCGTTGGTGGCGCTGTATTGCTGCTGCGATGATGTTGATGTTGCTGGGGTCGTCGATTACTGCTGCTGCTGCTGCTGCTGCTTCTCCTTGCAGTAGCTTGATATGCTGTCCAGAGCCAGGTATGCTAAGACGGCTAGGATCGTGCTTCGCAGTATTATTATTGGTATTAGTATTGCCTGGCTGCCCTGCAGCCGGCGCAGCAGGAGCGGCGAGAATCTCTGCGACTTCGACGAGGCCGTCTCCGACTGAGTGGTCTCCGCTAGCAGGGTCCTCTCCTCCATCCAAGTCATCGTCCATCGTCGTCGTCATCATCGGACCCATCTCCGTGTCCAGGACGAACGATCTCTGAATCTGCTCCGTCCACCGGCGCGAGAGATAGCGCTTGATGCGGGAGATGGTATCTAGCCCGCCGCCACCACCGTCGCCGCAAGCAAGAATGCCTCCGGTAAGAATATTCCCACCGTCATCGTCATGCGCAACGCGAATCGTCTTCTCAGGCCGCAGCCACGACCGGATCAGCGCCCATTTCAGCCGCGCAATGCGCCCCTTGGGCACGACGTGGTCGCGCGGTCCGGTCCGCGACCACAGCGCCGGGTTAGTCCGGGCCATCTCGTGGAAGAAGCGCTCGTAGACGGCGCGCTGGTAGGGGGTCTGGCGGTGGCGCGACGAGGCGAGGCGTTTCATCAGGAAATACACGGCCAGGACGACGATCATGAAGGGGATGGCGGCGACAAAGTACCATTTGATGCTGGGGTTGTTGGCGAAGGTGTCGACGTTCATGCCGAAAAACCCAACGATAAACGTCAGGGGAAGAAAGATGAACGTGATCCAGCTCAGGCGCCACACTTTGTTCAGTTAGACCAGACCCAAGTTACAATATTGTTTTACTTAAACGACAGGTCCGACAGATCTGACTTACTGCTCACGCCCAATTCAAGACTGTGTCGACTATCCCGGATCGACACGCTCTGGTACAGCAACGAGATCATCGACTCGGTGGGTTTGACCAGATCTTCCGTCACGAGGTTCGTCAGGCGGTCGAATTCGCCGGGGATGTCGTCTAGCCAGTTGTCTTCGGGGTCGACGTCATCTAGAAATAAATCAGGTCAGTATTCTTGCATTCGTTCTGCGAATATACCCACCAGTCAACTCATGAAGCTGAGTCCTCATATCATGCATCACACTAATATGCACATTCAGCAGCTTCTCGACCTTCAGCCACAGACTCGAATTGGACCACAGCTCCGGCGCGCGCGACTCGTCAGCCGGATGGTCATAGATCCTATCCTCGAGGATGCTGACGTGCGTGACAGCCTTGTCGAGGAAGCCATCCCACGTCGCGATGACGGCCTTGAACACGTCGCTCATGATGGCCTTGCAGCACTGCAGCGCCAGCTGCTCGTCGTTGGCGGCGACGGGGTCCCTGCTCTCGAAGGCCAGGTGGAACGGCAGGCGGCGCCAGCGGCACTCCCATTCGCGCCGCGCAGCGATCAGCGTGTCTTCGATGCTCCCTGAGTGCGAATTGTCGAAGATGATGATCGCGTTGCTGTTGTCGAGTGTCCCGAGGCGGGGGATGTCCTTGTCCTTGAGGTCGCCATTCGCGATGACATTGTCGCTGTCCTTGGTCCCGCCGTCGTAGACGTAGGGATCCTTGATATCGATCTCATCAAGAGGGATTTCCGACACAGCCATCTTGTGCTGGATATAGCAGCTCACGCGCTGCACGTAGACGTCATGTATGCAGACGGGTTCATCTGGAGTCTCAGCATATACGTCCGAAGGATCCTCGAAGAAAGAGATATTCCGGTCCTACCATTCTCATCATAAGAATTCAACCGCACCAACCGATCAGACTCATCCGTCACCGTCGTCGCCGTCACAGGATCCCTTGTCCGAGACGTCTTGACATAGTCCAGGCCAAACGAAGTCCTACTGACCCCCCTCCAGGGATCATACTGCACCTTCCACGTCTTTCCGTTAAGGAAGGGCTTCCCGCCACGCAGCTCAGGCTTTTTGAAGCGAACATAGCGGCCGAAATCTGTCCCGACCAGGTCATTATCATTGTTCCGGTTATTCTTGCTGCTGAAGTTACTGTTACTGTCAATGTTGAACTTTCGCAGAAGAAACTGCGTCGCCCACTGCGCGTTCTGAACGTGAATGACGCGCAGCGCGGGTTCGTCTTGCTGATTATGATTCTGCTGATTATGATGATGGCGATAGAACCTCCGCAGCGCATCAAGACTGTAGATCTCCTGCGCCGTGACCTTGCGGATGTGAGAGCCGGTGTTGTCTACGCCTCTTGTCAGAAAAATCGTCCGTATAATCATCTTTTTCTGTTTAATAGTATACCACTCCTCGCAAAATCAATCAACAACACTCGACCAGCCCTGGGATCGATCTCGGCATAGTCCTTGTGCCATTTCAGGCCCGGACTGCGGGGTCGTCGATGCTTTCCTGTCGTCGTCCAGATATTCGTCAGTGAAAAAAAAAATCAAAATAAATGTTAACACGATACATACCACCGCGAAAACCCTGCCCTTGCTGCTGCGTTGACCCTGCTGCTGGTCCTCGTCCTCGTCCTCGTCCTCGACTATTATTGATATTAATATTATTATTCTCCGCAGGAAAGGGAAAGGTATACACCCTCTCCGCTACACGAGTGCGAGAGCGAGAGCGATCTGCAGGATTCATTCAATCAATCCATTCATTAGCCTCGAAATTAAACAATACTCAGCACTGAACTGGACTGGACTGGACTGGACTCACCTCGTGTCGTGCCGCCGTCCGTTGGGGACGTGGACGTGGACGTCTCTGTGACAGTGACGGGCGGAGCTGGAGCAGTAGCAGTAGCAGTAGCTGGAGGAGTCTTCTTTGCAGATGCGTCGTTGTCGTCGCTCATAGTCATGGCGTATCGGGAAAAAAAAACATCAGTTGTCTAGTCTAAGTAGGGAAGAATCCCATCCAGTAGGTAAGTATGTAGTATCATGAATGAATTAATTATAAATTTAATTAATTTAACGTAGGTAACTACAAAGAATCACGATTCGATTCGATTCTACTTGGTAAATAAATACCTATCTAACTATAAATAATATACGTGATAAGACCATTAATGGAGGCTGACAGGCTGAGCCAACCCGCATACCCCTCACGAGTCACAGGCTCACAGCTCAACTCAACCGAGTCAACTCAGCGCGGCAGGGCGCAACCTCACTCAACCCGCGCGTGGTTTTTGTTTATTATTTATTTCAGTATAGTATGGTTATGCACGAACCAACGAAATGAGAGTTTACGAACTGTTTTAACTGTTTTAACTCTGCCTGTCTTGTCTGTCGGGGAGGCGGGACGAAATAATTAATTATTAATGGCTGGAGTACAGTGTGCAGGGCTGCAGGGCTGCAGCAGGCTTGAGCTTGACGCCTCTCGAGTGATGATCAGCCTCATTCATCCTGGTGACCTGGTCACATTATTCAGCCTCGGGCCAAACTTAGTCTCTACTGGTCAGGAATAGGATACATGTATAGTAAATTCTAACAATCAAAATAACTGCAACTTCCATTCCATCTCTATCTTACTGTCTGTCTGAATACAATAAATGTGAATTCAGTCCAGTCAAGGCCACTCACTCCGTTCCATTCCTCCTCGACCTGTGTCTAGAGTATACCACCTAGTGGGCATTTCCATCCATGCACCGCTGTGCCCTTCCGAATGCTCAAAAATGAAAAATATGCTATGTTCACGAACAGAAATAAAGAAAAAGAAAGAAGAGAAAAAAAAAAGAAAGAAAGAAACGCACGCAGAGTGGAGCAGAAACCGGAGAACGAGAGACTAGTGTGGAACGAACTTCTGTGTAGATACTGTAAAGGAAAGGTGGTTGACACACCATGGTTGTAGTCTTGTAGACAAAAGTTGGAGAGAAAAAAAAACCGCTATGAAGGTTGACGCAAACCAACAGAAAACAAACAGACAGACGAGAAACTATTGTTAAGGAAAATATTGTCCAAGAGAATGTCAGCAAATATATCTTGGTGAAAATGTGCCATCACGCGCAGTGCAAGAGCAACACCCGGCTGGACCCAGCAGTGAGTAGGAAAATGATGACGGAACAGGCTTGGAACGGACACGACGCCAGAGATGAACGAGGAAGTCGTCTCGGAAAAAAAAAACAAGGTGCTAATTGTACAGCAGCTGTCAGAAAAGGAAAAAAAAAGCATCTCAATTCATAAAGACACCAACACCAACGCCTGAATAGTGCTGGCGGCCGGCAAAGCAACGAAATAGAAACAAATGCAAACTCAGGACGCCATTATGCGACACCAACAGGGAAAAAAAATGGTCTATCGACACCGCTGATAACAGTCGTTGCAAAATACAAGGCTGGCAAATCGAATTCGACGTCTATTGCGAGTTCGGGAGGTTTATGCGGCCGCGCCCTCGCGCGGTTCTCGTCCTTTCCCCTTGTCATGCTTTCCGAAAAGCGAAGAAAACGGCGGTGGGCTGATTTTGGTCCGGCTTCGTCCGCTCTTCGTACTCGCAGCTTCACCCGCTTCATCCACGATGGGCAGAGTCGACGGTCCGCTAGGGCTGTGGACGTCCTTCGGATCCCACATCGTCGATACTGTCCGGGCGTGCGGCTCAGGGCCAGTCTTGGCGGCCTCTTCCTCCGCGGCTTTCATGGTCCTTTCGACAGATGGTCGACGGAGTCCCTGGCTGGTTTTCGACGCATCCTGAGAAGTACCCTCTTGAGCGCAAGCCTGCTCCAGTCGTTCGGCCTCTTCCTTCGACATGGTTATCCCTTCCATGAATTCGATGAACCGCTCACCATAGGCATCTGGAGGGATCGGGGATATCTGGGATCGATTATGAGAAAGACCTTTCCAGAAGTTTTCCATCTTTTTCAGCACGCCATACTGCATAGTGTTAGTCTCGACAAGCTGTCGAAAGGGGAGTCGGGTGAGCGTCTATCACTTACATGGGTCAGACAATCGATGATACCCAGGTAATAAATCTCCTCTCCAGGCTGGCCATTCTCGTGGGTGGCCCGGAATCCGCCATCATCCGAGTAGAAGACCAGATTTTTCCTCTCATCCAGAATCTCATCCGGCATTTTAGCGGCCGTTTGTTCGAGAGGAACCGGTCGCTCCCGTTTCAGAGTCAACCGCAACTCACGGGCTTTGCGCGCATTCTCGAGCTTGGACGGTGTCCTCATCAGCAGATTGGGGTTCGGATCCTCGTCGCGATCGCCACCGGGTTGGAAGACCTGCAACGTCTTGTCACGAAGCTTCTCTTCGTTCCCTCGACTCAGATCGTGAATTCCCACCAACAGCGAATAATCCATGATGTTGAGTTTTTGCAAGAGCTTGACGTCTCGCCGGAGCTGCGCCATGAACACCTCCTTTTTCATCGGGCCCTGCTCGAGATGTCGTTTTCGTCGCAGCCAGTTGAGATCCTTCATCGTCGCTCGCGGATTCCTCTCCAGATCTTCTTCACGCAGATCGCGACCGATGGTCGACCCCTTGAGGTCGAACGTCTGGTGGATGTCTCGGTGAGGTGGGAAAAGATTGTTCATCACGACGAAATGGATCTTGCGACCATAGGGCATCTTCACGCGGTGAAGGCCGTAGAACTGAGAGATCAGCGTGTTCGGGTTGTTCTCGATATGTCGATAGTATTCCGGAAGGATCTTGCGGAGCAGCTTGTGCTCGGAGTGGTGGATCGTCTTGATGATGTACTTGTAGTCGCGAGAGAAGTAGAAGAAGCTGCCACTCTTCCCGGGAGACCCCAGTTCCGACAGGATGTATTTGCTCGTCAGAGACATCAAGTAGTCCGCCGGATCCAGCTTGAATTTGGCCCGCAAACTCCGAAAGACCCAGGGCGCGTAATCTTTGAACTTGAAATCGTATTTGGCGGAGGGCGTTAATTCATTGCCCGTCCTATACATTCTTGTTAGTGCGGTAACAATAAAAAGCGGAGGCTTGTCTTCACTTACACATCAAAAGAGAATTTATGTTTGGCTTCAAAATCCGCCGGGGTAAGCTCGCGATCCATTTTGGCGTTGATCCTCGACACCACGAATCGGATTCCCGTCAACATGTTGTATGCGGTCACCCAGTTGACATGGTTCTGATCCACCTTGGTCCCGACTATCACCCGGTCGTCGTCCTCTTCTTCCCGCCGCTTTTTTCGCGCCCGCTTCTGTTTGATGGCCTCTGCCCACCGGGCAGCATCCTCATCAGCCAGGGCGTCGTCCGGGTGATGCTCCGCAGCACCCGTCCGGGTAGCCCGTCGGACCAGACTCAGCGACCCGCGGCGGAGATGACCGCCGGTGGGTGACAATCGACCACTGCTATAAGCATGTGTGTCATCGGAGAGTTCGCGACTGTTTTTGCGGCCAGGGGCCGGCTTCGGGACTTGGAGAGTGTGCCGTTGTGATTGTCGAGAGGAGAGGGAAGACTGCCCGGCACCGTCGACGTTGGATGGGGCCGGCGGGGAGGAATATCGGTGACCAGGGCGCTTGGGTGGTGCCAGACGATCGGACTCTTGGGGCTGGTGGGAAGTATGGTCGGGAAGGGACGTCGATGCAGGCAAGTTCGCCGGAGAAGAGGATGCATTGACCTCTGAGAGGCCGCGATCATCAGTGGTGGACGGTTGATGGGTATCTCCATTAGCCGTTGGTTTGGGGCTAGATGAATGAGACGAGACGCCATTGACCTGGGGAACCGTGGACGGAGACGCTGTCCCTTCCCCAGACCCGGTAGCAGGACCGTCTACCATAGCTGACCCCTGTCCCGATTGCTGCTGCTGAGGCGGAGGCGGCGGCGGCGGCGGCTGGTCTTTGCTCTCTCGAGCGGATCGGCCGCTACCCAGAGACTGCGAGCTGTCGTTTTGGTCATCTTTGGGATAGCCCCGATCCCGACTGTATGAGCTGACGCTGGACCGCGCACCATTCATAGAATGGGCACTGCCATTCTTCAGGTCCGTCACGAGCTGGTTGTGGTCGGATTGCTGCGAGAGAGCATGGGGTTCGAGGTGGACCGAGTCGCCATTGAGGCCGGGGGTGTAGAGAAAGGTGTTCCCGACGGAGACCTTGTCATAGGATTTCCTCTGGGGGAGATCGAAGGAGTTGGAGGGACTGGAGGCAGCCGTCGAACGGTAGTGGCTGTCGGTTGCGATGGAGGGCATGTTCCTGGGGTGGACAAGGGAGGTTGTGACGTGAGGCCTGCGTGGGACGGTGGTGACGGGGCGGATGGCGAGATAGAGGACAACTCAAAACGAGCAGAGGAACGGCCAAAGGTCAGTCGATCAGGACCTTCCACCACAGATCTGCAACTGGTGATCCCCCAAGACCGATGTAGGACCTGACAGGATGCAGCACCACAGGCCGGGAAGGGCCAAGCGCACACGAGCGTCACGGTTAGTAGGCGACAAGCATGTTAATCAGAAGGGGGTGCGTCTGCGTGAAGAGACGGCATGGAGGATGACGCAGGTGGCCGGAGTGCGCGAAGGATCGTTTGCAGGCGAAGGGCAGGAAACACAGTGGTTCAGACAGAGATGGTCGAGAGGCTGTGGAATGGGGTGCACGATGCGGTTCTGCTGGGGCTCTTGCGGGTGTTTGTCGACGGGTCTGGCCTGGATGGAGGTTTTGGTTTGGACGGTGGGAGCAGCAGCTGGCCGATGCCCGTCCGGAGGATTACCTAACTAACTGGACGGGGATCCCTGAGCCTCGCCGCCCGAAATAACTTCCCCCGCCAAGACCGCGTCGAGGCCAGCGCACCTCGTCGTGTCGCTATTCTTATCGGCGACTAAGGTGCCTCAGGGACGGGGATTCAGCTGGCGGTGGCAGGCCAATGGTTGCAATTAATGGACTCCACCAGGCTTCTAATTTTGCATCTGGCTCCGATGGTGGTGTGTTTGCATGAGCCTGATCCAAGACCCTCTTGAAGGACGTCTACGAATTGAAGATCAAGTGGGATAATTTTTTTTGACAAAAAAAATACTTGATTGCAAAAACCATGTTTTTTTGGAAATTAATTCCCATCTGCGACTATATTCGACTATTTTCTCTTATCGTAAGGGATATATGCCAGGAAGTATACAGGTGTTCAGAGAGATATATATTTCCGCATCCATAGCTGTCGTCATCCCCTACATATCCTAAGGCACAGTTATGCCACTCCACACCATTTCAGAAATGACGACTCAACGATACAACGATAGTCAGAGGGAAAAGAAATAACCAGCAATAGCACCTTGCCAACAAATTCCACACCATCGGTATCCAATGGAAGACAAACACCTACAAGGGCTTTCGAGGCTACATTCACTTGCCAACCCATCCATGGATATAGCTATTCTGGCGACTACTCCAGCTCGTCAATGGAACTAATGAATCTACAAACAAGAATAACGATGGCAGGGAAAATAACATAATAGAATCATCCCGAAATCTCATCTACGAGAAGCACGAACTGAATCAAGGCATCCATTCGACCCTCAGCTCACGGTTCATGAGCAGACATCACTAAATCACATATTCCCAATTGACCCACCGCACGACGCCAACCAATACCAAAAAAAATAACGGAAGAGAAACGAAGACATTCAATGACTTCCCAAGAGCAATCCGCGCACCATCACAGAACAAGAAAAGGAACAGAAAGAAAAAAAAAGTTTACATCCCTGAATACAATATTATCCGGAGGAAAAAAAAAATCAAACACGCGCATTACAGTGAAAAGAAAGCAGGACTCAATAAAGAAAAAAAAAAAAACAGAGACATGACTATGCCTCGGTCTTCTTAGGAGTCGCTGATTTCTTTTCTGTCGTAGCGGCCTTCTTCCGGGGTGCGCTCTTCTTGGCGGCCGGTTTGGCCGTCGTCTTGGTGACGCGGCCCGACTTGGTCTTGCTGACCACCTTGGGTTGGTCGACGACGGCAGGAGCCTTGAATCACGTCAGTCAGCTTCGCGCACGAAAAACGATAGAAGCAAGGAACGTACAGCCGTCGAAGCCTTGCGAGGCTTAGCCGTGTTGGCCTTGGGCTTAGCCGCCGTCTTCTTGGTGGTAGCGGCTTTCTTGGTGGTAGTGCTCTTCGTCGTAGTCTTCTCAGTCTTCTTGCCGGGAGCCTTCTTGGTGGTAGTCTTGGTAGTAGTCTTCTGGGGTAGAGTCAGCAACAGTCTGATCAAATGAACATGACCATATACATACCTTGGCTGCTGGCTTGGCGGCTTCCTTCTTGGCAAGCTTCACGGGGCCAGAGGGGCCTGCGACAGACGCGTCAGCGACCTAAACATTCTGGAACGCGCCAACTCCAGTGCAAATGCGGCTTGAAACCATGCCATCTGCAAACACGGAGACGGCGCTGATGTAGAGCGACGGGGAACTGACCCTTGGGCTGAGTGAATTCGCCCTTCTCGACACCGGCCTTGATGGCCTTGTTGAACGCGGCGTCAAACGCGGCCTGGGACGCGACGCTGATCTTGTTGTTGGCCTGGACATATTTCTTGATCGACTGGCGGCTGTTGGAGGACAGTCAGCCTCTGGCGATGGTCATGGACGCGATGATAAACAGAGCGGGCTTGAGCGCGCGCCGGCGACCTGAGAGAAGACGATGGGGGGGGGGGAGAGGGGGGCGACGACAACATACCTGCTACCATTGCGTTCTTTCAACTGAAGTAGGAGAAGACGCTGTTAGTGAATATATTCCTTTTGGGTAGACAGACCCGGACCACGATGTTGTGGTGGGATAAGCTTAGAGGCGCGACCAAGTTCCCGGTCGCAACCAGCTCACCCACTCACAACACATGCCGGTCGCGGTGGCGCGACAGTGATCAACTCACGTTGATGATGGCATCCTTGATCATATCTATATGGAACGAATCAGCATCGACACGCGACCCAGATGATACCACAATCACGGCGACGCGATGTGGTTGGGGACGAGGATCAGGGCAAACATACCTCTGTAGGAGGCGTGGGTCGAGCCGGTCTTCTTGGGCGCGGCGGCGCCGGCAGCGGCAGCTTTCTTGGGAGGCATTGTGGATGGCGATGGGATGAGGGATGAACAGGGCGCTGGAGAGAGTCGACAATCGACAGACAGGCTGGAGATCGAAGGTGGAGCGAGGGTGGAACTGGGAGGGAGGAAAGGCAGTCGACGAGGGAAGGGAGCAGGAAGCCGCGGGGCAAAGCGCGCTTTATAGGGCAGCGGGCGTTGACACAAGATCACCCTAGCTCGTGTCCGCCAGTGACTTCCAGGCTTGCTCCCAGGACGGCCGCCCGTTTCGTGCCTCTGCGAGTCCGGTTGGGCTCCCAAGGGCCCTTTCTGCGTTTCTACGGGCCTGGTCATTTTACGTGTTGTCACGGTCCGCTGTGCAGGTTATCGTAGTGACTGAAGAGTCAAGATCGCATGGCCTAGTGTCTCACGGTACTTGATCAGACTACGTGCTCAGTCATCCATTGCTCCGTAGATTCCAGCCAACGTGACCGGCTTCATAAACTACGATGCGACACTCAGTGCAGATGAGATAGATGGTATAATCCCCCGTGCTGGATGATCTCTGCCTGGCCGTCACGCAGGGGCCTTGACAAGCGCTTCCGTCCCAAGTCAGGGCGTCCTCGAGGCCTCGTGCTTGTTGGTCACGAGGATCAATCAGGGCCGTCCCAAGCTTGCCACATAGTAGCGTACCGTGAATAGCGTACCATGAATGAATGACTCCCTCTCCTCGCAATGGCGCGCGGCACCATTGTGACTAGCTCCGGGAATTTGGCCTGACCGTTTCTGAGGATCGAGCAGCGCCGTGGCTGCAAGGACGCAGGGCCTGGCGACGGAGGCTGGAGGGAGTCCTGTGTGCTGTCGATCGATGCTTGTCATGGCGTCGAGCAGCTTGCTGATTTGAGCGGCACGTCACATGCAGGCATGCCGGGCTTGGCCTGACGACAGCCACAGCAGATCGCTGATCTGGTTTGATCCGCACGCCCCATCCTCCCATATCCGCAGAACAACACATCGTCAGCTCCAAACACCGCCGTGCAGTTGCCTCTCGAGTGATCTTGCCCGCCAACCAGGGCCTGTGGCATCGTTAATCCCGGCGAATAACGGCCGTTTCACAACAAGATCCCGGAAATCCAAAATCGTTCAGAATCCCCGCAGAGCGCGGGTTGCATCAACAGCTCATCGCCGTTTCATCGTCTGCAATTACGTCCTCGAAACAGCTGTCTACCGCCATGGGTATTCCACGCCCACAACTGCCTGAGACAGACCAAAACCTGCCCTGTCCAAGTAAGAATAGAGCGTGTAATTTGTTCACAGTACAGAGAAAGAATATCCCCGTGGATTACGTCAAAGATCACAGTCTCAATATCGACCCAGTCCGTCGCTGTCGCTTCTGATCTTCTGCCCATGCCAGGCTCGAGACGGCTCAGTTGCTGCCCAGCGACTTCTCAGAAAACCAGCAAACTATATTCTCTATTCGTATGACTCCCATATCTAGCAATTCGTGGTTTGCGAATAAAGCACCATGCCACGTACAGTACAGGGGTAGACTCCAGATCCGAACGCAATTGCACACCCGAAAAATCCCCGACTCCTGCCGAACGCCAACTCCAGCTTGCTATGCACGCCATCATCTGATATGATTAAAACCATGTGTCGATGAATTATATATATATCTGGCTTTTTTTTTTCTCTCGTCCTTTTGTTTTTTTTTTCGTCTTGTTTTCCCTTTTATCTTCCGCTGCCAGCTTCAAACAGCTCCTCGCGGCCGCGCCTTGGCTTCTTTCTTGGCTTTGGCCTCTTCCTTCTTGCGCTTCTTCTGCGCTTCTATTTTTTCTTCGTGTTTCCGCTTCAGCTCGGCCTTCTCCTCCGCCGTCTTTTCGACCGGCTTAAAGAAGCCCTCCAGCCGCGACTGCTGCGCCGTTTTGAGGTTCTTCTGCAGCCGAGCCGCCCCGTTGCGGACCCGGTCTTCGTTGAACCCCTTCTCCTTGACCAGGAAATCCACCAGTCCTTCCACGTCGGGGCTTTCCCACTTGAATTCACACGCAGGATCATTGGCGTCGCGCACTTCTGGGTTTAAAAACAGTTCGCGTGCTTCCTTGTATGGCCAGTCCTCTGGAATCGTATATTTCTTCTTGGGATCGTTTTCGATATACTCCACCACCTTTTCAAGACTGCCATGCTCGCGGATCAGTTTTAACGCAGTATTCGGACCGATCTTGGGAATCGGCTCCAAGTAGTCGCAGCCGAGCAGGATGCAGAGATCAATGAACTGTTCAGAGGCGCAGTCAGCGTGTTTCCGGATTTAGGCCGTAACAGCGGTAGTGACTCACCTGTTCTCTATCCATATCGAGTCCTTCCAGCGCCTTCTTAAGATGGATTTCCTGGATCGGTTCCTTCCTCTGCTCACTGAAAGTAAGATGCCGGAGCAGAATAGGCGCCTCAAAACATAACGTGTCCATATCTTCCGACGCAGCCGCATAGACTTTGCCTGCCTTTGCCAGAACCGCACACTGGGCTTCGGCCTCGGTCGGAGCATCGATGTAGGGGATGCCCATCAGTTTCAGAAGCTTCTTACACTCTTCATTATGCTCCCTGGTGACACGCACGGTCCGCCTCGAGAACTTCTCGACTTCTTCAGAGGTCCCGATTTCTCTGGCTTCCTCGTGGGCTTCGGTTGCCTCTGCCTTGCGGGCGGTCCGCTTGGCAAGCTCGCCACTTTTCAGCTTAGGAGGCGCGCCATCGAAAACGTAGAGAGGCTTGATTCCATTGTCGACCATCCGGAGGGTGCGGTAGAACATACCCATCAGATGGGAGGTCGTTTCGCCCGCGTCGCTCATGAGTTGCTGGCCATCTGAACGTACGGCAATCAAAAAACTGTAAATGCTCATGGATCTGAGAGGGCTTTAGTATGCAGATTTAGCGGCTGCAGGTCTCCGTTAGATACATACGCGTCCTGTGAGTTGCGAATTAGTTGTACGCCAGGATAGAGTTTCTGGAGGTTGGATTAGGGAATACACGTACAATCGCGACCTTGCGGCCAAAATGATTCTTGATATCCCCAGACTTGATCGCGTCAGGGGCATTTTCGGCGATCACCTGGTAGAGTTCTGGCGGTTCGGAGGTGAGCAGAGATGCACCCTGCGGGAGAGACGCGGAAGCAAGCGAAACAGAAGACTTACGTTTGATACCCATTGTGGCGGAAGAAGCCTGAGGTAGGCAGAGAATCAATGACCTTGAACTCCAATCTGACGATGAGGTGAACGAGAAGATGTGACTGCAAGGCTCTGCCAACAGGGCTCGATAGGATCGCTGGGGAATCCTCGATCGAAACCACGCCCTCGACCTGACGCGGTGTCAACGCGTGCGGGCAACTATTAAACCAGATCTGGTCTAGCGCCATTTCCGGCTGCTGGAGCCAGCATCACCAGCCACGGTTGCCCAGCCACACAGTGTGACCTCACCATTAACAAGGCGCAGGCATTCAATTCCCCGCAGCTCTGATAGGCTGGCGAGTCCTCAAGCCGCCCTGCGGATCCCCCATGGCACGTGACACTCCACACGCGAGCTGGCCAGATTCACGCCGGAGTCGGCAGGCAAGTCCCCGGCCAAAACGCTGCCCCCGCTCTCCGTCTTGCCAAGCCGACTCCCCAGGCGTCTGATGCTCCAAGTCCTGCAGTATCCCAGACCCCGCGCAATCACCACCTGCTGCTGGCCGGAATTCCCACGATGCCAGCGCATATAAGGTGTTTTCGCCGACGATGAAGCGGAATCGCATCCAATTCGAGGGCAATGGGGAACATTCGTCCGCCTCTCCGACCGCGAGCGGCGGTGCGGCGGCATCCCGCGCGCCTGACGATGACCCGCGCAACATTTTCCGGCATATCCCCAAGATATCGCGCAAGATCCGTGCCTGTACAGAATGCAAGCGCCACAAGGTTCGATGCGACATGAAGAGCGGCGAGAACGTGTGCCAGAGATGTCAGCGGATGGGTTTGCAATGTGTCGTCAACAAGAGTCTGCAGACGTTGCTGGACGACGAGGCCGAGTGAGTCACCTGGACTGACAGTACATCCGTTGCGGAAGCTTCCATCTCTTCCTTGTGAAGGAGCCTCGGCTAATCGATCGGGACTGATGATGCAGATGGAAGACCACGATGGAACTTGCGGTGACGGATCTACTGAGGAAAGCTCAGCTCCCAGAGCTGTCATACTACCAGGCGAGCGCTCAAAAGAACCAATCTGGAGAAAAGGATCGCAAGTTGTCGACGGTGTCAGTCGAAGCGCCAGCCTATACGGAAGAGCAAAAAGGATCGGGGGAAGCAAGACAGCCTGGGTCGTCTGGCTATCGAGGCCATGGGGAACAGTCTCATTACTCTCCGGAGAGGGAAGAGCCAGGCACAACCTCCTTGGTAACGGCACCAATGGGAAGTCTCTACGAAGTCACCCAGTTGAGTCATTCTCGAGAAAACTCTCCCGGCCGCCAGTACGCGCCAGATCGAGCGATCGCAACCGATTTGATCTCGCGGGGCGTGGTCGAGCAAGCAGAGGCGGAAGAACTCTTCAACTACTTTGATAGACGTCTGAACCACTATCTATGGGATGGAATGGCTATGCCGCATAAGGATCTGTTGTCGGTGCGACGGTCCTCCAGTCTGCTGCTGGCAGCTGTGCTGGCAGTTACCGCCTTACATATCCCGAGCAAGGAACGCACCTTCGACACCTGCTACGCCGAATTCGCCAGACTCGCGTCGGACTCGATGTTGAGTCGACACCATACGTTCGATGATCTCCGTGCCCTGTGCATTGGCGCCTTCTGGCTGTCGGACGTCAGCTGGAAGTTGTCTGGATATGCGGTGCGGATTGCGACCGAGCGCAACTTGCATCAGTGCTACCGTAAGGCCGTACAGGGCTCTCCCGAGCATCGGGAACAAGCACGGCTCTGGTATCTGCTCTATGTAAGGGCAGAACGTCACTTTCAGGCGGAAACAATGCTGACGTGTCTTTGGTAAAGGTGTTGGAACATCATTTCTCGATCGCCTACGGAAGACCACCTATTATTCACGAAGATACCTGTATTACGAATCACGACACCTTCTTGCAGTCGCCAACGGTTGAGCAGCGTGACATACGCCTGCATAGCCAAGTTGCCCTGTTCATCATCCTGACTCGCATCTACCACGCTTTCGGGCCCGATGTGGATCTGGAAGTGTTGGAGCATGAATTGCCGAAAATTGAGAGATTTGACGCCGATATAGAGAATTGGCGAGTCACGTGGGAGCCTCGTTTAGGTGAGATCGCGAGTGTGCACAGTTTGAGAAGTCATTTCTAACGGATGTAGAGGGGAATCCCTATGTGGGTGATTACCCATGGAAGGCTGTCAACCTGCACTACCATTTTTCTCGCCTGACGTTAAACTCTCTTGCTCTGAGGACCTATCATTCGGCGACATCGGTTCGGCCGATGTCAGCGGAACGCAAGAAATATGCCGAGATTGCGATCAACTCGGCGATTTCTACTCTAACCGTCGTCCTTGACGAACCCGACATCCAGAAGGGTTTGGTGGGGGTTCCTTTATTCTTACACAGCATGATCACCTTTGCGGCGGTGTTCTTGCTCAAGATCGCTGTCAAGGTACATCCCAGTTGCCTCACGGCGCCTGGTTACCAGCCCAACTCGATTGCATCAGCTGGCCTGCGCATCGACGTTCCCTACGTGCTGAGCATCGTGGAGAAGATCGTCGATCTGATGGTCTCGATCAGCGAGCAGGCCAGTGAGCGACACGTGAGTCACCACATCGCGCGCGGGCTGCGAAAGATGCTGGACGGATTCCGGGAATGGGAGAAGAGGAATCCGCAGCCGCCGCAGCAGAAACAGCATCCGAGCTGGTTGCACGAGAACCCATCTCTCTACAATCCAGTAGCGACGACGGGCTCGCAGGCGTTCAGCGAGCGGGACACGATCCTCAGCCATCCACCTCCGCTGCTGGGCGTGGCGCCGTTGTCTGCCGAGCGTGGGAGCAATAACAGCAACCAAGCTAACAACAACAACAACAATAATAATAATAACAATCAAAATGAGTTTGCGCAGGACAAGCCGCGCATGGGGCTTTCGGAAGGGTCGTTGGATCCGATGATGGCTGATCTGTGGGGGTTTGACGAGGAGTATTTCCCGACGGGCGTTTTTGATTTCTTGCAGTCTCAGATGCCGGCGTAAGCATCGGTAGTTAGTTTACGATATTTACCCTTCCATGTGTATAGATTAGGATATAATGAGAGATAATCTCTCTCTCTCTCTCTCTCTCTCTCTTTTTGTCTTTAGGATATATCTAGATCTACCAGTCTTGGGATATCTGTTCTCGCACGAGGAGATAATTTCAAAATCAGGTATGTACCTACGTGCGACGCAAGCAAAACCACTCAGACTAAAAGATAAACGACAAGCCATGCAACTATGTACTGTATACACATTACTACTTCCCCTCTTTATCAGAGGCCGTCCCAATGTCAATATCAGCAGAATCAAAAAGCAACTCATCACGCTCCCACATCAACTCGACCGCAGCCCCAACCGGACCCGCGAGCAGGGCGAAGAACACCACCTTGGGGACGAGCGATGTCCAGAAGAAGCCGTTGTCTTGCACCCCATGGAAGTTTCTGACGCGAGCGCAAACGTTCAAATATTGGCATCCCGCCCAGCAAAGCATAGCCATTGAGCCGAGAATAAAATCCCATTGAAGGAGCCATTTGCATCCTTCGGCGAGGGACGGCGCCTGCAGGTCGGACCAGGGCGACGGGGGGATGAAGACACTCCTCGGAACGAGCATTGCGCCGACATTTCCCGCAAACAGACCGGGAAAAGACGCTGCAGTGCATGCGAGAGTGACGGTGACGAAGTGCGGGATGAACGCTAGAGAAAAGGCGAATGCGTAGATGAGTCTGTGGCGGGATCTTCTCGCCGACGACGAAGAAGAGGATGACTTCTTCATCCTGCGGATGACAGCACACACAACAAAATGCACCAATGCTATGTAGACGTTCCACTGCTGGTACCACGCGATAACCGTCTGCTTTATGACAGGGCTGATGAGCGCTGGCATCGGCAGGCCGATGACGACGAGGGGCGCGATGTAGGCGAGAACGAAGCTGACGAGCAGGGCAGTCGTGTCTGCTGCGTCGACGGCGAAGGCAGCTGCACCGCTGTTCTTGACCAGAGGGGACAGGAGCAGGTTCCATGTCAGATACAGCGGAGTCATGATGGCGTGCGAGTGGTTGAAGATTAGGATGCCGGGGATGAGAATGCTAGACAGGAGATAAATTAGCTGAATCACCATCCAAAAAGACAGATTGATCTTATCTCGTTCATTCTTTTTTTTTTTACACAAGAGCAGCAGGCTACATACTAAGAAACCCCCGCCCCCTTATTCCCCTTGCGCAAACTATCCATAACAATCAACATCCACGCAGCCCCAAACGCGCCTACGAATTCGAGCAGAACAAGCGCCAGATCGGGGCGATGGCCGTCGACAAACGACCAGAGGAACGACTACCATGCGCCTTGAGTTGCCAGTCCATGGTGGGATGCCAGCCGGGGAGCAGCGGAGAAAGCGGTTCGCCATGATTCTTCTCTTCGCCTGACGCAGCAGCAGCAGCAGCAGCAGCAGCAGCAGCAGCAGCAGCAGCGGAGGACATGCTGGTCTCCTGCACCTGCTCAAAGAAGTTCACCAGGCCGTTTTGCATTGAGAAGAGCATTAGGCTTTTGAAGCCTAGGAGGGCGAGGGCGAGTAGGGCGAGTTGCGTGAGACGTGTCGGATTCATCATGCTTGCTGTTCTGGATGCTCTTGCACCAGCTTGAATTGTATATCCCAAGTCAATCAATGGTCTGCAACAGAAATAACATTATAATATGCCAATTATCCCGTGGGAATTGATCTGGCTGTGGAGTTGTAACTTGTGTCAATGGACGAAGGAGGTATGTCAGCGCTGAATTACTCCGTATTCAATGGAACAAATCACATGGCGTAGTAAGTACTAGTAATGCATACATGCATACATACGAACTAAAGTACTGTACTGTCCATATTTAAATTTAAATACATATACATACGCAGTCCAGAACGGTACACAGCACTCGACATCATTGCCGTGCCCTGGATCCGAACGGAGCAAAAACAAAAACTGAAAGAGAAACTGAAACCGAACCTAACCCTTCTCGAATAGAATACTAACAACTACTTATATCGTTAACTTAAACTAGACTATGGAGTATGTGGAGCACCCCAGTTTCTTTTCTTTTTTTTTCCCGTCCAGTCGTGACTCGTGAAGTCATGATGCGTTGCAGTGCTGAGTGATTCCGAAGTTTGTTTTCTTTTTTGGGGGCCGTGAACTGGGACATGCTACCTAGGTAGGTACCTTGTAGCTAATTAATTTACTCCACTACTAACCAATATTTATTATGGGCTGGGAATAATGTATTACGCAAGTAAATAGTACTGCGTATACAGGGCGAAATGTTGAATTGTTCGATAATGATTGTCTAACTATCTAGGAAGATAGGTAAATCCAATGATGGAATTCATGGAAATTACTTCTTTTTCGCAATTCCTGTATAAAAATTTGTTTTTGTTACAGCGTTACGTAACGGTACGAGACTGTATAGTACAGTACATACAGTACATACCACTCCTCATAGGGCCTGTAGATACTGTCCAAAATAGCAAGTTCTTAGTAACTTTTTTTTTTTGGAAAAAAGGAATTGAATTAAAGAAAATCTCAATTTTCAATTCTCAGCAATTCAATTCCATCCGATGCAAATCGCCACGCCGGGAAACAAGTCTGCTGCCCAAAAGAGTAATATCATCACAGTTACATTCAATCAACATCTGATAAACAATGTATGTACATTCCTAAAAAACAACAAACTCAGCAACAGTCGCTCCCTGTCGTCGCTCCTCCCCCTGCGTCCCCTCAATCGTCAACCGGATCCGTCGCGCCTCGACTGCCTCGGGCAGCAACCGGGTCGTGGTATTCCCTTCTCTGATTCTGACGACGCGGCTGTCTCGAGCATCGTACGGCGCGGAGATCGCGACGTGGTCGATGTGGAGGAGTTGAGTGAAGTCGTCGTCGTCGTCGTCGTCATCTGTGTAGTCACTGCTGCTGCTGCTGCTGCTGCTGCTGCTGATAGTAAACGCTCTGGCCGGAGACGCCCCCCAATTAATCCTGACTCCGGATACATTCGCCTTCGTCCCCAGATCCACCGTTATGGACGCCCGTTCAGGGGTCATGGGCTGCCAGACAGTCGCATTCGACCCATCCACCGCCCCGACAGGATACTTGCCAAAAACCCAGGGTTCGCTCGATGTGACCATCCTGCATTGCGCGAGGTTCTTCGCAGTAGATGCCGTCTGGTTCAAATCTGGTCTTCTCGTCGGCACGGTCAGCGACTGGCCTGCTGCCAGTTTGTAGTCGCCGTGTCGCGGGTTTTTCGCTCCGATGCGGACAGTAACAAGCTTCTCTGGTGTTTTCGCTGATGACGCCCGTCTAGTTATGACAGTCTTGTCGAGCTGGATGGCTATGTCGAATACCGCTCCCTGCCACTTCACCCCCCTGATCGTAACCCCCCCAGCCATCTGCGGCGGCAACATGGGATCCAGATACAACGCATCCAGCCGCGAGCGAAGCCCCGTCAGGCCGTGCGTGAACACCTGCAGGTACCCTCCGGCGCCAGTCAGGAACGGAAAGGCCGGGTTTAATCCGAATGGAAACGCCGGATTGTCTGCCTCGTAGTCGTCAAGCGCCGTCTCGCTGAACTGGTAGAATGGCTCGCGCAGATACGGCTCCGAGCTGCGCAGGAGATAGGTGTAGGCTGCGCAGCCGGATTCTTGCAGCTGTGCTTCGGAGATGGCGAACATGGACCATGTCATGGCGGGCCCGTCGGGCGTGTTGGCGATCGAGTACTGTGGCAGTCGTCAGAAAAAAAAAATCCCTCAGGAAGTATACTGTATAGACGCACGTAAGCGAGGTCATTCTTTGCCTGCCTCTCGCTGATCCGATACTCCAGTGGATAGTTGATCAGCGCGACGCTGGCCTGCTTCACCTTCCAGTCTCCCTGCATGCCGCTGAACTCGAGGATGATGTTGTGCTCGTCGTCATACGGGATCTCGATGTTCTCTGCAATACTCGACCAGTTCTGTGGGATGGCCTGGCCCAGTATCTCCGCTGCAGCGGGCGCCCACTCGCCGAGCAGCTTCTTGATCCCGGCGTTCGTATACGCGCCGTTGTTCTTGTTGTACGCGAACTCGTCCTGTGACAGTCAATACGTCAATAACAGTATACTCCGGAGTAAAGAACAGGGTAAATGTTTATGCCCCTACCGGCTCGCCCAGCAGCAACGTCTCGTACTTCCCCGAGCGCTCGTTCCGCACGACATATGCAGCAAACATGTCCGCGACGCTCTTGAGAATCGGCCACCCCTTCTCAGCCAACCAGCCCACATCGCGCGTGTGCAGGAAGTACTGCCAATGCGCCAGCGCAACGTCCGTATTCAGATGATACTGGTAGTCCTTGCAGAGCCCCGTGCCAGTGCAGTTTCCGAACCGGCCGCTCGTCCACGGGAAGAGCACGCCGGCATAGCCGTACGACTGCGCATTCCTGGCCGCCTGGCCCAACAGACGCGTGCGGTAGTTGTTGATGGTCATCGCATAGTCGGGCTGCAGCGCCAGCAGACTCGGGTAGATCCACGAGTCGGCGTCCCAGAAGATCAGGCCGGCGTACGACTCGCTCGCGAGGCCGGCGACACTGATCGAGTTGTCGGAAAGACCAGCGCCTTCGGTCCCAGGACGCAGGTTCGTCAGGATGTGGAAGAGGGTTGCCCGCGCGCTGGTCTGCAGCTGCTTGTCGCCGGGGATGATGATGTCCGCTGCGTGCCAGGACTCTTCCCACGCCTGGACGTGTTCGTCTAGCAGCGCATGCCATTGAAGCCTTTTGGCCTCGAGGGCAGCGTTCTTCGCGGTAGAGTATGTTTCCCGGGGGAATGCGTCGCTCGAAGCGATTCCGACGTATTTGTAGATCGTGACAGATGTCCCCGGCTTCAGGCGAAGCTCCCAGCTTTGCGCGACTGTGCTCTGATTTTTCGACAGCCAGGGCGAGTCTGTGGCGTCCGTTCTCGACTGCTGGGCTCTGCGGAGCTCTGCGTGGTCATTGCTGTCCATATCCACCGAGGACAAAGCATAGGCAGTCACATTTCCGATGCCCCAGGGCTTGACACTGGTCCAGATGGTATTGTCATCCTTCTCAACTGCTTTGTCTGCGAAATTGGCCCGCACGGCTCCAGCACCGTCCAACATATCAGTCACATGGACTTTGACGTCCTCGCTGGCCGCGAGGTCCAGCCTGACGACGCCCACATTGACGCGTTTCCGATGCGCGAACACGGTGAAATTCAACTGGTAGAGCGCGCCTTCTTCTCCACGAGGCGCCCAGGTGACGTTGGTGTGCACAATGCCGTTGCGGATGGACAGCGACTGGTAGAAGGCCTTGACGCTGCTCTTGTTGACGCCAGGCTCGTAGCACTGCCCGTCGCTGGTGGTCACGACCAGCGCAGTCCAGTCCGGAATGCCGCTGATGACCGACTCGCCGCCTCGCTTGAGGTTCTCCGGCAGGCTGACGTGCGTCGTCCTGGCCTGCAGATTCCAGAAGCCGGCTATGGTGCCAAAGGTGGCTCGTGGTTGGTCCAGGGGCCAGGCTGGCAGGTCGTCATTAGTGATCTGACAGCTGCTTTACATAGATTTGGGACTCTCGTACAGTTCTTTGCATAATTGCCGTTTTCGTCCCGCTCAATCCAGTAGCCCACGCCTTCGGAGGGCAAGCTCTGGCCGAAATACCCATTGGAGACATAGGGAGCAGTCTGGTAGTGATTGGGCAGGAACGTACGTGTTTCGAGGACCCAGTCATCAGGGAAAAAGCCTGACGGTTGCTGTCCAGGACGGTAGCCAAGGGGCTTCTGCAGAAAAGCAGGCGAGAATCCTGCAGTGCCGACTCTGGACAGGATGGTATCCCAGTTCTGGCCGGCGAGGAATGCCAGGAGCACCGCACCAAGGAGATGAGTCAGCATGGTGGTAGATCAGCACGCATCAGCTACTGATTGCTAACTCGTCAAGACCAGCCTGCTTGCTCTGAGGAATCAGCCATGGTAAAGCGCTACGACACCATCGTCCAGAAGGTGACAGGCACGATATCGGCCGGAATTGCACCGATAATTATGCATGATAAGAGCAGGGAGTGTTATTAGACTAAACTAGAATAATGAATGCATTGGCTTAGCTAGACGAGCTGTTGGTTGAGTACATTGTAAGTATCGTAAGAAACAGGGTAATGTAATTGCTGTTACTATCTGTATTGTAAAGTACTGGAGCTACGGGGCCCCAGAATCCGTCCCAGATGCAAGATCGATCTCTTGGCCAAGCGGGGTTTCTTTCTCTAGATACTACCTTAATTATCTCACCGCTTCGTTCGAGAACAAGCTTGTCCATTCTGCAGACAGTCTTCTCCACCGGCGTGCGCTAATGATCCCTGTGGCTGGCTATCGCGTTGCCCAACATTCCGGAATGCGTCCGCACAACCCGGGCATTCCGCAGGCGATGAATCCTACACCCTGAGGGATTCTTAGAAGAAATTATTACGACTCGGATGAGTGTTTCCGATGTATGCATGCATGTATGTGCATACTAGTTATGCTAGGCAGGATATGAGGGAGAAATTTATCATTACCATCATCATATATGATTGATCATGGGTTTATGAAAATCTCTCAAGCAGGTCTTCGCGTCAATCGCACCCGAATATCACGCAGTGGAGACATGATCCCCAAGGACCGCGGATTCAGCTGGAAGGTCTGGCCGGCCTCCACGTGGAAATCGCACTGCGTCAGCAGTGTTGCAGCAGCAAGGAGGGCCTCCTGCTCGGCCACGAACCGCCCAGAGCAGATGCCACTGCCCCCGCCGAACGGCCTCAGGTTGGCGTTCTGCCGTTTCTGCTTCTGGGCAGTCCTTGCATCATCCTCGTCACCGGGGATCCACCGGTCTGGGTTGAACGTGTGGGGGTCGTCGAACACGTCCGGATCGAAGTGCAGCAGCTGCACCGGCAGGAGAACCACGCTGCCTCGCTTGAGCGTGTAGCCCTGCAGCTCGACGTCCCGGGCAAGGACCCGGGCTGCAGCGCTGGCGGAGCCCAGGCGCAATGCCTCCTTCCACACCCCTTGCACGAAGGGGCTGGATTTCAGCTGCGCCATGTCGAATCGGACGCTGCTGGGGTCCGATGGATCGGAGAGACGAGCCTGTTGGCATTCGGCGCGGAACCGTTCCAGCAGGGAAGGCGACTGGATGATGTTGATCAAGAGCCATGTCGTCATGGGCGCGGCGTTGGTGATTATACTGCATGCATGAGCGTTCGATCTCCAAATCCTTGAGGGAGGAGAGAGACTAAGATACTTACACCCACAGAAACGACGCTTGCGAGCACGATCGCCCTCGCAAACTGAAGCCATGCTGGCGGAGGAGCGCTTCTCTCTCCCAATTCAACCGCAGCCCCCATTTCTCATTCCAGATGCCGTCCTTCTCATCCCAATCGTCCAATTCGGTATCGACCCATCGGTCAAAGGCCGCCAGGAGCCGGCTGCGTGCTTTCTGCGCCCGTGGCTGCAGCGTAAACGCGAGGTTGGACCGGACGCCCACATACAGCGCGTTGTTGACGAGCTTGTAGTCCTCCCAGATCTCGGGATACACCGGCTGCAGCCTCTTCCCGAAGAAGGTGGATAGAGAGGTGAAGAACACCAGTTTCTGCATCTCCTCGTGCAAGTGAATCACCTTCCCGGCCGGTTGGCTCGAATCCGGCAAAAGCTGCTTCAGCACGTCAGAGAAGTGACGGCTGTAGACCTCCATCGTCGCGTCTACGTAGCGTCCGCTGAGGTACTTGACGTACACGGCGTGGTTCGCCTCGACGAACGCTCTCGAGTCCTTCTGGTCGCTGGAGAACTCGGCGATGGGCACCTCGAACTTGGGCTGGTCGGCCTCCGGCAGCGCAATGCCGTTCTTCATCATGGATGCGACGACGGGGTGGAAGAGGTAATCGCGCGAGCGACTGAACACGGTCGACACTGCCTCCGGAGAGCTGAAGACGTGAAATTTGGTGCCCATCATGATCAGCGTGAACGGTGAATTTGGGTACTTCTTCCTTCAGCAGAATTAGACTTCACGCCCAGTAAAAAAGAATATCGTGCTTCTAGATAAGCCATACTTGAGAGATCGCACGAGACCTCCCGGATCCCGCAAAAAATCCAGGAGATGCCCGACATAGGGAATCCAATACGGCGCGACGGGAGGCTCGTTGGAGGAAGCATCTTTCTTCCGCGTCAAGAACCACAGTGCCGCAGGCAGTATGAGAGTAACGAGAACAGGCGTAATCAGGGACGCATATTCGCTGTTGTTGAAGTCAAGGACTCGTGTGGAAATCGCCCTGATGTCTGTAGCAAGCGATTCCATGGCGAGATCCAACCTCAATCAACATGAGCTCGACTGGACCTGACAGCTCAAGCAAAGCTCTAGATACTAGGTAGGTAGGTCATTAGGTCGGTAGATCGGCATCTATCGAGACGTCGCCGCGAGCATGTACGGTGTGAGTATGCAGTGGAGGCTCGAAGTTGGCAAGCGGGATCTGTGAGCCTGGCGTTTTCGTATGGTGAGCGTACGGTATGTATGGTACCTTGTAATGTATTACCTATTTGCAATTCTGAAGAGATCGATCAGACACACTCTCCTGCCAAATCTGAGAATAATATGACCTGAATAAAAAACCAATCATGGGTAATATGCACTCACGCCACAATTTTTTTTAGCTAGAGTTAATCTGGGGAAATTTAGCAGTGTAACGCTATTTGCTTGGCAAAGCGCCTGTTAGGGTTGTATCTATACAAACTGTACTCCGTACAAAAAGGTAATTACAGAGGGACGGTCCACTAATTAATCAAGGGCGAGATGCACCATAGCCAAACCGGAAACTGGTTCTATGCATGGAACCACAAAAAAAAAAGTGGGAATGTGCAGATATCTGGTTAATAATAGCGTGCAGGGATCTCTGCAGCACGCTAATAGTTGCCAATTCTACATTATCGTTTCTTGGATACACACTGTATGTGCGCTGATATGGTATGATATGAAACGACAGTGTGTGTTAGTAGCTAAGACTGGATTTGGAGCTGAAGCATATCTGTGAAAAGATACTAGCTACTGTTGGTCCTATCCAAACCGTTTGTATATTTTAATTTCTGCAGGAGTATTGATTGGTGGCTCGACAAGTCCCTCTGGATTTTTCTCAGCGTGATGAAGGTCCTCTGTCTACACGGGAGGGGCTCCAACAACGAAGTGAGTCAGTCGTCTATGGTCTTGACGGACAAGTAGCAATGGCATATACTGAGCAGAGTACATGACTAGATCTTTCAACTACAGACAGGTAAATAGATATCTTACTCATCCCCCTCGGCTTACTGGCCACTGACGCTTAGCAGCCGCATTCCGTGCCGAATTGGATGACTTTACCTTCGAATACGTGCAGGGCACTGTTCCACATACTGAAGGTATCCGGCCTAGATAAGTTTTTAGCCGATGGTAGGTGAAAAAAGTGCACATCGCTGACGGACGTCCATCTCTAGGAAACTGGTCCCTCTATACGACCGCCTTCCCCGACAAGCCGCTGTACGGCTATTATGACCCCCTGCGACCCTCGTCCATTATCCAGGCAGAGGATGACCTCCTCCAGTTGATCAAGGAGGAAGGGCCCTTTGACGGCGTCCTGGCCTACTCCGGGGGCACCGCCCTGGCCGCCCAAGTCATCATCCGCGACGCGCTGGAGAATCCCTTCAAAATGGCCGACGAGAGACCGTTCCGATTCGCCGTCTTCATCAACGGCGTGACTCCCCTCAGAGTGTTCTCGCTGGCAGACGAGAAGCTCCAGGAGGACGTAACGATCGAGGATTCGCCCATTGTCAAGGAGGCCTCCGCTCTACTCCTCCGCGATTCGGCGACTCGAGTCCGCAAGGGCAAGGCGTTATTCCCCGACGACCATGACCCAGCGGCCGTCAAGGAGGAGTTGAACGCGCTGCAGACGAAAATGCTGGCTGACGGACGGCTGTGTTTCACCGATGGCACGTACGGGATTACGAGGTACGATGCGGACATCGACGGCGTGCTGATCGACATGCCGACGCTCCATGTCCGATGTCCCGAAGAGAAAGACGTCCATCACGGCTTGCACATGACCAAGTTGTGCAATCCGGATCTGTTGACTGAGTACCATCATCATCATGGCGAGGATTTCCCAAGAGGCCATGCTGAGATGAAGAAGATTGCCCAACTGATCCGAGAGACGGCGGAGCGGGCGTGAGTGACGTCTTTTTACGTTGGAGAAGTATTATACTCAGAATGTGTATTTATTTATGAATATAATTATTGGATAAGCTGGTCTTCATTGCTATCGATGTCTAGAGATTCTTATCACATAGAGAAACCTGCTTTGCCTATCATCTCGCCATTGCTATTTCCACTGATTCTGTTCTTATATCCTTTAACGGAGCAGATCGCCCAGACGCGAGTAATGGTCTAACATATTCCTTCAGACTAAGACTAAATACCGCGAATTTGATTTTGGATTATTTCTTGCGACCAACCAGACATGTGGCAAGAATGCGAGTGCCGTGGCTTCATTTTGCAATAATACACCTGTGACAGTGTTACAAAAAAACAATCCGTATGTATCGTACCGTATTACAATACGGCATCCCGCAAACCCCAGAAACTTCCTCCACATTGCTACCACCCTAATATCCGCCCTCAACCATCCATGGTCCGAGCAGGGCTAAGGGTCTCGACGCATATTCACGCTATTCATGGCTTACAGGGAGCGGCTTTTGTTTCCACTGTTGGTCTCCACCTCGTCAGTGGGGACTGCACGGTATCAGTATCAGTCGCGTGGCATGGCATGGGATAGCATGGCATGGCATGGAAGGTCACTGGAATCTCCATCTCACACTAGTATTCCCAATTTCATTGGACAGAAGGAGCGTGACAGAAATCATAGTGGCTTTGCTAGCATGAGCTGCTCCCCTTACATATTCCCTAGGTAGTAAACATAAAACCAATGGCCTGCTTCCTCGAGAGGGAGAGACAGAGGAGAACGAACGTGCCAACCCAAGGTGTCCGAAAAACGACCATGATATAAAATCGTAGAAGAAGTGAAGAGTGCTGTTAGTCTTCTTTCTTCCACCGCAGATCTCTCAAGATGGGCTCTATCTCCCTTGATAACGGGCCTACAGGCAGTGGCCCAACTGACAAGTTCGAGCCACTCGCCATTATTGGCCTTGACACTCGTTTCCCGCAAGAAGCGACGACCACGGAGAAACTATGGGAGTTTCTGCTGCGCGCGCGGTCTGCGATGACCCCCTTTCCACCCGAACGGCTCAATGCAGAGGCATTCTATCATCCTGATCCGGAACATGGCGGCACTGTTCGTACACCTAGTTCTTCATGAGCAAAAGTAGAAACAAAACTGACCGTGCTATGTAGTTCGCTGTTAAGGGCGGCCATTTCTTGACGGAGGATCCGACCTGTTTTGACGCCGCCTTTTTCAATGTCATCAAGACGGAGCTTCTCACCCTGGATCCGCAGCAGCGTCTGGTCATGGAGAGCGTCTATCACGCTTTGGAGAATGGTGTGTTCTTGGCGCCTTCATCTCAGTCGATTGGCTTTTTTTTTTCGCTGACTTCTTGTCTTCGCAAAGCGGGCATTCCCATGCACAAAGCGATGGGATCGAAAACCGCCGTTTTCGCCAGTGGCTTCAATCACGATCACCTGTCTCTTCTGAATTCCGATCCCGAGAGCACCATCAAATATAAACCGACGAGTGTCACGAACTCCATCATCTCCAACCGAGTCAGCTGGTTCTTCGACTTTAAGGCTCCCAGCGTGACCATTGATACTGCTTGCTCGAGCAGCATGGTTTCTCTGCATCTCGCTGCCCAGAGTCTGCATTCGGGCGAAAGTGACATGGTAAGTTATTGTGAGAGCCCTGTACCGTTTTTCTTCTGCATTTCTAAAACACGGAGCAGGTAATCGTCAGTGGAGTCAACATCGTCGAGTTCCCAATAGACATAGTTGGCATGAGCCATCATGGCTTCCTGGGAGCAGACGGGCGATGCTTCACTTTTGACCACAGAGCAAATGGATATGCTCGAGGCGAGGGAGTAGGCACTTTGGTTGTCAAGCCACTCTCCGCCGCAGTTAGAGATGGCGACACTATCCGTGCGGTTATCCGTGGCACAGGCGTGAACCAGGATGGAAGGACGCCTGGAATCAGCCTTCCAAGCGCCGCAGCGCAGGAGAGATTGATTCGCGACGTTTACGAGCGTGCTGGTCTGGATTTGAACGACACCATGTTTGTCGAAGCCCACGGAACGGGTACCGCCGCCGGGGATCCGATCGAGGCTGGAGCCATCGCGAGCTCATTCCGATCGCGAAGGAAAGACATCCCGCTCTACGTCGGTGCCATTAAGTCCGGAATTGGACATCTGGAGGGAGGCTCTGGGATCGCCGGCATCATCAAGTCTGTCTTGATCCTAGAAAATGGAATCATCCCTCCCAATGTCAACTTCGAGAAGGTCAATCCCAAGATTCCCACGAAGAAGTGGAATATCGAGTTTCCACTCGAGAATATACCCTGGCCGACCCCAGGGCTGCGGAGAATCTCGGTGAATTCGTTCGGTGTTGGCGGAACGAACGCTCATTGTATTTTGGATGATGCATATCACTTCCTCAAGGAACGCAATCTGTCAGCGCCTCACAATACGAGACCTGATGTTCCGACACGTGAGGAGATAGCTCGCCTCGTTGCATTGCTTGATAAAGCGAACGGGTCAGCAAATGGAGAAAATCCTGTTAACGGGAACACTCCAGAAGCAAATGGTGTTCACAGCGAGAGTCTCGCCAACGGAGTGACTTCAAACGGCGTCAATGGGACACGCGATGATCCCGAGCTTGCTGTGCTAAAGCTATTCGTGTTGTCGGCATTTGACGAGGATGGCATCAAACGGAATGCGTCTGCAATCTCCGGCTATCTGCAAGAGAGAACATCCTCATCGACAACACTCCTGGACGACCTTTCGTTCACACTGTCGAACAAGCGGTCCAGCTTCCCTTGGAAGAGTTTCGTTTTGGCGTCCTCTGTCAAAGAACTTGCAGCCAGCCTCGCCGAGGAAAAGTTCTTCAAACCGACGCGGGCTCGAAACCCGCCAGCCATTGGATTCGTTTTCACGGGACAAGGGGCCCAGCACTACGCGATGGGCAGGGCGCTCCTGGTGTATCCTGTCTTTCGAAAGTCTCTGGAAGATGCTTCGGATTATATGAAATCTCTGGGAAGTCCATGGACCTTGATGGGTATGTCATTATTTTCCAGACTGATCTGGGCCAGTTGCTAACTCCCATCAGACGAATTGCTAAAAGATCAAGAGTTTTCCAACATCAATGCTCCTGAGATTGCTCACCCAAGTTGCGCTGCGATCCAGATTGCCTTGGTTGACCTGTTGGCTAGCTGGGGTATATATCCCGGCCGAGTCACTGGGCACTCTTCTGGGGAAATCCCAGCTGCGTACTGCGCTGGTAGAATCTCACGAGAAGGCGCTTGGAAGGCTGCCTATTACCGTGGATACGTCTCGTCCAAGCAACTTGCGGCGAAAGGCGCCATGATCGCGGTCGGCATGAACGAAGCGCAGTTACGATCATACCTGGAGAAGGTCCACAGCACCTACCCTGGAGAACTTATTATTGCCTGCTACAACAGCCCGAAGAATAATACCGTTTCTGGAGACGAAGTCATGGTGGACGCGCTGAAGGAATTGCTGGATGCCGATGGGGTCTTTGCTCGGAAGCTGAACGTCAAGAATGCCTACCACTCTGCTCATATGAAGGAGATCGCGGACGAATACCTGCGTCTTATGGGGGACCTTTCATCTGGACAATATTTCAACTCGCCTCATGAAATCCACATGTTCTCAACCGTCACTGGACGACAGATAGACGGCAAGACTCTCGACGCCCAGTACTGGGTGGATAACATGGTGTCGCCGGTGCGTTTTACCGACGGCTTCACGGCGATGTGTTTCCAGAAAAACACGACCGGTCAAGCACACCTGCGGATGAATGCTACCGCCGAAAACATTTTCGCAGACCATGTGGTCGAAATCGGGCCTCATTCAGCCCTTCAGAGCGCCATCAAGGAAACCATCGCTGCCAAGGGCAGCCAGTCGTCCATCGTGTACTTGCCCGTTCTGAATCGGAACGACAACAGCACTCGGGTGCTCTTGACGACGGTTGGAACTCTGAGCTCGAAGGGCAGTCCTGTTGACATCCTCACTGTGAACTCGGCCCCCCAAACCTCTGAGCGGAAGCCCAAGATGTTGGTGGATCTTCCACCTTATAGCTTCAACCATTCCTCCAAGACCATGTACGAAAGCAGACTGAGCAAGAACTACCGCTTCAGGAAATTCCCCAGACACGATCTCTTTGGAGCGCCTGTGGCGGACTGGAATGCGGAAACGCCTCGATGGAGGCATTTCATCAGGCTGCATGAGAATCCCTGGTTGAAAGATCACATGGTTCGTTGGCAATCCTTCTGTCATTTCGACGTGGTTATGTTCCTAACATTTCACATAGGTGACCAACAACTATATCTACCCCGGAGTGGGCTATCTCATCATGGCCATCGAAGCTTCAAGACAGATGGCAGATCCCGGTGCAGAGATTACCGCATTCAGGCTGAAAAACGTCGCTATCAAGCGAGCGCTCATTATTCCCGACACGAAGGAAGGAATCGAAACGTGCATATCGCTGACAAGGATGGACGAATCCAGTCTGTGGGGCTCTTCGGTATGGAAGCGGTTCCAGATCACTTCCTACAATCCTATCGGCGATGACTGGATCGAGCACTGCACGGGCTACATTGCCGTGGACTACAAAACAACCCCCGGGCCGGTTGATGCCGGCCGCGAGGAACGAGCAGAGCGTGAGGCGTGGAAGCAGGCGTTGCGGGAGGTTTCCGAGACGTGTCAAGTGCCAGTAGACTTCAAAAAGTCTTATGAGAATCTCCAGACTGCGGGATTGGTGTTTGGCCCGCTCTTCAGGAACCTGTCCAACGTCAAGGCCAGTGGGAAGAACCTGGGATCTGTCACCGGAACTGTGACTGTTCCGGATATTGCCAGCTCGATGCCCAAGAACTATGTCCATCCGCATCTCATCCACCCAGCTACTATGGACAGCATGCTCCATCTGTTCCTCGCAGCGGTGCTTGACTTTACCGGGAAGCCAACGTTGGAGAAAGCGGCCGTCCCGACGTTTATCAAGGAAGTGTGGGTTTCCGCAGAGCTCAATTCGCAGCCAGGACACGTCTTCCGCGGCCACGGAAAGGCATCGTTGATCGCTTACGACAAGTTCGAGTGCGACGTGAAGGTCTGGGACGGACAGGTGGACGAGGGCCGCATCCAGATCAAGGGCATTCGAGTGACTCCGCTCGAGTCTGGGAGCGCAGGAAACAGTCAAGTTCGGAAACTGTGCCACCAGCTTGAATGGAAACCGGCGATCGATCTGCTCGATTCTTCCTCTGCGCGGAGTCTCACCTCCCTCGAACAACCAGACGCTGAAAAGGATCGCTACTGGGTGAAGCGCTACCAACTCGCCACCATGCTTCTTGTGACCGACGCGCTGGCGGCACTAGAAGGATTCAACGTCGACTCACTTGAAGGGCATTTCCGTAACTATTATGAGTGGATGAAGTACAATGAGGAGAATCTGAAGAGAGACGCCATCACTCAGTTGACACTTGCAGAATTCGAGGCAGCCGCTGCCAACAAGGACCTCAAAGAGGCGCTGTACTGCGAGGTAGAGGGCCATAGTGCTGATGGTGCGCTGGCAGTCCGAATGGGGACAAACATCGTCCCCGTGCTGAAAAAGGAGATTGATCCCTTGCATCTCATGTTCGGGCAGGATGATCTCATGGACCGCGTTTACGATGAAGTCGTCAATCTAGGTGATCTGCCCGTTCACCTGAAAAATTATCTATCTGTTTTGGGCGATAATCGCAATGACCTCAATATCCTTGAGATTGGCGCTGGGACTGGCAGCTCCACTGCTGCGATCCTCGATGTTCTATCTCCGCAATCAGCAAAGACGGAGCAGGCAACCGGTGCATCGAAGATTGCATCGTATATGTTTACTGACATCTCCGCTGGCTTTTTCGAAAAAGCCAAGGAGAGATTCAAAGCCTGGAGCAATATCATGACATTCAAGACACTGAATGCCGAAAAGGATCCCACGAGCCAAGGGTTTGGCTCTGGTACTTACGACTTAATTGTCGCAGGCAATGTTATCCACGCCACTGCCGATCTGCGCAAGACGTTGAAAAACTTGAGGCTCCTGCTCAAGCCCGGAGGTAAGATCCTCATGCATGAGGGTTCGCGACAGGACTTCCTCTGGTCACAGATCGCCTTCGGCCAACTCCCGGGATGGTGGCTTGGTGTCGAACCCAGTCGCAAGTGGTGTCCCTTCGTCTCGCCTGCTGAATGGGATGTCATTCTCCGTGATTCCGGTTTCTCGGGTGTGGATATTGAATTCCCCAGCTCTCAGAATCCTGACTTCACGAGTCAGAGCATTCTTATTTCCTCTGCCGTTGAGCGAGACTCTGAGAAGGAAAACCTGCCTAAACAAGTTGTTCTCATCAGTCACGACACGCCTCATGAAAAAGACTCAGCTTCTGCACTGGCAAAAACACTTCGAAGCCAATTCCATATTGACAACGTGACCATTATCCAGCCTGCTGACCTGAGGAATATCGACACAAGCAGCGCCATCTGCATATCTCTCCTAGAACTCGAACGCCCTTTCCTTCATGGAATGAGCGAATCAGACTACCTCAGCATCAGGAAGTTGCTCTCCACATGCAAAGGATTATTGTGGATTACTGGGGACCCACTCATCACGCCTGAGTTGGATATGATTTCAGGTCTCCTCCGGACTGTGCGGTGGGAGCGCGACCTGGAAGCTGCGAACTTGGTGAACCTTGCCGTTCGACAACAGCAGCAGATCTCGGCCGAAGCGCTTGTCGAGGTGATAGCCAAGATATTCAAGCACCAGTTCGTGGACGCCATCGAGGGCAACGCCAATGCCGAGTATCTTTTCCAGGACGGCATGCTATACACCAGCCGTCTTGTCGGCTCCGACGCTGGAAACGACTTCTTAGCTTCGAAATTCGCAAAACCAACGCCCCAGATGATTCCATTTGGTAAGAGTGGTCGCCCCATCAAGCTCAGCACTTCGGCTCCAGGGTTGTTGAGCAAGTTGGAATGGGTCACAGATACCGTTTACTATGAGCCGTTGGGAGATACCCAGGTGGAGATTGATATCCGTGCTGTTGGTCTGAATTTCCGCGATTTGATGATCGCAATGGGTGAGCACATGGCGTATAGTCTCGGCAATGAAGCTGCCGGTGTTATCACAAGGGTGGGCGCTGCTGTTGACAAGTTCAAACCCGGTGACCGTGTCGTGTATCTGTGCGGTCTCGAGAGCACGGGATGTTTCCACACGTTTGGACGAGTTGACCAGAATGTGGTTGTCAAGATCCCCGATGACCTCAGCTACGAAATAGCTGCGGGTCTGCCCTGTGTTTATGCCACGGTAATCTATGGCCTGCAGGACGCCGCTAGGCTGTCGAAAGGCGAGACCATTCTCATCCATGCTGCAGCCGGTGGCGTGGGACAAGCTGCGATCCACTATTCCAAGATGGTTGGCGCTGAGATATATGCGACTGTCTCGACGCCTGAGAAACGGAAGCTCTTGATGACGGAATATGGAATCCCTGAAGATCACATATTCTCCAGTCGAGACCTTTCTTTTGCCAAGGGCATCATGAGATGCACCAAGGGCAAAGGTGTCGATGTGATTCTGAACTCTCTCTCCGGAGAAGCCCTGCGACAATCTTGGGAGTGTCTTGCACCCTTCGGCCGATTCGTCGAGATTGGCAAGAAAGATGCACAGGCGCATGGAAAAGTGGAATTGACCCCGTTCCTGAGAAATGTGACCATGACGAGCGTGGAGTTGCCAACCATGATGCGCCACCGACCCCGGCTGATTGCTCGACTGACAGAGGATACCGTACGGCTGTACAGCGAAGGCAAAATCAAGGAGGCCAAGCCCACGACGATCATGAACTATTCACAAGTGGAAGAGGGGCTCCGTCTGCTGCAGTCCGGCAAAGGCATGGGCAAGATGATCTTCGTTCCTGGGAAGGATGATATGATACCTGTTGTCCCAGAAATCCCGCCTCCATACCAATTCCAAGAAGATGCTTCCTACGTCATGGCAGGAGGCTTCGGCGGACTGGGACGCAGCATAGCGCGCTGGATTGCCTCGCGAGGCGCCAGGCACCTGATCTTCCTTTCGCGATCTGGCCGGATCACGGAAGCTGTGGAGGAGATGGTCAAGGATCTGGAAGAAAAGGGGTGTCGCGTTCGGATCTTCACCTGTGATGTGTCTGATAAGGATCGACTGAGATCCGTCATCGATGAATGTGCTGCATCCATGCCCCCGATCAAAGGCTGCATTCAAGGCGCCATGACGCTGAAGGTGAGTGGGACCTCTCTTAGAGTGCTTTTAACGCATATAACTAACGTGACACAGGATGGAATGTTTGAGAACATGTCCTACGAGGACTGGCAAACGGCCGTCAAGCCCAAAGTCCAAGGATCCTGGAATCTGCATGAGATTCTCCCTCGTGACATGGACTTCTTCCTGATGCTGTCGTCCGCGACGGGCATCCTGGGCAACCGCAGCCAGGCCAACTACGCCGCGGGCAACACCTACCAAGACGCATTGGCGCGGTATCGAGTGTCGAAGGGCTTGCCAGCCGCCAGTGTCGATCTCGGAAGCGTCTTGTCAGTCGGCTTCGTGGCCGAGAACCAGGATTACGCGCGACATACGACGGCGGTCCTCGAGGTCCTTCGTGAGGATGAAATCCATGCCATTGTCGAGTTCCTCATCGACCCGCGGCATGCGTCCGACGCAACTCGCCAGCTGATCTTTGGTCTGACGACCGGGACGATGTACCATGAGCGCGGCGTACCACCGCCCTCATACCTGGGCTACCCTCTGTTCACGCACCTGCGCAAGACGTCGGCCTCTCGCAGCCAGAACTCGGAGGAGAACCCGACGTACCTGGTGCAGGCGCTCCTCAGCGCGGCATCCACGCTTGAGGAGGCCGTCAACGTGGTGTCCCAGGGGATCCGGAACAAACTGGCCTCGCTGCTGGCGATCCCCGTCAACAACATCGACCCGGCTAAGTCCATCAGCTCCAACGGCGTCGATTCTCTCGTCGCCATGGAATTCCGCACCTGGCTGGTCAAGGACCTGGGCGCGGATATCCCGCTGCTGGACATCATGGGCACGAGCAGCATCACGACACTCAGTCACAAGATTGCAAGTGTGAGCAAGTTGGCGCAGTTCTCGACTGCCCCACCTAAGGCGGGCTGAATGCGGTTATTTCTTTTCTTTCATAGTGATTGATGTACTGTACAGATGTGAGCAATGTAGATAGGAATTCGTTTTTCGTTTACACGTTAAGGACAAGAGTGCTTGCACAGTGCACAGCCACGGATTCGTTATTATTCAATTGTATCTATTATTTGAGTTAGTTATCATTGTTATTCTGTTGATATGTGTTTTAGTGCATAGCGTATAATTGGCACTGAGAAAACGAAATCATAACGTAGCATAGCAGAAATGCTATCCCGTTTTCGATACTGCCTTGAAATAATGAAACTGGAGGGGAAACAAAAAAGAAAAGTGAGAAGGGCCTTACACTGAATAACAAACGGTGTCTCCTGACAGCACGTCTGATGTCTCCGAAACCTCCGACTTCCAGCGGCGGTGCACGTTCCTGGGGATCTTCCTTCGGTAATATCATCTAATCTAGGACAATTTCCGAGGCCAAAAATTGATGCAGCAGTGGTGCAACAGTCAGAGACGACTCTTCTGTGCTGTGTCGCGAGGAGGCGAGGTGAAACGACGTTTGCCGCGACACGGTTAGGAAGCCGCCTTCTGAGGCGCTCGCGAGACACGAACGTGCTTAGTCCGGACTCAACAACCCCTGTGTCCCATCCCTCCCCAACCAGCCTGCCCCAAAACGCTTTTCTTGTCCATTGTGCCAATCAGCTCGAGTGGACTAGTTTCGCTGATCCACTATGTTGATCCCAGATTTGGGATTGATGCACTCTGAAGCAATTGCCTCCTGCCCTCCAGCACGACAGCCCCTGAGGATGGCCGCTAGATGTCGAATTCATGACGACGACTGCAGAGATGAGAAACACAAGTGAGTAAGAAAAGGGTTAGATTGCCCGGACAATCTGCCATGTGGTGATCTTCTCTGTATTTCTCTGTTTAACCGGTCCTTCAGCGGTCGGGCCTCTTGACTTTCTTCTTCTTCTTCCTCTTCCGTCTTGTAGAGTCTACACTCCTTGTTGTTTCTTTCTGTATTTGTTTCTGTTCTGTCGAGAGGACTGTCAAACGTTGGTGCTGGTAGCCAGCCAAGTGGTATGTTGTCTCTTCCTTGACTGAGTCAGAAAGGACGAAGTTAACTTGTTAGTCTCTCGCTATTATTCTTGTAATTTCTCATCGTATACGGAGACTCAAGCTGGCTTTGAGCCTCGATCTTTCGCTTTGAAGTGGTGACAGCTGTTGACTTTTCGTATCGCTTCTCTGACCTTTCCCTCTCGGTCCTCTGCAAGCCGGTTCAACCATGGAGAAACAGGCTTTCTCCAATGACGGTTACGAGGTCAAATCGGAACGAGCAAGATGGCCTCCGCTGACGAGGATGTTGATGTCCGGTGAGATGAGTGGTGTCGAGCCCAAGGAGTTGACATTGAAGGAAAAGTTCGATCGATGGTGCGTACTCGATCTTGGACGATGTTGGATTATTCCATGACTGACGAAGATCAGGATGATCAACGAAGGGTGGAGACGGCTGTAAGCACCCTCATTAGCGACTGGTTCTGGTCAGTTGTGCTGAATAAGTGATTCTAGTTTTGTTCTTGTCTTCATCATTGCGCATATCATGATCTACGTCTTCGGATTCCTGAATTATGGCTTGAAGGTGCGAATATACAGGTTTCCCTGTCAGATAGTATTGTGCTGACCAAACTTCCAGGACAACCTGAATAATGCGCGTGCCACATACACTTGGACATACATGGTCGCAAGATCGGCTGCTCTTTGTTTACATGTCGATGTCGCATTGATCTTGTTCCGTAAGTCATCCAGAAGTTTCTTGTTTCTTTTGGTTGATCGACCCAGCTAATCAATGTAGCTGTTTGCCGAACACTCATCTCACTGATGAGGCAGACACCTCTCAATGGAATTATCCAGTTTGGTATGTTGTTCTCGTCCCACTGCGTTGCGCAGAGCTGACAGCTTATAGACAAGAACATCACATTCCACAAACGTCAGTCACCCGATGCCTGAATATATCTGCTTAGCAACTCACTGACCTGCCTAGTCGTCGCGTGGTCGATTGTCTTTTTTACGTGGGTTCACACGATCGCCCATCTCAACAACGTCGCCCAACTCTCCGCCAAGAACAACCAGGGTTTTGTTGGATTCCTCAGAGCTGGCTTTCTGACTGGTCCAACATGGACGGGGTGGATCATGCTCATCTGTCTGATGGCCATGGTTTTTACCTCTATTGAAAAGCCGCGTCGGGCGAACTACGAGCGATTCTGGTACACCCACCACCTCTTCATCCCCTTTTTCGTGTTCTGGTCGATGCATGGTATCTGGTGCATGATCCCGACCGACTTTCCGCCGTTCTGCTCGGGGATTGGCGTCTTTTACGAGTACTGGACCTACGGAGGTGTCGTCTACCTCGCTGAGCGGATAGCTCGAGAGATACGAGGACGGCACAAGACCGTCATTTCCAAAGTGATTCAGCATCCCAGCAACGTGGTCGAGATCCAGATCAAGAAGGAGAAGACGAAAACGCGGGCGGGCCAGGTTCGTGACTTTTCATTCCATGATTGTCTTCTGGAGCTGACAAAATGGCAGTATATCTTTCTCTGCTGTCCCGAGGTGTCCCTCTGGCAGTACCACCCGTTCACTCTCACCAGCGCGCCGGAGGAAGACTACATCTCTGTGCATATACGGTGCGTTGGGAACTTCACCAAGGCGCTCGCCAAGGTCCTGGGCTGTGATTTCGAGTCGGGCAAAGGCAGCAACGAATCCGCTGTCGTTGGAGTCAACAAAAACGACGCCAACGACGACATCGACCCGACGATCCGTCGGATCCTTCCACGGATCTACGTCGACGGCCCTTTTGGCAGCGCCTCCGAGGACGTCTTCAAATACGAGATTGCCGTATTGGTGGGCGCTGGTATTGGCGTCACACCGTTTGCGTCCATCCTGAAGAGCGTGTGGTATCGCATGAACTACCCGCAGAAGAGGACACGACTGCGCAAGGTCTACTTCTTCTGGATCTGCCGTGACTTTGGCTCATTTGAATGGTTCCGCTCGCTGCTCTCTGCCATTGAGGCGCAGGATCTGGAAAGCCGGATTGAGATCCACACTGTAAGTACTCTTACCCAGACGCAAGAATATTTGACCCTCGATTACTGAAAAATAATAACAACAGTATCTAACCGCCAAAATCAAACCTGACGACGCAACCAACATCATGATCAACGACGCCAACGCAGACCAGGACGCCATCACGGGCCTCCGCGCGCCCACCAACTTCGGCCGCCCCAACTGGGACATGATCTTCCGATCGATCCGCAAGATCCATGCGCCCGCGGAGGCGGGCGTCTTCTTCTGCGGTCCCAAGGCTCTGGGCAGCCAGCTGCACATCAAGTGTAATATGTACTCTGAGCCTGGGTTCCAGTTTGTTTGGGGGAAGGAGAACTTTTAACTGAATTTATTCATTTTGTCTGAAGTAAATGCGGTTGATAATTGCTAGATATATATCACACGAAGGAATAATTATTGTTTAGAAGAAACAATAGGATGAGAACAGTGATTTGATTGATTCAATTCGTTGTCATATCACCCTGTTAGATAGCCTGTCTTTTTGATTGATACCTGTAACCTAGAAAGAACACAGGCATTACTAGGCATTACTACAGCTTCTTAACTAACTCCAGTCTGGTTATCTTCCCAGTACCTGGTCATCGGTTGTAGTTTGATAGGTAGTTTCTCGTTCCGACTCCCCTCCGCCTCGGCGCCTCTGATTCGCGGCAAGACACCGAGGTTAAAGTATCCATCCACCACCCGAGTTGGAATGCCGGGTTCCCGCAAGGCTTCAAGTTCATTGCTCTGCATTGCATTGCTTTGCTTTCGAGGTCCCGACGCTCTCCTTCCCTTCCTACTACTACTACCTTCCTAGGTGATAATCTCTTATCTTAATTAATGAGATAGATAGGAGATCGGTGAGAGTGGTGTGTTCCTATCATTGGTGAGTCAAGGTCCTTACGATCGTATACCTTCTGCCGAGGCTAGATCGATCGGAGACAGCCGTTTTTTTCCCCGCATTTTTTGCTGTCAAGCTAGACAGTTGGATTGTTACTGATCTCTCTTCCATTATAGATATTTACAGGAGCTCCTAGGAGAAGAAGGTCAATTGAGCTAGGATTTATTCGTTTTCATACAGAGTCGTTGAAGACCGACCCGTCCTTCCGTGTCGTAGCTCGCCATGAACCGATCCATCTTTCGTGCTGCCTCGCGGCAGCTTCTCCGAACGTTGAACCGTCCCAGCAGTGCCAGCGTGTCGAGAGAGCTCTGCAACCGTCGATTCGCATCATCTGTGACGTTCAACTGGGAGGATCCCCTTGCGGCCGCGGAGCTGTACACTGAAGAGGAGCTGGCGATCCAGGAGACGGCGAGACAGTACTGCCAGGAGCGTCTGCAACCCCGGGTCCTGGAGGCATACCGGAATGAGAACTACGATCGCAAGATCCTGGAAGAGATGGGCGAGATAGGCCTGCTGGGCGCTTCGATCGAGGGTTACGGCTGCGCCGGAGCGAGTACCGTTGCGTCCGGTCTCATCACCAAGGAAGTGGAGCGGGTGGATTCGGGATACCGGTCTGGAATGTCGGTGCAGAGCTCGCTCGTCATGACGGGCATCTACGAGTTCGGGTCGCAGGAGCAGAAGGACAGGTTCCTGCCGCAGCTTGCCAAGGGGAAGATGCTGGGATGCTTCGGCCTCACGGAGCCTAATCACGGATCCGACCCCGGTTCCATGGAGGCCGTCGCCCGCGAGCACCCGTCCAAAAAGGGATACTACTTGCTCTCCGGGACGAAGACGTGGATCACCAACTCTCCCATCGCGGATCTTCTGTTGGTCTGGGCCAAGTTGGAGAGCACGGGCAAGGTGCGGGGATTCCTGATCGAGCGCAACAAATGCCCCCGGGTACCTTGGAGACGCCGGCGATCAAGAACAAGACCGCTCTTCGCGCGTCCATCACGGGTATGATCCAGATGGATGACTGCCCTGTCCCCGCCGAGAACATGCTCCCCACAGTGGAGGGCTTGAAGGGCCCCTTTACGTGTCTGAGCAGCGCCAGACTGGGCATTGCCTTTGGAACCATGGGGGCGCTGGAAGACTGCCTCAGTCGCGCACGAACGTACGCTCTGGAACGGAAGCAGTTCAAGGGCAACCCTCTGGCCAAGTACCAGCTGGTGCAGAAGAAGCTGGCGGATGCGGCGACGGATGCTGCGTATGGGACGCTGGCCGCGACGCAGGTCGCCCGTCTGAAGGACGCGGGCAAGGCGACCCCGGAGATGATTTCGATGGTGAAGCGGCAGAACTGTGACCGGGCTCTGGCCAATGCACGGGTGTATGTCCGTCGTCTACCCTCCACCCGAGTATGTCGTTGACTCTGTGTCTATATAGGCTTCAGGAAATCTTTGGCGGCAACGCCGTGAGCGACGAGTACCACATCGGGCGACATGCGGCCAACTTGTTTGTCACTCAGACTTACGAGGGCCAAAGCGATATCCACAGTAAGATTCCCTGATGCCAGTCGTGCATTTTTGTTTTTCTCTATCAGAATGGGTAACTGACTGCAACAGCTCTTATTCTCGGCCGTGCCATTACCGGCATCCAGGCGTTTGTTTGAGTGGTTGTTTCCACTGTATCATACTGCATACCTCCGTGTAGATATCATGACGGTCATGAACTTTTGTCAATTGTAAACGTGCAGTCCGCACTGCCTGAACTGAAGATTACCAGCCATATTCGATAGCACATTGACGACTCGTATGGTAGAGAACAACGAGTTGCCTGGGTAGGCAGCTGGACATGGACCAATGCATACCGGGCAAACTCATGCTGCAGCTGCCCACGTGACCCGGATCCATGACCCCGCGGTGTCGTCACCGCGCTTTCCACGGTACAGTGGCGTTAAGAGAGAAAAAGCGAGAACCTGCTAGCATGCACTGTGGAAAAGTAATGATAAGATCAGTAGAACTGGGTGGAAAACGAGATCTTTGTCCTGGCACAGCCTGGAATTAAGTTGTCGAGGATAAAGAAAAGATCGATCAGAGTTTGAGGGCAGACCCGCCGTCGTCATCGATCCGCGTAGAAAGAGGGAAAAGGAAAGCGTTGGGTAGCAGATTGGCCGCGACAGGCGCCACAGGGTGGCGAGGCGGGCGGCAAGACGGCAGGAAGCGTTGGTGGCACTGATACAGGCGATTATTCAGCTGGACGAGGTGCTTTGGAAGGAGATTGATTCTTCTGCATCCAGCGAGAAGCGTCTGGGCGCTGTTCTGTTCCTGCCGGAGCAGCGGTCAGGGGGAGTCGTGACGCTGTCGGGCATGGCGGGGTTGGCAGCGAGACAAGAGGGGTGACTTGGCTGAATAATACGCCGGTAACTTACATACCGTCAGATGGTGCGCTGGCCGAGTGCCACTCGCGGCAGTGCCCGTTGGGTATGGTATCGTAATCCGGGCGGCCAGCCCCCTAGTCGGTGGGCGTCGTTTGGTGTGGTCACATGCGTATTGGCCGGTAAATACGGGTCGATTCGCTGGTCGCTGCTGCGGGCGGCGAGAGGCGGCCAGTCAGGCGCCGTACCGATCTGACCGTACCAATACCGCCCGGTCAGGCTGCCTTCGCTCTTCCTCTTCTTCTTTCCATCCCCGATCCTCTCCCTCTCGAACTACTGAGCCTTGCAATCTTTCCCGTGTCATCGTCACCCGCTGTCATTCACCCACGAGACCACGACTCTTTGTGTTTGCACTCCACGTTATTTGCTCTGGTAGGCTTCCGCTGTCACTGTCCCGTATTTCTTTCTCCTCCTTCCACGCCGTCACCCCGTCATTGACCCTCGTCGACTGACCACCGTCGCTTCGCAGAGATATCCTCGTTGATTGAACTTGCTCGCCTATCGTACAATACCCTCTTCCTCCTCTAGCGACCTACCCACTTCGCCCTAAGGACTCGTCCTTACACACACCTCACCCTTATCACACACACATCCTTCCAAGATGGCTCTCAAGAGAATCAACAAGGAACTCACAGACCTGGGGCGGTAAGTGTGTGTCTGCAAGCACCCCTCTATTCCTGCCCGGTCGCTTCCTGTCTTCCCGCCTCAACCAACTGTGGCCTCCCCCACCAACGCTGCGGGGTATGCCCGTGTTGTCGCTCAAAATTCCATGCAAGTAGTCGTGTTTCTGGGACCAGATCACTGACTTTGTCTTTAGCGATCCCCCATCGTCTTGCTCTGCTGGTCCTGTTGGAGATGATCTGGTATGTTGCCTTGCCGCTCTGGACGTCATGTCGACCGGCATCATACTAACATGGAATCCTCTTCTAGTTCCACTGGCAAGCAACTATCATGGGTCCTGTACGTGGTGTCTCCCCTTTCTGCATCGACTTGCATTGCGAATCTATTTTCTAACGTCTACCAGGGGGACTCTCCATACTCGGGTGGTGTTTTCTTCCTAGCGATCCACTTCCCTACCGACTACCCCTTCAAGCCGCCAAAGGTCAACTTCACGACTCGTATCTACCACCCCAACATCAACTCTAACGGCAGCATCTGTCTGGACATCCTGAGGGACCAGTGGAGTCCGGCCCTTACGATCTCCAAAGGTGAGCGGGACCCTTGCCTGCTGCTGAGGAGAAACGTGATGACTGACGCCCGTAGTGCTGCTCTCCATCTGCTCCATGCTTACTGACCCCAACCCTGACGACCCGCTCGTGCCCGAGATCGCTCACGTCTACAAGACGGACCGCCCTCGTTACGAAGCTACCGCCCGAGAATGGACACGCAAATATGCCATTTGATAACTGAGCCGCTACCGCTTCCTCGTCACGGCCACCTCGGTCTTTCCAATGGTCACAGCGTCTCTTTTCCACTCTATTAGATCAGATGCGAAGCCTGGCGTACCGTGGTGGTGGGACCCTTTCTTTTTTTTCTACTTCTTCTCTGTGGACTTATTTGCGTGGTTTTTCCAAATCATTGGCGGGAAATCTTTCATATCAACAACAATCCTCATGACCAATTCTCTCATACCTTCATGCATGCATGCCAATTTATCGGCGACCCCAGGGGAAAACGGGCGTCCTAGGCCTTTGTCAGGATTTGCAGGGACTTTAGGCGGCTCGTGGATCGGCTTGTGTTGGTGGTGGTGATGGTGGATTGGCCGGGGGATGGACATAGAAGAAGAATTCTTATCGAGAAGTGATCACGGGGGAGGGGGAGAAAGGAAGGAAGGACGGGGGAGTGTGAGCTGAGCTGAATTCAACTGGGTGTGCTTATTTATCTCTCTTGTAGTGAAACGAAGACAAGACAAGGCATGTGACAATTTCCGACAATTTTCTCCTCCTCTTTTCTTCTTCTTCTCTTCTTCTCTCGTGGTTATCCTTTACTTTATTCTGGTACTGTTCGTCTTATTATATTTCGCTTATTCAATTTAAATCATGCCATTTTTTATTGGTCCCTACCTAGTACTGTACTTGTACTGTATACCTGTACTGTACTGGACGTGGAGTAACCTATAACTATTAACGAACGAACAAACGAACGGTACGTTGGAAATCTTTTTTTTTACAAAAAAAAAAAAAGAAAAGAAAAGAAACACAGATAAAAAGGTTGAGATTTTGTTCGAATTCGAATTGCTGTAAAATTAAAATAAGTTCTGGTAAGGATCACATCACAAAGTCGCATTTCGGTGCAGTTGTCAGTGCCAGTGCCAGTGTGGCTTTCATTCTGGAGATGAGATATATATATTAAATATAATATATATAATGTGAGTTTTTTTTTTTAACCTGCCTTCCTTGTCGAGTATATTTATTATATTGTCATGATGATCAGATTATGTCTTCTTCATGATTAGAAAGAAAGGAAGATATCAATCGAAAATAAACTAAAATAAATAGAATAAGATAAAAAAAGAAATCAAGGAAGTCTGTCCGTGTGAACTGTATTATCATCTCATATCTATCATCATATCATATGAACCGTGTCTGTAAACAAGCAAGACAACATGCAAGCAAGTAATAGTAATAATAAAAGTATAAAAATCATCATCATCATCATCATAACCACTAATACAATATAATATATCCATCCCACTCCAATGAACCAACCAACTAACCAACCGATCAAACCTCCATCCATCCATGCATCCATCTACTTAATTACTTAGGTACTGTATGTAGGTAGGTAGGGACTTGTCTCTGTGTACAGATCGATAAATGAGATAAAATAACAATAAAATGAAACAGGATGAAACAAAATAAGAAGAAGAAAAAGGAAGAAAAAAAAAAGAAAATACTCCCGCTGCAGCTAGCTCCGCTCAATCACTCCTTTATCTTCTGAGTGCTGCTGCTAACCTTGGAACCAGCCTTGGACGGGGCCTTGGACGGAGCTTGGGACGGAGCTTTGGACGGAGCCTTGGACGGAGCCTGAGACGGAGCTTTTGACGGCGCTTTTGACGGGGCCTGAGACGGGGCTTTTGACCCGCTCCCGCTCGCTTTCACAGTCCGCTCCGACGACCGCGACACGTTGGTCGAGACCTGGCTGATGCTGTCTTCCGGCCTGACGGGCTCGTCGAACTTGCTGGATCGCTTGGACGAGGCGTGCGAGGCGTGGGACGCGTGGGACGCCCCGGATTTCGAGTGTCGCGAGTGCCGCGAGTGGTGCGATCGCGCCTCGCCCACCTGGCTGATTGAGTCGTCGGGCGTGATGTGCGTGTCGATGTCCACCGTGTCTAGGAACACAGTGCTGGGCGTCGCGCTCTCCGGCAAAGGAATGTCCCGCGGCGAGTCGCCGTTCGAGTACACGGAGAACGAGGCCGTCGAGCCCTCTGGTAGAGGGACGTTGCGCGCCGAGCGCGTCGCCGAGTAGACGCTGCCGGCTTGCGATTTGGACTCTCGCGCAGAGGCAGAAGAGCGGTGCGCTGAAGAACGCGAGGCCACCGAGTGGTGCGACGAGTGGTGCGACGCTTTGCTATGGCTGCTGTACTGCGAGGGAGCAGCAGAAGAGCGGTGGGAGGAGTGAGAATGCGACGACCGCGCAGGCTTGATGGTGGATATGGACGAGAATTCGGTTTCGGCGTCGTTGTATTCGGAGTGGTCGTCCCTGTCCCTGCCGGCCTCAGAACCGCGGCGCGACCCCTCCACATAGCTGCTGATCAATGTGCTGGGGTTGCAGGGATACGTCTGTGAGCGTGATGGCGGCGGATACTCGATTGTTCGGATGGGCAGCTCCTTCGTTGCGTAGATGCTGCCGTTGGAATTCCTGCGCACGCCACTCTGCCGTGAATAGACGCTGGCACCATCGTCATTCGGGGGATAGTATTCCGTCTCCTCGTAGACGGTGTCTGCGCGAGGGTTCTTCGACACGACACTGCGCGAGTACGTTGAATATGCGTCATCCCTCGCCGAGTAGGCATCATCCTTCGCTGAGTAGTAACTCCTGGCTGGAGGAGGTGCTTCCAGAGCCCGGTACGATGGGGGTTCTTGGTAAGCCGTTGCTGGCACGCTTTGGGCTGATGCCTGCTGCGAATACTGGGGGAGGGGCTGGGACACAGGCTGCTGCTGCTGCTGCTGCTGTGATGATTGGGAGTCTTTGACGATAGCATAGGCGATCGCGGCTCCGGCAGTGGCGCCAAGAAGAGTCCCGATGATGGTCTTTGCGGCCTTGCTGCCATTATCTGATTGTTGTTGTTTTTGTTCTTCCTGGGCAGGGTACGTTAGGTGGTGGTCGTACTGTTCGTACGACGACTGCGTCGTGGGAGTTGAAGAATAATGCTCGATGGCGGGAACCGTCTTGGACGAAATTGAGCGCACTTCGGACCTCGCGGGTGCCACGCTCTCCGTCTTGGTCGATTTGGCCCTGGATACTACTGAGCCGTTTTTGATGACCTTCAGCGATGGTTCTCCAGCCTGGGAGCGGGACGATGAAGACCCTGGCCGATACACGGCCTCGATACTGTTCCCATCGAAGTCCACCACAGCGGCGCTGTAGTATCCTGACTCCGGATCTCTCGTCTTCGGTTCGCCATGGATCTTGCCGCCGGCCTTCAGTGCGGAGATGAAGAAATCGTTGACGGCTTCTTTTGACGCTGCAGGAAAAGCGACATGGGCTGCGCCGGCCGGAGTTCTGATAATTGAGGTGTCAATCTCGAGAAAAAAAAAAGCTTCTCTGATGGCAGAGGCGCCACCAATGCCAGAGCGTGACCTACCCTGGTTTTTCCTGTGTGATCCAGAAATCTGCGGGCTCATCTGGCTTCGACCCGAAGCCGATGTATTCGTCATGGCGGCCGATGAACTGGTAACCCAGGGGCTGAAGGCAGGAAAGGAAGAATGACGTCGACGTAGGGAGATGGGAGACGGTCAATGTAAGATGTGAGAGAGGCATGTTCTATAATGCTAAAAGAGAAGAATTGAGATGAATTGCAACAGACAAATTTTATATTCACAAATTCGGAGACAAGAAAGAAGATAGTAAATCTAAGTCAGACAGAAAGGATTCTGTATAATCCGATTTCAAAAGAATGCACACTTCCAGCGCCTGAAAGTGCTGAAAGTGTCGAAGTTCTGTCCTTCTCAGAGTTGACCAGATAGAGAAAGACTGTGAGGTGGGGTCAGAGGGAACAGAACAGCAGCAATGGTTGTAGTATTTGAAGCAGACGCTCAAAACGCTGAACAGGATTTCAAAGCGAACCGACGCGAGATATTTATCCACTTGGAGGGGAGTTTAGTTTTTTTCGTTTGTATAACGCACCGCGATGGCCTGCAGCCCCCGCAGGGCAAGGGAGGGAAATTATCGCGCTGCCAGTTTTGGGTAGAGGAGGCAGGCAGGCGTGGACACTTCGTTCGTTCGGTCGTCCACGGGGCACCACAGGAGCCAGCCGGTTCCTACAGCATGTCAAGTCGGTCTTCCAGTCCTCTGGACCCATCGTTCCGTCCTTTGGGCGAAAGATGAAGCGGACGTCAACTGGACGGAGAAAAGAAACAGCATCGCGGATGAGCCAGATCAGAGCGGGCCAGGCGGGTGTGATAGGCGGCCTGGAGCCACCAGCGAGCGGGTTAGTCGCTATTCGGTTAAGCTGCAAAGGTTAGGTATTTTTGTCAACTGGCGACCTATTCTTGGCCGTCAGGCAGGAAAAGCGGACTGTACAGTACAGTACGCCATCGAGGGGATGACGATGAAACAGACCGGATGAGGCGACATAAGTGGCAGTGGAGTCGGAACGAATGGTGCGGAGAGCGCGCTGAGTCGCTGACCTGGGAAGAAATGGACTCAAATGGGGGCTTTCATTAATGCAAGTGCAACCAGAGTGGGCACGTCTCGAAGAGTCATCACCAGCAGCACACGATGAACTAGAACTAGAACGCTGCCAGCTTCCGCCGCCGCTTGGGCATTTCTGCTGCCGTTAGCCCGGCCGTCAGTCAGTCAGTCAGTCAGTTCTGACCGCAGGACCGGACCAGCAGAGGCCAGGTCTCCACCGCTCGTGGTAAGTATAATTATAATTATTCAGGAGGCTGGGCCGATGAAAGAAAAAGAAATAGACAGAGCGAAAGGATCCGTGGTCGGATGGAAACGGGCCGTACCGACGGTCTCTGCTCTGATCACGATGAGGCGGGGGATGCGAATACTGTAATTGAGCGAAGCGACAAGAATGCTATGGCTATGGATCTCTTTCCAATCAAGCGCGGGCAAAGTGAAGCAAAAGCAACGCGAGATCCACTCGATTAGGTACATTTAATATTACAGAGCGAGCATTAGTACTCTGTACTGTACGCCGCATGCCACGTCGACGGGCCATCTCCATCTGCCAATCACGCGCCTCCAGGCATCTTCGCGCCTGGAGGGGCCGAGGAGTCGTCCTTTCTTGCTGTATGCCATGCAGCAGCACCCAAAGCAAGCAAGATAGCTATCCATAGCCGAGTTTGTGAATCTGATGGGGGTTGGGGAGGGGGGAGGGGCAGGGAAATTGCTCGTCCTACACTTCAGTTACTGTGGGAGAAGGATTGCACCAGGCAGTCTCTAGGATTAAGAATTCCTTCGAATTCCCGCCTCAGGATCATTCGCGATAAATCACTAATATTAATGCTAAGAATATTCCAAGAATACCTACAATTTCTCAGGTTTACGAGCAGCGTCTAGCGATACTACATTTCTCATCGCACAATGGACGGATCGTAGCTGTAACTATAGAGCGAGTAACAGTTCCTCAAGGACCTCTGCATCATATTCCAGTGGGAACATGCTATGCTTTCCAACATCATGTATGTATGTATCATGTAGTCTTGAGAGAACCCAGCAAACCGCGTCCACCCCAGAACTGAACGCCAACTCCACCCCAACGCCAAAGCCAGTTGCCAGAATCCGCTGTCTGTCTCTTCCCAGGTCGACCAGTCCAGGATCACGCACAGAACACGGTGGAGCAAGTTGAAGTGACTCCACAAAAGTCAAGCACGGGCACAATTCACAGAGAAAAACCTGAAATCGGAACCCGCCTCGAGGCTGTTGAACCTGCACGTTTTTGGTCGCAAAAAAACAGGACCAGATCCAACCAGATCCCTCAACGCATATATAGCCGCCACTCCCGGTGAGGCCGTTCCCAGAAAGAACCCGTGTCCAAGATATCGTGATCGCAGCTATCGGATCGGTGCTCTTCTGAGACTGCTTCCAAGTTGTTCTTCCGTTAAGAATACATGTACAGAAAATAAGGCAAAAAGGACATAACCAGGGAAGGAGACTTTTTTGTTTCAGATCATTAGCCGAGGCTGTGCTCGAGCTCGCGGTTAGTGAAACAGGTGTCGTCAGGAAACTCATTACCTCGTGCGCCGCGTCTTGAGACGGGGCTGAGACGCTATTCCAAAGCGTCAAACAATGTCCCACGCCTCTTCAGCAGCGTGACAGAATTTGCTACAGGCCACACTGGCACTCAGGCTATAGTTGCTGATACTGATCGTGTCGTCCTTGTACTCGTCCGCAAAGTTGTCCTTTCCCTTGGCCATGGCACCCACGAACACGCAGATGCTCTCTCGAGGTCCCAGGGACTCAATGTAGTCCCGGACTCGGACCACGGGTGCGTCGAAACTTAGCGTTACTTTGCGGCAGTTCGGTGGCAGATGGTCGGTGATGGGGTTTTTGATGACCTTCAACAGCTTCTCATTCGAGTTGGTGGATCGGATGGAGAGCCGATGAAGCAGCTGGACCATCAAACCGGCGAACCGCTTGAATGTACGAGGAATCCGGACCGTCGGGCTCACTTCGATCAGAACGCCCTTGGCGGTTTGGATATAGATCTGGAGCTTTCCGGCCTTGTTGATCGGGGAGTCGAGCAGGGTGAGGAGGCACTAGAAGTCAGACAAGCAAAGGTAAGCGCGAGAGAAATCACACGAGGCGCAAATGCGAAAAGGCTTATCAAACCTGGTGGGTGATGTCTGGTCGGGCCTCGCTGATGTCTCGGCCCATCTTACGCATGACACCAATGTGCTCGTCGCTGTTGAGAAGCGAGTACTTCTCTTCCCGACCGTTTCGACCCCCATGCGACGACTTGTACGTTTCCAGACTGGCATTTGATAGCACGACAATCAACCGCTTTGTGTCCTTGTCATGGGCGGGAATTGGCGTATGCTGTTCCGCGACGAGCTGCGGCAGCTCTGGAGGAGGGCATGACTGGGTCCCTGCAAGCCACGGGTGGTTACTCATCTCTGCATTGGGGACGGCTGAAATGCGCGACGGGAAAGAAGAGGGGCATTGGTTATGTGGGAAAGATCTGGAGGAGAGACAAAAGGATCGGGAGCAGAAAGCAGCGGTGAAATGCGGCACCGCTGATAGGCGAAAGAGACATGCAGTGAGGGAGAGCAATCGCAACCTGCAAAAGTCAATTCAACACTTACTTGGCCTCTTCCTCTTACCAGATTTCTCAGTGGAATTCGACATGATTTTGCAGTATTCTAGTGCAAGGATTCAACGGGGGTTCGTCGCAGCAGAGACTGGCTGGGTCACTGAATTTTTTTCTTTAGTGGGGGCGCTCAAACACAAAAAAATGAGCGGCAGAGGTGTGTTTGAGGATGCGGTGGCGAGGACCGTTTTGCAATTAAAGAGAAGGCGGCAACAGGACGAAACAGCGATCGAGAGACCAAAAGAAGGGAGAAGTTAACGCCAAAAGCACGAGGGAGAGGTAATGAAGAGAGAAAGCGTTGGGGGATGGAGTCGCATCAGAGGCTGGAGGGGGCCGTTAAAACTCCGCCAAGCGTTCTGTCGAGACTCGGGTCTCCGCTGGGCTATCTCCCTTGGGAAATGGTCGCGCACGCCGACGGGGCCTCCTCGTGTGCCATGTGGGATGCTGATCCGGACGCTGCCTTGCTTTTTATGGCAAGAGACGACCGGGCTAAGCAGGGACTATTCGCCTGGATTCTGTTTCTTCTGTTGATGCTGCTGTTGTTGTGGCTGGCGCAGTTATCCTAACGGACTGGCTCGAACTGATCCGTAATTTCACTCTCGAGAATCATCTCGAAAGTCGCCAGTATTATGGATGTCTATCTGTAATGTAGGTGCTATCACGATTACTGTGCAACTGGACTGGCTGAAGGACCATAGTATGTCGCGAGTCACCGCCTGACTTGGAGCTGGTCAAGGCTCTTCTTGGTGCGGAGGTGTCACCGCGGGATGTGAGCACGGAGTACTATTCGAAGCTCCAAATGCAGCTATGCATGACTCCACCACTGTGCGACAGTCCATGCTTTTTTGGTACGTCCATGCATTGACAGAAAGAAATACTTGGGCATTATCCCAGTAATTGTGCTTTGAGGCGGCCGGGTTATTGCGAAGTAACCACGACTCCCCTACCGTACAGTTCTGGCGTGGTAGCTGTGTCAAGTGCCTTCAGACCCGTGATCCCATTCTTCCACACTACGATGGGCACTCCACGACAGGAGCTCTGCCTAAGTAGCCTTTGATTATCGTGTACGACGAGAATCGACAATCAGGCGAGCTTGCTTTGTCTCAGAGAGTCTCAGAGAGAGAACGGCTCAGGAGCCAGGCATGAACAAGTGGCTAATGATGCTGAACGCTACGCCTGTAAGAAGTCATCTTCGAGAAAGTACGGCTAGGAATGCTTCCTCCTATCCTAATCTGCTGGTCCTTTAGGCAGCTTAATTACTCGGCCCAGTTGATCTCAACCTACGTGTAGATACTCGCAGAACTGTTCAAGAAATCTTTCTGACATATTCTGGATAGCTTGTAGGTCCATAAGGTGTCGTTCAGCCCATATAAGCGACGGTCTTTGGTCAAGAAGACTGGGAAACATTCTCAAGGGATCCTTGGATATCGAGTCCAGAACTTTATATGCCTTCAAAGCTGGGGATAAATCGCATCAGAACCTCGTCGACGTGTGTTGACCACCAGGCTTCCATTCCATCCAGTATTAGAATATTTCACGTAGCATTAGCAACTCTGACTTTTGGACCTTGCTCGAATGTAAAATCGTCCTTGACTACCTCTTTCGTGACAGTGAGTCCATTCTATTCATTGCGGACAATGTCACGGTGTGGCCATGACCAAACACATCAGATAGCTATGAGAACTCTTCACTTACGACATCCCTGCAGATAACAGTCATGTCTCATGATACGGCTCATCAATACGAGCCGGCTCAACGCATCCCTCAGCCTGGGGGTTGCAAGCTCCAACAGAAGGCAACAGATCTAGAAGCAAAGCGACATAATTGCTTTTCGTCTGCAACCAATCAAAGTGACGTTCGATTGAGACCACGGTTGTATCGTAGAGAGCTACGTCCCTTCCAAGGACTGCAAATTCACAGAGGAGAGGACTAGAAGACGTGACAGACTACTGCTTCGGAATGCTACATCTCAAAGCACAGTATGTCTTGACGCTGTGGGCAAGACATATGACGTGTTAGCCAAGGCAGCGATCTACAGCGGATGACTGTACAGGGTGAAGCAGACGCATAGGTACCTCTGTACAACGTAGTCGATGTCGTGTGGCTCGCAGCCCACGATGCTCTGGGGAAGGAGGCAGGAGCTGCGAATCCAACGCGGCTGGCGAAACAGTCGCAGGACCAGTCAGGAGGCTGGCCAGCGCCAACTGGGGAAGATTAGTCGCCGAGCCAGAGGCAAGGGAGTACGATAACCCTGCTAGGCTGATCTTCGATTCCAACAGTCAGGCTGCACTGTCAATCTGGCATGCCCGGTGGCCAGTAGCGAGGGGGGCGAGGCGTCCAGAAGGCTCCCGTCCCGCCGGGGTTGCTCCCAGTGGACGTTACAGCCCAACCACCTGGGTTGGCAGTCCCAAGCAGCGCAGCCTGAGAGATAAAAGCGCTGCGGTGGAAGCATCCTGCCTGGGCGAGACAATGACGGCCTTGAATGCCCGTCTGCTTCGAGTCCGCGGCGGACGGCGTCTCACACTCGGCCCAAGGTCAGCAGATTTGCAGCGGCGGTCAGATCCTCGATCCTCTTCGTCGGAGAGCCAATCGCACGGACAAGGTGAGCAACCAGCCCGGCTAGCCTGCACGAGGCATTTTGATGGACGGGGCTGGCAATAATTGTCGCCAGTAAGTGACGCGCGCACGGCACTGGGCGGCTGGTGACGTTTCGCTGGCAGCAGCAATATGACCGAATCGGGAATAGCCCTCGGCGCGTCCCCGTTCTTATTGAACCAGCGTATCCAGCAGATCCGCCCGTGCTACAAAAGTAAACAGTATTCTTCTCGCAGTCTTTGAGCAAGACGCCCATGCTCGCCAGTGCTTGATTCTGGGATCCTAGGGAGATGCCGTGGACGGTGACCAATTCATTCAAACGGTAAGACTCCTCGCGACGCGCCCTCCGTCGTGCTCAGCCCTCCGCTAACCGCCTTAAGGGGCCTCATGAAAACATACGGGAGACCGGTCCGGCGCGTCTTTGACGATGACTTCCATCCGGCTGCGAAGAAACGACGCGTCCAGGAGGCGGACGACTCGGACGATGCCGAAACCAATCTTCAGTACGCCATCCGCGAGTCTTCCGCCGCGATTATGTCGAGTCCGTCGCGTCGCACCTCCGTCATCTACTCCGAGGAGACGCAGGACGATGATCTCTCAACGCCACCCTCGTCGCCACCCCGTCTCACCCCTCCGCCAGTCAATACGCGAAAACCAACGTTCTCCTTTCTAAAACGCAAGCGGTCATCGACAAAAGACCCAAGCAATGGGTCGCCGTTGACCGAAGTCAATTCCAACAGCGTGCGCTCTTCGGCAGACCCGCCGAAGAAGTCGCAGAAACACCAGCAGCAGCCTGTGTTGAAGCAACTGCAGATCGATGCAGGCGCCACGGTTCGACGGAGTTGTTCATCCTGCGGGATGGAGTATGTGACGTCCAATGCCGAAGATGTTGAACTGCATCGCAAGTTCCACGACAGGAATTCGACGGGCATTGACCTGGGGAAGGCCTTCGTGAAGGCAAACGCGTCTCGTTGGGTCTACGAAGCCACGCGTTTCGACGAAGGCTACGTCGTGATCGTGGACCGAAAAAGCTCTCCTGCTGCAAGGAACCAGGCAAAGAAGGTTCTCGAGGTCGTCAACAAGGAACTCTCATCTCCTGATATCGATGATGCTGTCTTATGGAGCCAGACAGAGCCTCCAAAGCGCCTGAGGAAGAATGGAAAGAAGGAAGAGACGGATCGATACAAGGTGTTTCTACATATGAAGGAAAGCAGATGTGTGGGCTTGTGTCTCGCCGAACGGATATGGGAGGCGAAACCGGTGAAGCTCGAGCCTCCAAACGGCCGGACAGATCAGAGATCACAGAGCTCTTCCATCACCGTGCAAGATGAATCTCACCCGGCCATCGTCGGCGTCTCGCGCATATGGACGTCCGGTTCCTCTCGTCGGAAAGGAATCGCGATGGATCTGCTGGATTGCGTGATGAGTAATTTCATCTACGGATTGGATATACCCAAAGAGCAGATTGCCTTTTCCCAGCCGACAGAGAGCGGGTTACGATTGGCAGAAGCGTTCTTCGGGACTGACGAGCCGTGGCATGTGTATACCGAAAGCTAGTATCTCAGAAAGATTATTATAAGTTGGATCTCATAAGGGCTTTTTTTGGGTTAGAATCGGGGGAGGGTAAAGTCGATGGGACTGGGTTTTCTCTTTGTGGACCTCTGAGTTCGCCGTTAATGGCGGTTTGTATGTAATTGTATCATAAGTTATTTTAGTGCTTCCAGTCCATTTGGAATGGGATAGTGGCCAAGTTGTTTCAAAGACAAAGTTGGCATCAGTCATGTTGGGCTGTATTTTCAAATCGTCTTTGTCGCGCGGGTGGACAAGGGCGACTGAGCTGAATTGCCGAAAGCGGCGGTGCGCGAGCAACTTCTCGCCGCAGCTCAGCAAGCTTGCAACTTATCCTGCCGTTTTCTTATCTCCAACCCACCGACCCCTTTGCCCCGCTCTCATGCTCGGACCTGCGCAGGTGCTCTGCGATGTCTGGATCAAATCCTTTCCGCCGTAGCAAGTCGATAGCAAAGGACGAGTCCTTCCCGCCTCCTCCGAGCGGCCACGCGGTACCACACGGGACGACCACAGCTTCCCCAAGGATTGTCGATGGTGTGTGTTCATCGTCCTCTGGGCAATGAGTTATCTATATTCATGTGATCCGTATTAACTGCTGCAGATCATGAAGCCCACTCCTCGTCTCGCCCTAAGACAGTGCGCATCGCGTCCCCTCCAGTCCCTTCCTCGCCTACCGAGTCCATATCATACTTCCCCAAGGTTCCTTCGATAGCATTCGGAGCCCATCGCGGCTCACCACCGCCAGAGAGCTACGATTTTGCGTCTTCAGATGATTCTGCGTCCAACCCATTCAATCCGGATTCATCCGCGAGCGACCATGATGATGGGGAGTTTGAGATCACAAACCCCGCGAGACAGAACGCTATATCGTCAGGGATTCCCTCTGACAGCAATGATCGCCGGGCTATGGGCACAGGGAATGGGACATCATTGAGCTCTCCAGACTCGCAGCGGGCAGTTCCAATTGAACCGAACTATCCGTCGAATGCTGAGGCGAAATCAAGCGGGAAGCCCAAAGCTGCTCTTGACGTGGATGCGTTTACTCGACTACTTTTAACGGGTGATCCCGGGAAGCAACCGGAGACGACGACATCTAACAGACCCGGTGAACGGTCTCACTTTGATTCCGGACTTGCCAGTGACAATAGCAGTATCAGCAATGCTGACACCACGGCCGGATCTCGACCGTCCACCGAGTCTCGTCCTCGCACGTCGCACGAGACGCCGACATCAGAGGCAGAAGAGATGCGTTCAGATTCACATAGGCAATCCATCTCTGGGGAGAAGAAGTCGAAGCCTCCGCCACCCAAGACTCGCCATGGCAAGTTGATCAACCCCAATAGTTCGTCTCCGGCGTCTACCACCCAGCCCGCTGAAGCACCTCCACCATCCCGTGTTTCTCATCGACAGAGTTCACCGTCGGAAACTTCAGGTTCACTATCTTCTGAGCCTCGCTATTCAGTACCCTCGCCGCCGTCGGCGAAGTCTTCCAACATATCTGATGATGCTGGGACGACGGAGTCTTCTTCGCTCAAGAGGGCTCCGTCCCAGTCAAAGAGACCACCCACCCCGCCACTGACCCGCCGGCACAGTAGCAAGGCTGCTTCGCGAGACAAACCTCGTCAGATATCGTTGCCCTCTGGAGGACTGGGGTCGCAGGCAACCGGCCCAACGAGTCCTAGCCTCAAGACCCCACCACCACCACCGTCACGACGTCACGATAGGCCTCTAAATACTCTCCATTCAGAAGCATCTTCCCAACTGAAGTCTCCTCCTTCACAGGATCCTTCGACCCCGTCGAGTCTTCCACCGAGCGAAGATTCCGCAACGGGAGTGGCATCACCACCCTCCCGGAACCCATCGGTCAAACGAACACCGTCTGGTTCTACGACGAATGGATCCAATATGCCGCCGCCTCCCCCTCCTCCACGGCGCATCCGAGCCTCGAGCAAGAGCAGCACGGGCAGTGCGAATCCTACATCGGCGCAGCCTGACCGGGATGAGGAACGAGGTGATGACATATGGCCTCGTCCGTCGAATGCGGAAGACATCCTGGCAGATCTATCCCGACTTCAGAAGGAGGTCGATGATCTTCGGGGCCGCTATGAGAGCCGCCTGGCTAGTCATTAACGATTTACGAGTGGACGCCTTTTTTCAAAAATACCCATTGGAAAACACCACTTGCTCCATCAGAGGTGTATTTGATTTCATTGTTTTCATTTTGTTTATATATTTTTGGGAGGGCATGTCATCGTCCCGATAGAAGGGATCGGCATCTCATCGATGTGGATTACCAGATTCCAAAGGACCAACTTGGTCGCACCACTGGTTACGACAGGATACGGAATGAAGAAGCCCGGCACATATGCTCACAGGCAATAAATGGTATATAAATATAGTATGCATAGCACGCTGAGTTGAAGTATGAGGAATACCAGATAGATCTTGCTGCTAAGACCGGAATCCAGAACATAGCTCTCCGCCTGTGGAACAGCTTCAGAAGGCTAATGCAGGCTTGTAACTTTGTCCTCTCCGTAGTGGATTATTGCCCGTGTCTGGAGCTGGCAAACGTGGATGGCGAACGTGTAACGTGTCTCAGTCACAATGGCAAAGAGTTGGCGATAGATCACACAATTGACCATCGTTCTCGTTCTTTGTCTGCGTGCTGAGTGCTGTGCTGCCTGCGTCAACGACTGCTGGGCCATGACGTCGGCCGGCCGCTGCCATTCGCTGCCCGATTAGTCGATGAGCTGACCGCGATCTCTCTCTCTCCCCCAGCGATCGCGAACCCCACCGGCTCACCACTAGTTGCAAGTTGCAGCCTGCATGCTGCTCGGACGTCCTGCATACCTACTTACATTCGAGGCCTTGTTGATGGCAGCGCGCGAATTGATAGGAAACAGCCTTTTTCTCCAGAAACACGCCCCTCTCCATCCATCTAACTCTGGCGTCCAGCTCTCCGTCTCCCGATTCCCGCAAGTGACTGACCCAGTCCAGTCGACCTATTCAATAACCGGCCAGTAGCCGATCGAGTCTACATACAGTGCCGTCTTTTTTGATTCTTAAGGCATCGCCTCGAGGGCGTCTGTGTCGCGTCATATTTTTCTTTCCTAGATTGGAAGCACTTCCATTCCAGGTGCGCTGGCTGGGCAGCCAAAGCATTCCGAATCGGGTGCTCTTGGACGACCAAGACCCAGGTTTCTATCTCGCTTCAATCAATCGCCTTCCTCTGCCTGCGGACACTGTCTCTTGTACAGTACCTGTGTTTTTCATACAGGAATAACGGCAGCAGATGTCGGGCGGCAGAATGTCCACTCCTACTCTGATCAACCTGCCACCTCCACCGTCTGACCCTGTCACTCCTTCTGACATGGGCCCGTAAGATGCCATTTCATTATCTCCTTTTTCTACTGTGAAGTCATGTTCGTGGCGACGCTGACAGGTCTATTCAACCAATTCCAGAGGCACCCCAAACTCTGGCACGACTTCGTTGTCTGCATTGTCGACGACCGCGATCAAAGACGGCCACCAAGGCCAAACTCACTCGCATAGCCGCCATGCGCACCACTCTTCCACTGGGTCTGCGTCATCGACCACGATCCTGGATGCAGAGCGCGCCGATCGCATTTCGCGTCTCGCTGGGCTGGAGCGCGTGGCTGCGGCTCGCGCTGGTGGCTCGCAGAATGCTGCTGCTGCTGCTGCTGCTGCTGCTGCTGCTGCTGCCGCTGCCACAAACCTACCCTACACTCCCGGATACTTTGATAACTTCCCGCATATTAAAGAGAGAAGCACGGTCGGAAGTGCCAGCGCCACAGGCAGTGTAGGTGGACGCACGACCTGGGCGAGTGCCAGTAGCGATGCGTTCGATCCAGACAAGATGAGCGAAGATCCTGACGACGGGGTCTCCAGTGTCGGCGGGATGAGCGACGAGGGCAATGCCAGCCTGGTCGGGTTTGGCGAAGGTGCCAGCAGCACCGTCAGCGGCCCTGTTTCCAGCGCCAGCATCGGCAGAGTGCCTTCAGCTGGCGGTCGCCCAGGATCCTTCGGCAGCCCGTCGACCAACAACAACCGGGCCAGCGCCGTGCCCTCATACCTGCAGTATGCCACCGGAAGTCCCATAAGCGGCGGCCAGCAGCGGCCTTCGTCACCATCGCCGATCGGGTCGAACACCCCGGAACCGTTCCAAGACGCGCGGATGATCGACGGCGTGACATATGACCCGGATATCATCGACACTACTGTTCGGCCCCCTCCTCATCTCGTTCCACTGCGAAGCCAGTCTTCTGGTGGAGAAAGTTCTGATCTCTCTGGGCAGATGGCTCAGAGTACGTCGATGGAGCAGGATTCGCTGAGGTAGGGGCCTGCGGAGTCACCAGTTGCCACTAGGGTCAGTCCTGCGATAGCCGATGGTGACGGGCATTCTCTTCTTGGTTTGTGTTTCTTATTATTGGAGGACTTCCTTTTTTTGTTCTGTTTTCATGGGTCACAGGCTTTGCTTTTCTTTATGGTATCCTTTGTGAATTCTCGCGTAGAGCTGTGGAGACTCACTGTCATATGATGGAACAGTACATAGTTAGGGAGGGTACTACTTTGGCGCAACTGGCCAGGAGCCATCGGATTCAAGGAACTACTACTTACTACTACTGTACGGAGTATTGTATTGTATTTTCTATTGTATTATTTTATTGCTAGGAAGGATTGTTGATGAATAATGATACCTGAGATGATGATAATGAATAAGTGATTGATGATGAATGACCATCCGAATGTCAAGCTGTTGAATCAGTCTGTATATTATATTCCTTGTCGAACTCGAACCTCGTATTGTGTTGACTTTTGTATATAGATGTTGACACCCGGCGGCCCATGGTTCAATCATTCATCGATTCAGGAGGAGATCGAGACAATGGACAATTGGTCTGGAGCCACGACAATAGCTCTTTTGCCACGAGCAGAAATTTCTACAACTATTGTCCTTGTATAAATTATATTTATTTTTATTTTATTTTATTTTACTCTATTTCATTTTATTTTAATTTTTGTTAAAAAAAAAGAATACAGTAGTTAAAGTAGCTGAGTTGCAGCCAAGCTCTCCCGCCGCCGCCGTTCTTCCGCCTCTGCAAAGCTCCGACTTTTTTTGCTCTCTTTCCTCTTCGCTGCCACCCGCTCGCCCTCTACGCCTCCGTCCGCTTTCCACCCTCCACCCTCCCTCCTCCCCCTCTTCTCGCGCTGAAGTCTTCCCGTCCATTGTTCGTTGCTGGCATTGACTTGTCAAGCACGGGGGATTCCAGGACCGAAGACGCCTTACCAGTTGTTCTGACCGCAAGCCTCCAGCAGCTTGTTTCGCGTGTGCGTGTGTGTGTATACACCTTTTTTTGTGCGCCGCTGCTACCTCCGAACCTCAGTTGGAGAAGAAGGAGAGAAGAAGTGATATTCCCTGTTGGTTGGGCGCATAGAAAAGAAAGAAAGAGGGGAAAGGACTGAGATTTTGCGTTGTTCACGCTAAACTTTTCTTTTCACTCTCTCGCACACATACACACACCTGTTGTCAGTCTGTGTTCTGGAGAGATATTGTCACATATACGGATTCTTCACCAACGCCGATCTTGCTATAATTTTTTTTCGAGATTTTTTCTTCGAAGAGTCCGCGTGCTGCTTTTCGCTGTGGCTTTGAATAGTCATGGCGCCTCCTACACAGATTGCTTGTGAGTTTTTTTCTACCGTTTCCTGCGTTCCATGCCAAGTCTCCGCCTGTTGTTGTGAGCTCGTTCCTGACTCGACGCAGTTCGAACCCTCAAGGAAATTGGCATACTGGATGCCGCTCCTGTATACCAGCCTGTGCCAGGGTTTGTGAGGTATGAATGTCCAGTCATGACGCTTTCCGCACGGATCTAGCTAATCTCGCCCTTTACAACAGGCCTGAAGGCAACCTCCGCTGCTGCGCTTATTCTCCATGCGGACGATATTTCGCATGGGCTTCTCCGGAGCGGTATGTCTGCTAATCGTGACTGTGGACCCGGGTGTGCGTGCGTCCTAACATATGGTTGTTTTCTAGTGTCACCATCGTCGATCCCTCCGACGGCCACGTCATCACCACGCTTCCCGCGGAGAACGTGTTCGAACTCGGCTTCTCGCCACTGGGCACGTACGTGATAACCTGGCAGCGGCCGTCCAAGGACGAGAATGGTGACGCCGTCAAGAACCTGAAGGTCTGGCGCGTTGAGGGGAGTGCTCAAGGAGGTGCCGGCGAGGGCGGCGACGAAAGCTCGATTGTGGGTCGTTTCGTCCAGAAGTCGCAAACGGGCTGGAACTTGCAGTACACGTCTGACGAGCGCTTCTGCGCCCGCGCCGTTACGAACGAGGTCCAGTTTTTCAAGAGTGACGACCTCTCGACCGTCTGGAACAAGCTACGTGTGGAGGGTGTGTCGGATTTTGCGCTCTCGCCCGGGAAGACTCACTCGATTGCCGTGTTTGTGCCTGAGCGGAAGGTTCGTCCTGCATCCGTCTGGTTTCAATGGTGGCAACGCGACTAATTTCTTCTCCGTGCAGGGACAACCGGCTGTGGTCAAGGTGTTCTTAATCCCTCAGTTCGGCACTCCAGTCTCTCAGAAGACCTTTTTCAAAGGCGACAAGGTCCAGCTGAAATGGAACAGGTCGGGCACGTCTCTGATTGTGCTCGCACAAACGGACGTCGACAAGTCCGGCAAGAGCTACTACGGAGAGACGACCCTTTATCTGCTGAGTGCGACGGGTGGATTTGACTCGAGAATCGATCTTGGTAAGTCTTGCTTGCGAGGCGCTCGCTTGGATGGTTGGTTTACTAACAGGTTACCAGACAAAGAGGGCCCAATCCACGACGTGACGTGGTCCCCCAACTCGAAAGAGTTTGGGGTGGTATATGGCTATATGCCTGCCAAAACCACGATTTTCAACCTTCGCGCTGTGGCAACACACAGCTTTCCTCTGGGGCCTCGCAACACGATTTTGTTTTCTCCCCATGGTCGCTTCGTTCTGGTTGCGGGCTTTGGCAACTTGGCCGGCCAGATGGATGTGTACGATCTGGAAAAGAACTACAACAAGGTCGCCACTATTGAGGCATCCAATGCCACTGTTTGCGAATGGTCGCCTGACGGAAAGCATATCCTCACTGCTACGACGAGTCCCCGGCTGAGAGTTGACAACGGGGTGCGAATCTGGCATGTCAGTGGCAACCTGATGTACAATGAGGACATGAACGAGCTCTACCAGGTTTGCTGGCGACCTCAGAGCACCACTCAGCACCCTCTCGGGGACCCATTCAACCCCGTTCCAGCACCCCATTCCTCTGCTGTCGAGTACCTCGCCAAGAAGAAGACGCCCTCGAAGCCCGCAGGTGCTTACCGGCCACCTGGAGCTCGTGGACAAGTGACGCCATTGGCGTTTAAGAGAGAGGACGAAGGCGGTGCGGCTTTTGTGAGGGACGGGACGCCCTCCTCGGGTGCCGGCGCCACAAATGGGTTTAGTAAACCCCGGAGACAGGTGCCTGGCGCAGAGCCCGCCGAGTATGTGCCTCCGGGAGCTGCTCCCGGAGGTGGGGTGGCTCTGCCACCCGGTGCTGAGCCGGAGGAGAAGCAGCTGTCCAAGTCGGCGGCGAAGAACAAGAAGAAGCGCGAGGCCAAGAAGGCGAGAGAGAATGCGGAGAAGAACGCCAACGCCAACGCCAGCGCCGCGGGTACGGAAGGTACCCCAGAGCTGACGCCTAGCCCTGAGCCTCGGGGCCATGAGCGTAGCCGCTCCAAGGGCAACAACCGAGGCCGGGCAGAAAGCAATGCCAACCGACCCAATGGGGCCCCAACGGGGCCTGCGCAAGGTAATAATAACAACAACAAGGCGAATGCCAAGCCTAACAACGGTGCAGCTGCACCCGTAACGGACGGAGCAACGGACAACACTCCTTCTGCCACGACAGGAGCGACAGGAGGGGCTGCCAGCACGCCGCAGGACAAGCGGATCCGCAGTCTCCTGAAGAAGATCCGCGCGATCGAGGAGCTGAAGATGCGGCTGGCAGCGGGCGAGAGGTTGGAAGACACGCAGATGAAGAAGATTCAGACGGAGGACGCGGTTCGCAAGGAGCTGGAAAGTTTGGGCTATAATGGGTAGACCCCGTCACCATTCCCTCTTTTGCCATTATTAATATAAATAGGCGGGGGGGAATCCCTCGGATTCAAGCAAGTGTCATGTTGAATAGCAAACACAAACACCAAAACCTGGAAATGAACCCTAGTTACCCTACCTAGCTAGGATCAGGAGGAACCCGCTCTCTGTCGTGAATCTGAATCTAGAAGATTTCCCCCAAAAAGAAGTACTCCGTACAGTCAGTACTGTACGTAAATATATATATATAGCTTTGCTACAGTACGTCGCAACAGCTTCCCATGTCGTGTAGTAATTCTATAAGAATACTTCATTGCCAGCAATGACACCCCTATACAAAGAACTATTAATCTGAACTTGATTGAGTTCACTGTACATACATACATATCTGGCCCTCTGAGAGCTACCTACCTAGGTACGTAGAGGTATACAGTACAGTACAGTACAGTACAGTGCAGTACGTAGGATGTTATTATTAAGTATTGCCCTTAGCTAATATAAAATAATTTATTATTATAATACCTATGCTAATATAATATGAAATTGAATACTAATATAATTAATCCCTGTTATTTATATGTAGAAAGTCTCTCTTTCTCTCTCTCTCTCAGGTATACCTAGACCAGGGATTTATTGTCTTTTTCGAGAGTGATATTACATGTAAGGCTTGTATGTAGGACTTACTGTATGTATGTACTGTACAAAGAGTTTTTTTTTGACCATTAGAGGGGTGTTTATAATAATAGCTACCTGGTAATATGTCAGACATATTGATTATCTAGCTAGCTAGTTACCTAACTACCTTCCTACGTTAGGCAGGTAAACAACTATTTATTTAGTGCGAGTATCAATCAGTCAGGGATGAACAAACGAACGAACGAATGAATGAATGGGCAAGTAATTAATTAAGGACTGACCTTATATACGAAGTATATAAGGTGAGTACCTATAAAAAATAAATGAAGTGAGCAGAATTCCCTGACTCATCCATCCAGCTCATCACTTCACCCGGAGTAAGCTAGCTGCTCGCAGAGATAAGATATTTTCCTTTTCTTTTTTTTTGATCTACGTAGGAAGATGCCTACGGTACATTACATATGGTATGGTATATAAATATAGTTTTTCTCTTACGTATATGTATATGTGTATGAATGTACCATTTCATATTGTCCTGCTTAAAAGCCATATCTATTCCCCCCTAATTTACCAGGCCCAAGTTCCCCCTTCTTCTCGCGCCTCCTACATACTTTTTATTTTCTTGTCACCCAATGTGGGGTTTGATCTTCACTCAGCACGGAAGAAGAAAAAACAGACTGGAGCCAAGCAGTAGTAAGTAGTAGAAACAGCACGAGAAAGAAAGAAAGGGAACCGTCGTGGACCAGATAAATTTTTTATGTTTTTCAGGGGAAATAGATACCAGCTTTGTTTGTATGGAGCTGAACCATACTGCAGGAGGTTGGTGAAAATGGCAGACTTTCATGAAAAAACTTGATGTTTCGCGCCGAATACAAAGCTTATTCCTTCGCTGTTTTCCCGCACTCCTCTCTTTGAGTGAACAAGGAGAGGGAAATGCGAAGAAAGAAGGAATTTCAAGGCATGGACCTCGCCTTGCGCTCCACCTGACGGCGCGATTTGGGATGGAAGAGAATGGTAAGGAAGGAAGGAAGGGAATGAGTGAGGGAATGAGATTCAGACAGAAAGGATATCATTATTTTTGGTAGTAGAAGAAGGCTGTAGTGGAAACTCCTGGGTATCAGATTTCATTCCAACAAATACTTCGCTCGTTCATTCGCTGTCTGCACATTCGCTGCGGCTAGGTGAATACACGAGTCCGTTTCAATGGGCTTCTGAATCGACTGCCCCCCGCCATGCCGCTCAACACCCGGTCCATCCCGTCGACATCCAGCTCTCCCCGTCGAAGCATCAGCTGATCGGTTTCGGCAGAAGGCTGTTGCACTTTCTCGTGCAACTCTGCCCCTGTCTTCGCTTGCTGCTGCGGTCCCGATCCCGTCAGCTTCGGGGCGAGAATGATCAACCGGTGCTCTGCAGTGATCAAAGTATCGAATTCACGCCGGTTCGCTTCGCGTTCCTTCCGGGCCGCAGCTGGCAGGTGGCTGATCCCGGTCAGCCTCTCTCCTAGCAGATGTACATTACCTATGTTAGTCACTCTGCAGCGGCTAGAAGCGTCAAACGTTCCCGTAGACTTGACCGCGTTTCGCCACAGCGACAGCAGACTGGGAATCGTAGCGATCTGGTCACCATGGCGGATCAAGATCGACTCTTCCGGAGCGGGATCTCGCGATGAGTTGATCTGGACAACTGATAGTTCGCCACACAGGGACGGTGAAGACGGACTTTGTGCGCCCTTGAAAAGGCTATCTTCTCGAACACGCCGTGTTGAGGGTGTCATTGGCGCAAACTTGGCCCGCTGGTCTGGTGGCGTTGGCCCGCCACCACCGACCTGAGACTTGCTCGTCTGCGGGTTCCCAACAATGCGGCCGCTGACCGCGAACGAAGTCAAGGACCCTCCAGTAACGCCATGGATACTGGACTGACCGCGAAGTGGTCCAGGCTCGCTTCCAGGGCCTGATCCCTCGACATCCCAGACGCCCCATTCACCATCAGCCAGGAGAACCATTACGGCTCTTCCAGCGAGAACCCACGCGGCATCAATAACCGTTTTTCGACGGCCAAACCCATCTGCAGACTGTTCAAATCCTGGATACAATGTGATCAGCCATCTCCCTTCGGGCTCGACTGTCTCGCTGTCAGTGCCTCTAGAAGTTCGGTTAGATTTGGTGGCTAGGCAAGACAAGATCTTGACGTAGCCATCCGGGAACGCCACAAGCAGATTTGCATGTCGCTCCGATGGGTATGGTGAAGGGTTGAACGAAATGCTCTTTGCCGGGGCAGGTAAAGCATGTCTCTGTATAGGGTGGAGATGCTGTGGCGAAAGAGTGAAGCTGGTCTCTCCGCGCGTCGAACGTTCAATGACAGGAATTCGATACACAAGAAGTGTTCCCGTCGCCTCCGCAGCATGCGTGGCGACAAGGAGCTCCCACTTTTCACCGTCCCGAGCCGGTGCGGATTCGACCCTGGAAAAGGAGGCCCGCCTCTGGGATCGGCTGCGTGTCGAATCGTCTCCGCCTGCCTGACAAGTGAATGTAATGGATACCCCTGTTGGAATTTCATTGTGAGATACACTGCCGCTCATTGACAGAGTCTGGATTCCCCATGTCGAAGGTTCAGTGTTTGTGGGATGCGGAGGAGTGAGCGGCACGACCACAACCCTCGTTGATGAGTCCGCACAGATCGCAGAGACAACAATCATTTTGGTCAGGATCGGCGGGAACGCTTCGAGTGATGAGCGCGCCTTCTCCGGGAGGAAAGAAGGGACGGCCACGCCGAGAACTTTCATTCCCAACGGTATGTCAATATGCCGGAGAATCTGTTCGTACGGATGGGATGCATCGACCTCTGTCTCTTCATCTTCAAATTGCACGGCAGGTTGTTCAACCTTGGCCGGTTCCGGCGCAGGCTCTTCATCATCGGAATCAATGATCATGACAGCGTCGTCATGGGTGCCATTGGGCTGCCTCTCCTCCGATTTCTCGGAGACAGCTGGCTTCTGTAGAGGCAGAAACGACCGCCCTCCTCTCCAAATTATTCTGAGCCCATTCTCATAGCCGTAGATGACTATAGCAGAGCCGTTAGGAGCAAGAACAGGATAAGGTTTGGCAGCGTAGACGCGATGCGGGAGTTGATAGCTGTAAACCAACGCGTGATCAGCAGGGACCAGTAGAGAACAGCCAGCCAGCTGCAGGAAGCGCATACCTCAGTTGTAGCCCATCATCCCTCCGACGTACAAGCGGCCTTGCGAGAGAACTCGACATGGTTGCGGCTATGAGTGATGGCTTCAGGGCTGGATCCACTAAAGTGCTGAGGTGGAATCTCTAGGCAACAGGCACGAGTTCAACGCATGGTTTCAAGTAGACAACCCCCCTGAAGTAGATCAACAATACTGGGGTGGGTGGTGCGTGAAGGGTTGAGGTGAAAGTTGTGAGTGGGAGATTCCGCCCTGGCTTTTTTCGATGGAAGAAAACCAAGCTGTCGCGCGGCGCGTCACGTTCTCCGCACTGCGGAACAGAAGCTCCAACACTGCACCGTCGGGTGCTGTGACAGCACCACGAGCGCTGGAAACTGAGAAACGGCCTTCGAAATCAAGAGAATGGACCTGGCTCGTTTCCAGGCTCCCCAAGCAGGACTGACCTCGGGAGCTTCTCAATATCCGCGGCGACAATGGCAACGGTTCGATCACTCGGTCTTCACCAGCCCCCCGCGCTTCCTTTCCTGATAACTGAATCCCTTCTACCTCCAGACCCATCAGAGGATGACTATGTGTGGCAGACGCTAAATGTCGAGGATCCATCTGGAAAGTCTCACGACGAGGATATTATCTACACTAAAACCTGCGTGGTTTGGAGCCGAGGCGGCGTCGTGAAGAGGGTCTTCAAGGTCGATATTGAGAAGGAGGAAATACGACATGTCGTCCTTACATCTTTCCCATCGGGGAAAACCAACAAGCCTGCTGGTCTGTCGTCTCAGTTGGCCACTAGGGATTGTTCTGCAGGTGGACGACAGGACGGACAGAAGGAAAAGGAGCAACACGATGAAATCCCTAGGCTGATCTTGAACGCCGATGGAGATGGACTGGCTGGCGATTTGAACGGTGTTTCTAGCGACCTGTCTAGAGCCTTGGTCGTGGTTCTTAAGACTCAGGCACACATCTTCTTCTTGGCTGGGAACAGCCATGTTGTACCTTTGCCCTTTGAAGTGGATTCTGTCTTTGCGTCTCCACGAGGTTTGGTGTTTCAAAGAAAGATTCATGACGAAGGCTCTGATGCTCTTCCCACGGCGCCGCCAAACTCTTTCGTATCTTCGCAAGCGCAGGCAGATTTTCGGTCGTCTCAATCCTTTCGATCATCAAGAGGACAAAGCTCTCGTCTATCTTCGACGGTTTCTCCGGCTCAACCATCACGATGGGCTCCAAAACATGATAATAATGCAGATCTACCCAGGGCCTTTTCTCTAACCGATCCTCATTCTGAGATGGGTTTAGTTGTTGCCAATCAATCCTCCCGCTCTGCATACGGCGAGCCTAAGGGGTTTGACACTCTCGACCCTGCCGATGAGATAGTATACGTGTCCGACACAAACGAACTGAAAGGTGTTGACCGGACCCTGGCTGATTTCCCCCTGATATTTGTCGTTACATTAAATGCAAACACAGGCCTATATACCCTTTGGACAGCACGGTATAGGGAAGAAGAGAGCAGGCAAGATTCGAAAAGGCGAAAGATGCCATTGGCTAGCGGTGCCCGTTCAAAGAGGCGCAGCTCTCATTTTGGTATGGCAACAGGTGCAACTACCCCGGCAGTTCGTCCCTCTGGCATGAGAGAAAGCTTTGGAACCGCACGAAACATGTCGGGAGTGTCGTACCCCCAGGGTTACCAAGTTGAAGAAAATACAAACGAAACAGATCTTGCTTCCCAGATCGGTCATGAATTTGGAGACATTGGCGGCGTATCTCTGAAGACATCAAGGCGAGTGAGTTCATTGCTTGCCAGAGCTGATCTCGGGTCCAGCCAAGACAGAACGACTTTTTCAGACCTTGCTACTGGAAATCCAAGCAACTCTGCTACGTATGGTAGCTTGCGGCAATCGATTGGAGGTTTCAGTAATCGAGCAAGTTTCGGATTCAATCCTAGAAGTTCTTTCCCCGCTGGAAATGCTTCGGTGTATAGCACCAATAGCAGCTTCCTCGATGCTCCTGTTGATCGGCTCCTGGAAGAGCTGAACAACGGTGGTGACTTTGAAGGGTTTGAAAGCATGGATCTTACGGGATCAACGTCAGGCCTCCCCAAAGAGATGATGCTTCGAAAAGTGGAAAGCTTTTCGTCAGGCCTTTCTCCTGGCATCTCGTTTAGTGACTTGAAGAACTCTCGCAAACCAAAGATATTCACCCTTCGACCTAGTGGTGGCGAGGACTTGCGGAAGGGAGACTCGACAGCCATTGCTCTTTGCCTGCTCGACCGTAACTCAAAGTCTCTCGTTGTGATGAATCTGAAGATTGAGAGGGTTACTTTGTCTGCAGAAGACCTAGCTTATGCCCGAAAACAAAGGAAGGGACACAAAACAAGCCAACAGTCTTTAGTCGTCCATGCAACAGACATACGGCGCGGTTCCAATATACTAGACGCTTGTAAGATTGTCGATGGCGATGTTTCTCGAATACTAGCATTGAGCTCAACCATGGACGGTCGAGGCGAACTGACGCTCCAATCTCCATGGAGTACACCAGTTAAGATCGACCTGCCCTCTAATCTGTTGCTGCATGAGCCGCATCGGATGTCGATTCCTAGACTATCAAATCGCCCACAAGATACCGGTCTGAAGAGAGTCATAGGCGATTCCTCGCTCAAACTGATCGGCGTGGACCATCCATCTTCTCATGGTAAAGTGGACGTGATCGATTCTCAAAAGAGGCGGCATCGCATCCAAATTCAGTTGCAGCCGAGCAATCCCCTTGTCAAGAAGATGTTGGCAGTTTGCCGGTTTGTCCTCAAAGACTCGGCGGGAGCTGGAGATGGATTGATTGTTGGCTGGTGGGAGGTGCTGAGGTGGCTTCGTTCCAGAGAAGTGAACGAGAATGACTTGGAATGGACTGCAATGGTGGTCGTCCTCTTCACAATGGCGGTTGGGTTCATCGAGTCCAGTCAACCGCAGCCTGCGACTCCGGTCAAGCAGACTCGGAGAAAGAAAAGTCTCTTGCGATCGAGTAGCGGCAGCTATGTGGATCTGGAGAGCTGGAACTCAATGTTAGAGCAGATGGCAGGGTCATCCGGAATCTCCTCACCATGGATGATGAGTAGTTCCTGGGCATGGGTTTCAGAGCAGGACGGTGACGATTTTGCTGGCTCGCCTCGGCACGGAAAGTCTCCTAAAATAGAACAACGGCCTTTTGCTGCATCTTCTGCAGCGTCGAGGGATTATCCAAAGAATTCCTACTTGATTCGATGTGCCAGTCTGGCACGAGAGTTCTTTGAAAGCCCGCAGGGCGAAGCTGCTTCTGGTTCAGAAGGCTACCTTCCCACTGCCGTCTCTCAGAACCAAAACACTCGGCGGACCGCCTTATGTACTATCCTTATTGGTCTGCACCTCCTTCGAGAGGAACAGAAGCTTTCCGTGTGCGATAGCGAGTCTTCCTACCGGGAGATGGGCCTGCTAGCTCCTGTTTTGGCCCAAATTGGAGGATGGCTGGGCTGGCCGTCGTGGACGTGGAAGGATGCCGGTTATTATCTAACCGAAATGGCAAGCATGGATCGGTGGCTTTTTGAAGACACACGCATATCGGGTCTCGAAGTCCCTGCAGAACCTTTCGCTCCTCCTTCGATATTTGCTTTCTTAAAAGACTCTTGGAATCAGCCTTCATCTTCCTTCTTCACTCTTCTGGACATTGTTTCCGCCGCAGACCGCGAACCTGAAAAGGGGAAACTTTGGCATGAGGCGTTTAGTCTAACTCCTAGGACCCTGGCACTGACTGGTTTCATGTCCGAGGTCAGCCAGAAATCGACCACTGTCGATAGGACAAAGCTGTTGCTTCGTTGGGGCCTGACAAGTAACGTTATTGAAACTTTCCCCGAGGGTGTCAGCGCACCGCTTTACGAGATCATCGTGCGCTGCCAGATAAATCCTCCAGCATCGTGGACTGCAGAACTCGTGGAACTGATCGATCGAGACGATCTTTATTTGTCCATGAATACCGAGAATTCCATGGCACCAGTGTCGCGGTCCCAGCCTGCTTCAAGCCACGATGCTATACGCGACTTCCACCACATTGGAGCTTCGACATTGGATGTCGACCTGACCAATTCTTTTGAGGCTTCCATCGAGGCGGATCGCATCGCCATTACGAAATTGATCTTCCGGGAGGATCGGAGATTTGTGGAAGCATCCAAGCTTTTGAACCAGTCCAAAGCTCCGGTGGCGCAGTGTATTCCTGAGCCTGAATGGTCTGATTCCGACCTATTAGAAGCACAAAAAGAGGTGGTCCAGCTTGTCACTCTGAGGACCCTTTCTGTTCCTGCGGGTCGGGGCATGTTCATGTTCAGTGGTCGCTCGCCGTTATTGACCGAAAAGCTCCCAATTCCATCATTCTCGCTGCAGTGTGTTATGAAACCGTCAAATGTGACCATTAGCGCAGACCGATCCCTGTTCAGTGAGGAGAAGGTCTGCTGGGCCTTCTTTCATAATGGTGCTGCAACGGGTCTTGCTATTTCAAGGGCTTCTAAGGGCATTGACACCTCCTGGATCCTGTTCAATAAACCTCAGGAGCTAACTAATCGACATGCCGGCTTTTTGCTTGCCCTTGGGCTGAACGGCCATCTCAAAAATTTGGCCAAGTGGGTCGCCTTCAAGTACTTAACACCGAAGCATACGATGACATCAATCGGCCTTTTGTTGGGACTCTCAGCATCGTATTTAGGCACGATGGACACGCTCATAACCCGCCTTCTTTCGGTGCATGTCACCCGGATGCTTCCCCAGGGCGCTGCCGAGTTAAACCTGTCGCCTTTGACACAGACTGCGGGCATTATGGGAATTGGACTGCTCTATTGCAATTCTCAACACAGACGGATGAGTGAAGTCTTGCTGTCGGAGATTGAGAACGTTGAACAAGAAGACAGCACGATCTCTCAAGAGGATCTGCGAGATGAGGGCTACCGACTAGCGGCGGGATTTGCTCTCGGGTTTATTAACTTGGGTAAAGGCAAAGACTTGAGGGGCCTGCGAGACATGCAGGTCGTCGAGAGACTGCTTGCTTTGGCCGTCGGGACAAAGAACGTTGATCTTGTCCATATCCTGGACCGAGCCACGGCCGGAGCTACCGTTGCTCTCGCGATCATTTTCATGAAGACGAATGACGAGGCTCTCGCCCGCAAAATCGACATCCCAGACACCACGGTGCAGTTTGACTATGTTCGACCTGACATTTTCTTGCTTCGAACGCTGGCCCGACATCTCATCATGTGGGATAGTATCTGCCCAACCTACGAGTGGTTTGCTCAGAGTATTCCGCCTGTCTACCGACGGCGTTATCGCCTTACGGGAATCCGCCGTTTACGCAGCGATGACATGCCCTTTTTCAATATTATCGCAGGACTCTGTTTTGCGATTGGGCTTCGATACGCAGGTTCGGCTCTTCCGCAGGCGAGAGATCTGCTTCTTTCGTATCTCGATCAATTTATTCGGATCTGCAGGCTTCCTGCCCTTCACTATGATGCCAAACTGGCGCGGAACTCGGTGCGGAACTGTCAAGATATTGTTGCACTCTCCGCGGCTGCGGTGATGGCGGGCACGGGAGACTTGGCCTTGTTCCGACGCCTGCGTTCCCTCCATGGGCGGGTCGACCCAGACACGCCGTATGGAAGCCATATGGCAGCGCACATGGCAATCGGGCTGCTCTTCTTGGGTGGAGGCAGTTATACTCTTGGGACATCGAACCTGGCCATTGCGTCACTGCTGTGTGCTTTCTATCCCATTTTCCCGACCACAGTGCTGGACAATAAATGCCACCTCCAAGCATTCCGGCATCTGTGGGTTTTCGCAGCGGAGCCTCGCTGTCTGGTGCCTCGAGATGTCGACACGCGACGGCCCATCTCCATTCCGGTGTCGTTAACCATGAAGAACGGGGAGACCAAGGAAGTCACGGCGCCCTGTCTGCTTCCTGACCTGGACGAAATTGCGATGATCAAGGCACACGGCCGAGATCATTGGCCGCTTGTGCTGGACTTTAGCCGCAACGAACAGCTTCGCGAGAAGTTCCGCCGCGGCGACCAGTCGATCTACCTGAGGAGGAACACGACCTACGATCCGTCCGGATCATCGGTGTTTGCCTCTACGCTGCTAGGTCTGAGTGAAGCACAGGATATACTGCCTAGTTCAGCGATGAAGGGACCGACCGCGCAGCTGCCGAATACAGTTGCGCTTCTCCTCTCGCAGGGACGCCGCAGCCAGGTGCCTACCCATGACCTCTGGGATTGGATCTTCAGTCTTCCTTCATTACAGTGGTTGGATGTCGCAGACCGATCGATCGTCTTGCCTCCGTCCCCATTCCAATTCCGGCCGCGCTATCCTTCTGACGGGGGTATCGTCTCTCTCCCACCGTGGCTGCGCCTGTCGTCAATCGACACCCGACTCGTACTGGAAAGTACCGTCAACGGCGCTGTCGCTGCCGCTTCTGGCGACAGCAACAGCAACGGCAACGGGTCCGACGAAGTGCGAGACCGCCTGTGGCAATTACGGCTGCTCTTTGACTGGGTGGATCGCGGGTTCGACGGAGACGACAAGCCCGAGCAGAGCGAGGGCGAGAAGGAGAAGGAGAACGACGGCCAAACCGCAGAGAAGCAGAAAGGCCTCTGGCTACGAAGAGACGTCATTGAAGAAGCGAGATGGAAGATATGGGGGGTGCAGGTTGGTGAGACTAGGCGATAGAAAAAAAAAAGTAACATGTTTTCTCTCTCTCTCTTTTATTTATTTATTTATACGCATTGCCACGGGCGCTATATTAGGGGTGGTGGACATCATGATGACTGATTACGGTGTATGTATGTACGAGTGCACGCATAAAGAATTATTCTAGAGAGGCAAGGAGAGGAGATAGATGGAATGAATATCCACACTAACAAACTAATAAATAATATTAGTTGAAATATAATAGTCGATACCGATACCCTTCACAAGCGATAGTTATAGTGCCTCACATACTCAAGTTTTTTCCAACATGATGATGATCATTAATTACCTAGGTATATATATCATTATATAATATATATTATCCCCACAGTGAAGAAAGAAAGAAAGAAACACGGTGTGGTCAATCAATTCAAAGTCCCCACGGCTCACGGGATATCGTATCAGATATATCATATATCATATTATCAAGATGAAAGAAAAAGGAAGAAAAAAAAAAGAAATAGAAAAAGAAAAGAAAGGTCTTAACTTTTGTTTTGTTATGCTACTTCTATGACATGCTTGCCTTCCATTTCATTTCATGCTATTTCATTTCATGCTGCCATTAACGTTAAAAATACCCTACTCTACTCGGTATGAGTGAGATCATATCTATATCCATGACATGTCATTCAATGCAATCCCATGCCAAAATGCAGATAGACATAAAAATAAAATCGTGTTATTTTTACAACGTCACGTATCCTGTCCCTCTAAATGAAGTTATCGAGATCGGACGGCTCCGTCTTTCAAAATCCCACGGTCTCCTCCTCCACCCGTCTGCCACAGCCAGACCCCTTCTACTGCCCACGCCTTGGCACTGGCATGCCGTCCGAGACGTGCTGCTCCTCCTCCGCTCTCCTTGTTCTTCTCTGAGTCGCCGCCTTCGGCTTCTTCGAGCATTCGCTCCACGACGCGCTCGCGCTCGATGACGCTCCAGAGCCCCTCGACTAATGTGCTTCCTGGCTCCCCGAACTCGCCCTTGCCTAGGCGGAAGAGGATGCGTCCGATGACCTGCCATGCGATGCATCTCTGGGCTGGAACGGTCGAGCGGCTCAGGATCGACAGTTCGGGGATGGTATAGCCGGCCGCTTCGGGGTCCTTTGCGTGATGATGCAGCCCCAGGGTCGTCGGCAATGACAAGGATGTGGCTGGCGAGAGGATCGTCCCGGTCAGAGAGAAGCGGACAGAAGAAGGAGCAACGGCCGTGGCTTGGCTGGCAGGATGGTATGGAGACTGCGTATCCGGGTCATCCGGGTCTCTGGAGGGGGGCTTGAGCCATGACAACGACGAAGGGTCGTGAGGAGTGTCAGGGAAGTAATGTTTCTGAAGGTCTTCAAGGAAGGACGGGGAGGAGGGGTCGAGGTTGGGCATGGGGTCCTGTCGCGGAGGCGGGGTGGGGAAGTGAATGGGACCGGATGGGATCTCTGAGGCTGGTCGCAAGTCAGGCGGCGGGTGTGGAGGAGGAAGTTCGTCAATTGCGGCCGCAGTCGATGCCGATGGGGCTGCCTGTGTATGGGCAGGGGTATCTGATGGGGACTTGGACGAATCGTCGGGTGTTGGGGCCTGTTCTTCGGGTTCAGGAATGTCAAAGGAGACCGATTTCGCTTGTTTCGCAGGCTCCTTTCGAGTATCCGGTTCTTGCTTCTGCGGCGGAGCCTGTGCATTGGGCGACTTGCGCGATGGTTGTGTCTGTGGTTCATCGTCAATGTTGGCCCTCCGCAGCAGCCTCTCAATCAGCGATGGCGATAAGCCGGCCATCAACTCAGCCCGTTCCTTCTCAATCTGCTCCGGTGACATGGCTGCCAGACGCCGTCGATTCTCCTCATCGATCGACTTCTTCTCTTCCTCTATCGACATTGGTTCCTGTCTTGTGTCTGTTGAGGGTTGCTCAGCAGGGGGAGGACTCTTCGCCTCCTGGGCTGTCCCTGTCCGTCGTTGCTTGAAGGCCGACTGTCGCACGCGATTCTTATGGGCAGGGAATCCGGTTGAGGCTGAGGATGTGGGCTTTGGAGCAGAAGGAGGGGCAGCCGGGGTGCGTTCCATGATGTCGCCGATCAGGTCGAGCGATGGCCCCGCGCGGGAACGGTCGGGGATGGAGGGCGGGGGGCCATTCTCGTCGTCGTCGTCGTCGAGATCGAGGACAAAGCGCTCCCCGCGAAATGCCATGATGCCGTCCGCGGAAAGCGACGGATCGGATGCAGCAGGCAATGCGGAGGTCGTGAAGCTGAGAAGCTGACGAAACGGGCGATGCGGCTCAAAAGCCTAAATCAGGCATGCAGCCGCCGCCATTCCGCATCGGGACTAGGGCCTGGGGTCCTCCGCCGCCCAACCTCGTGGCCGCTGGCAGCGCTGCACAGGCTGCGGAGAGAAAACAGCAGGCAGAAGACAGCATGGACCGGGGAGCATTTCGATCGCTCTCGTGAACCAGGCCGCATGTTGTTTGCTCGTTGCTGGCGGGCCAGGGTGGCAGTGGGACCTGGAGATGGCTCGATGGGGCTGTCCCCCGGCCCGACAATGCGGTTTGACACGAGCGTTCCGAATCAGGGGAAGAAGAGATCGATCCTTCATAAATAAGCCATGGGCTCTGCATCAAAACGAGACGGGTGGAGATCTCTGCTGCAGAGACTCAGGACGGTCTGCGAACCATTGAGACGACTAGCGGAGCAGGTTGCACATCCCGCAGTGATTGGCCGGAGATTCAAGGGATGCAACCAGCCAGAAAACATCTGAAGAGAACATCTGAAGAACAGTCAACATGGATTATTGATTCTTTGTCATCTCTGGTATAGTTCCAATATGATATGGCTGCATATCATTGGTTCCTTTCTGATTATTCCAGCGTCAAGTCGGCACCTTGCGAGGTTGTTCTGTACTGTATGCCGCGTACAGTACTGTACACCGTACACCATCCATACAGACAAGACATGATCATGTATGCTGGAGTTGCAGCATCCGGGAGAAAATGAGAAAGAAAAGCAGAGATCCTTTCTGGGCTTCGTGCTTTCTGTCCTTGCGTGGACTGGAAGAGGCGTGCTGGCTGCTGGCCTCCGGATTGCCAGGACGGGAATAATACGATGCGTATCAATAGTTCGCCCATACTTGCAGTTCCTCCATTCAGCGGGCAGCATTGCGGGCAGCTGTCCGCAGCTCTAGACTCTGGGTCGCCTTTTGCTGCTTTCTGATGAATCGTTTTTCCTTTTGCCGCTGCACCCCCTTCGTCCAGGTCATGGATCAGATGGCCTGTGAATATTATAAGTATTTCTCGTCCTCCTCGCCTGTTTTCGTTTTCCTTTCTTCTTCCTCTTCCTACCCGATGCCGTCGGGGTCCTCCTGATCTGATTTTTGATGTTCCTCTCCAGACAGCGCGACCTTAATTGACGCCCGTTTCATACTCTCTTCTATTCCGGTTCCTTTTTCATGTTCCTAAATAATTAATCCCCAACTATCAGGCGCGGACCCCGACCCAGCCCCATCGCCCGACATTCCTGTTTCTGCGTTGCAACTGAACCACGTCAACGTTCGCCATCCAACACCCAGCAACGCCCTGAATTTTCCCTCTCTCCCACCTCCTGTCTCTCCTCCCGACCAACACCGGCATCCGCACCACGTTCGCCTTTCGACTCGTGGTCCGTCGCTGCCTTTTTTTTTTATTGCCTTCCACGGCTGTCTTATTTTTGTTTCCGATTATATTTAATTTTACGCATACCCTACTTTCTAATTTTTTTTCCTAATTTTTTTTCTCCCTGGTTAAGGACTATCTCTACGTCTTACGGAAGTCCGTGTCGGAAGGGCAGAAGCACAACGGGGTGGTCATTTCCCACGGGATTGACACCGGCGAGCTGGATGCAGTAGAAGCAGATCATGGCCAACGATGCGCCTGCAGGCCATGCCCCGGCCAAGGAGGAGGACGAGTCGTCGCTGTCGCCGGTGGAGTCGGAGTTGAGGGTGGATGAGAGTAGGAACGCGACCGAGAAAGAGGGCAGAGAGCGAGAAAGCCGCTCCCGGCGCGCCTCCGCCACAGCAGCCCCCAGCCACAGCTCCAGCCACACCGCAAGCACCGCCGCGCCCAGCCGTCGCTCGCGCCGCAAGAAGGACGACAAGGAACAAAAGGACGAAGCAGAGCAGAAGGAAGAGAAAGAGAAGGAGAAAGAAAAGGAAAAGGGCAAGGACAAGGATAAAGACGCCAAAGAATCCAAGGACAAGGACGACAAGAAGGAGTCCAAGCCGCGCAGCTCGCGCCGCTCCCGCGAGAAGTCCACCAACGCCAACAGCACGCCGGGCTCGTCGCGCAAGAAGCCCAAGCTCGAGCACACGCCCGACAAGGACCAGCCCAGCGCCGACAATCAGAGTCAGAATAATAGCAATAACAGCAATAACAGCACCGCTGCCGACGCGTCACGCCACCCCTCGCCCGTACCGCTGGCGCCTGCCCAAAACGGAAATCGTGAAGCTATTCCCACGTCTGCCTCCCGGCCATCCCAACCGCCGCAGACACCTGCGCTGGCCCCGGCGCAGCATGCCTCCGGTGCTCCTTCTCCCCCGCGGCCGTTCAGCACCTCTCTTGCGCCTGCACCGCCGCTATCGTTGACCTCGTCGTCGACTCCGCCTCAGCTGATCCCGTCGCAGCCTCCGGCGCAACCCATCCAGCCCGAGCCTCAACCCCTGCAGGCGCAACCCCGTCCGCCTTCCTACCACTCTCCGGCGCCGCCCCAGCCTCCTCCGCAGCCGTCGCCCCAGCGATCTAGCGGCCGGAACTACGATCCCATCCGCTCTGCCTTCGAGAACTCGGCTCCTCCTCCTCCTCCTCCTCCTCCTCCGCCGGCTCCGGCTCCAACTCATGCTGCATCGC